GCAGGGAGCTTCGTCAGCCTTCTGTCTCCTATCTCGATGCTTTTTCGATCGATTGGCGTGTGCCGATCCGAAAGCGCTGAACATTCTTCTGGCGCAGCGAGGGGAGGCATCGCGTTCGTCGTCAAGCGCGCCGCAGACGACGGCGAGACGCCATGCTAGGGCAGCGGGGTGCGTGATGCCCAGCTTCTGCCGTCCTACGCTCACTGACAAAGGGCAGAACTTCGAATCGGCTCTGCGTCTCGCCCGGGCCCCTTCGCGAGGTTCCGAAGTGCGCGCGTCCACTGGACGCAGACGCCTCATTGCGGCGTAATCCTGGGTGCGAATGCGGCACCGAATCCAAGGCGGCTTCCAGCGGAGAGAGAACGTCCGATGCTCCAATATCCTCGTCACTGTCCCCTGGGCTGCCGCGGGCGATGGGAGGTGTGCGGGCGCGCGTGTGAGACGCGGCGAGACGATTGGTGGATGCCGCCCGCCGCTCAATCATCGAAACAAGAAGGACAGCGCTGTTCGGGACTTCGCGGAGGCGCCGAGTGGGGAACGCCCAGCCCGAGCGTGGGGTCGCCAGCAGGGCGCGATTACGTTCTTCCTCGGTGGGCTCGCAACCATCGCGGGCAGGCGGGGGCAAGGTGCACGCCCGAGGCGCGCCCGGCGCACGCGGCGGGCGAATGCGTGGGCTTGCACAGGACCCGACTCAGTAGGTTCTGTCCCGGCTAATCGCGCGCGCTGACAACGAGTATTTAGCTACCCGGTTCAGCATCCGCCACGGCGCACGCGCTCCCCCCGCTCAAGAAGTTGGTGCTCCGCCAGAGCTGCCCCCAAACCCCGGTCCCGCCATGTACGCCGGCCGCTACCCTCCCCCAACCACATCCCTCCGCCAGCCATGAATCCGCGATCGCGCGGGCTGAGGATGCCTACGCTCAGCCCCCCAATGCGTGGCCAATGATGTCTCATCGCTCTTACCCCGATCTCGCTCTCCCGCCGCAGCCCATCCACTCCCCTCATGTTCCATCTCCGATTTCGACCCTCCAACCACGACAATGACAACTCGCCCATCGACTACTTCGGCGCGCAGCCCTTCTCTGGTTGTCCTCAGGACAGCTGGACGATGCAGAACCCCAGTCCCGGTCACGGTCAGTGGCCAGCACGTTTTTCACTCTGGGACCCGCTGACCTCGACTTTGGGCGCATATAGCCCCCGCGATGCACCATGAGCCATACATGGACGGCGGTACGTGTGCGGTTTCCCCGTGCCTGGTTCACCGCATTCCGCGGAACGCTCATGTCATTATTCTTGTATGTGCGAACGCGCAGGCTACGCGCCGCACGTCAAGGCCGAGCACAACACCCATGCCGCTATGGAGTCATTCTATGGTCAGCCCGAACACGGCTACCACCACAGCTCCGCGCCTTTCAACCCCGACCAGTACGCGGCGCATCTCGGTGCGCATGTGTCTGCGGGTATGAGCAACATGGCCCCCGGCGTCGGTCCCGACCGGACAAAGCCCGCGGGCGAGCTGCAGCCGCGAAGCGTACAGGCGCATGCGCGCGCTGCCGCCGTCTGAAAGGTCCGTCGCGCGTTGCGCTGCGAATCATCCCCTACTAGGGGCGAGAGCTGACTATGCGCGCGCATGCAGATGAAATGCACTTCCTCCAGTCCCGACGACGAGGTGTGCTCGCGATGTCCGCGGGCGGGTACGACTGCGTGTTTCTGGGGCGCAAGCCGCGCGCGCCAGGTGAGTGTAGTTCCATTCCTGTCGCAAAGTTTATCCTCTCCACCTACCATATATCGTTGGCGTACTTTACCTTCTCCGTAGTCGGCTTCGCTGCCTCCTGTCCTGGTCTGGCTGCTAACGATGATTGTGGTGCGACAGGCAGCGCATGGTCCTTCGACAGCAGATACGCGAAAAGGACGCGATGATCGATAACCTTCTCAGCCAAGTCAACCCTGGACCTACCATGGCGACGCCGCTTACGCTCGTTCCCGCGCGCCTGCCGCTCAACCAGAAGGAGCGCGCGGACTACCGCGACGTGCTCAGCTATCTCGAACGCAGTTCGCAACAAGCCAATCAACGTCTCATGGGCGACCAACGGGTTAAGTTCGAGATTGCGGCGCTGGAAGACGTTGTGTCGGAGGACGATTCGATGACATCTGACGACGAAGCTGGCGGCGCGGGCAGCCACGCGGGCTCCTCCAGCCCGAAGCGAGAGCGGGAGTCCTCTCCGACCCTGCGCGCCACGGAATCCGTGCCTCCACGCGCCGTTGAGTCAATCCTGGAGCCGGGCGCGCCGACATTCATCATGGCCACCGCGGCGCTCCAAAACGCGCGCAAGCCCGTCCCAACTGAGAGTGCGAGCGATAGCACTTCCTCGGCCGCCGGAGCGGCGTCAAACGTGGAAGCGGGTGTGGCCGCAGACAACTACTACCTCCCCGGTAAGCTATCGCTACGCCGTGTGGTTCTGCCCTACCTTTGTGATGCTAATTCGGCGCTCTCAGGTCCGCATGCCAATCTGCAACTTCGTCGGCTCATCATCGAAAGGCAGGCTGCACCGGACATTCTACTCTCAGGGCTGGTGACGCCAGAGGACGCGACGGCGTTGTTTGAGATGTACGTCGCGACGTTATGTTGCGGATGCCCAGTCAGAAACTGATTCTTGTCATAGACACTACAAGTGGATCAACGTATGCCGATCACACCGCCCGCGTAGGAGTATGACAGCTGAAGCTTGTTTCCGCAGCCCACTATTCCCATTCTGGACGAGAACATCCACAGCCCAGCGAGTGTCCTCGCACGGTGCCCATTCCTGTTCACGATCAGTACGTACCCTCCTCCTGTTGCCAACTCTAGTCATATTTGATTTTTCTCATGCTCATCTCGTGGCGGGCAGTCTGTACGGTGGCTTCCAAGTATTACAAGGAAAAGCCGCACATCTACGGGATGGCGATCCATTTTGCGAAGGCAGCGGCTGCAAACGCGGTCATTGACGGCTGGAAGACGGTCGAGATGACCCAGGCATTCGCGCTCTGGAGCGTGTACAACCCACCCGCTCGGCGGTGGGAAGAGGACCGCGCGTGGTGTTACACGGGCATTGCATTCCGGTACGTCAGCCGCGGGCCCCGCGTGCCTGTGCGTCTCCCTCCCTCGTGTTGTTCGCTAACACAGTCCTTGTTCTCTTTTACGCGACGGGCTATCCGCGACCCCCTCCCTGACTCACACATGCGCACACGCTTTCTAGATTGGCTACCGAACTGAATCTAAGCCGTTACCCTGACCAATTTGCCGATGAGCGCTCTGAGCGTGAGAGCCACAACCGCACGCGCATGTGGCTGATGTGCTTCATCATGGACCGCTGCCTGAGTATCCAGTCCGGAAAGGCCTGGATGGTTCAGGAGGACGCGGTGGGTTCCATTCGGTGTGTCCCCGTTGAGCCCATCTTACACATCCTCTCGGTAGACGATCCGGGACGCGGCATCCTGGGCCAAGAACTTCAAGTACCACCAACAGTGCGACAACTATCTCGTGAGCCTGACGGAGCTGCTCATCATCATGTCCCGCTTCGTGGGCACGGTCAACCCCGCGTTTGGGACATCGTCGGTCGAGTCGGTCGACGTGAGTCCAATTTATCCTCTTCGGGCGGGGACGCTCCGCGAAGGGAAGCATGCTGACATTACCGTGGGCGCTGACAGGAGATCGACTTCGCGGCGCTCTACAAGGCATACGATGATGAGTTGCTCGCCTGGAAGGCCGTGGTTGACATTCGCCACGACGGTGAGAAGATGTCGAAGGGTCAGCTGCCCCGCCTTCGCTCCGCCCTCTACCTTCTACTCACGATGATCGCACTCTCAGATCCCGCGGTGGTGATGCAAATAACGCTCATCCATTGGTGGGTTTCCCACCCCTTGGGTCTTTTGTCGCTCGTGCAGCGCTTGCGGAGAGCAATAATGCTAACCACCTTGTCTGCGTCTGTGTCCTGGTAGCGTGCATCACTACTGCCGCTTGGTCATCTGCTGCTGCGGGATGCAACTCCTCTCCAAGGATCCGAAGACCGTGAAGCCCAGCGAGCTTTTTGCCGGCGTGCGCGACCATGCTTCTAGGAGTATTCGGCACCCGCTCACTCTTCTTTTTCTTCTAGTGCGTGCAGGCAGCCACGAGCCTCGTGAAGCTTATGGTTGAAGACTTCCTGCCGAGCGGATTTGTGCCCTACTTCCCAGAGCTCGTATACGTCCACTCCGCGTTCGCGGCGGTCGTGCTCATGAAGGTAGATATCTGAGAAATAGAAGGCGCTCTCACTGACCTCACGCTTAATTTCCGTGTATCAGTGCCTTCGTCCCGAGTTCAACTGCTACCTGGACATTGAACAGGAGGAGCGTATCATCCTCCTTGTCAGCCGCCTCTTCGAAACGTGGACCTCGGACAATTTTTCCCTCGACGAACGCCACAACCCGCAAATCTACGCGCGTTTCGTCAAAGGTCTCATGGAGTCGCACCTCACCCGCCTGGCTGATAAGAAGCGCGCCGCGGCCGTGCAAGCGAGCGGCACATACTCGGCGAACTCTGTTCCACCGCCGCCGCCTCCTCCCCAGCCTCAGCCTCAACCTCGGACCCCCGAACAGTACACCAACGGCGCCGGTCGACACGGCGTGCCCACATCCCCTATCAACCCTTCACCCACCTTCTCTTCCACGCCTTCCAGCCTTGCTGCGGCAGCGGCGTCTATGTCTCCGCATTCGCCTGTGCTCTTCGGATCGCCTGGCACAGAGATGCCCTTCGGGGACCTGTACGCGACCGATCTCGATATCACGCAGCTCGCGGCGGCCGCAGGACAACATATGGCGGACACCTCGTCGTCGAGCTCTCTGGCTGGTGCTGCCGGTGGCATGTTGAACGTGCCTTGGGATGCGCTCTTCTCGACGGCGAGCGGAGACTTGTCCGGAGGCGTCTTGAGCGGACCTTTCGGCAGTGGTGACGTGACGAGTATGATGGGCGGAGAATCGCTCGCGGCGCTCATGGGCCTCGAGAGCGATGCGTGGTTCTTGCCGAGCTGAGCAGCATCCATACCCGTCCATCCGCACATGCGATCCGGACCTTTTCCCTACCCATGGCAGCTTCTGGATACTGTTCTCTACGGATTTCCTTCACATCCTAGTTCACCTCTCCCTGATCACTCTTCCATTAGACTTTGTACGCGCCACTTGCACATTTTTATGCCCTATCGGTTCTTATGTCGCCCAGCATATCTATGTGTCCCCATCCTCGTCGCCCACCTGCCCCCATCCACGCATCGTCTGTCCCCATTGGCTCCGGACCACTTCGGGTGCGGTCCCATCGCCCTCGTTCTTGTTCCTCATCCGCATCTCGCTTTATCTCGCTGCATTATCGCATTGGCTGCCCGTACATCCCGCATCCATCATTGAAACCGATCCACTTGGACTAAATATCCCGCGCTGTCGCTCCGCCCCCCTCCGCTATCGCGTTGTACAGTACCCGCACCTGCTTTCCGCCCTCATCCCGCGCTCCGCCGATTAATTTACCCGTAGCAGCAACTCGCATGTACACGTACTCCACCCCTTAGGCCTCCCAGTGCGCGTGTTCCGTGCCTGCTCTCGTCTCCCTTGTTCCCCTCTACCCAGGATGCGCTTCCCGCTTCTCCTCCGCATAACGCGGACGTCGCGCGCTCGCCGTTCTTTCCAAACGCACTTCTAGCCACCACAGCCAGCTCCCCTCTCGCCCCGCTCCCCGCTTCGCGTCCCTGTCCTCGCTTCTCCCCACCCGCCCCTCGACGCCCTCGGACATTGGTCACGCCTCCCCCCTTCACGTAGAACCTAGAACGCCGGGCCCGCTTCCGCGCAGGCCTCGCCCATACGCCCGTCGCACGGTGTGCGAGAGAAAAAGTACGATACGAGCAATTCGAAGCTCCCTTCCCCCCACGCGTCATCTATCCCCCGTCAGTCAAAGGAGCTCGAGCGCACATGCGACGTTGGCCATCAGCTTGTGCGAATCCGTCTCCCGCTGATCCTCGACCCGTCCCCTCCCGATGCCCGAACTCTGCGGCGCGAGACGCGAGACGCTGGATCGGGCAGCTGCACCGGTCGTTCGGCGCTAGCGCCGTCGCTCGGCATCTTGCACGAAAGCGCGGTCGAGATGCGCGGGCGCACGCCGTCCGACCCCGCGCGCGCCCACGCACGCCCTGCCGCGTGCGGAGGTGCAGATCCTCGTCTTGTAACCCACTTCTCGAGCGCTCGCGCGGTTCGATTACCCGCGCCGAGCAAGGCTCCAGATTGAAGCTTGGGGGCCGGGGCGAGTCGAGACAAGGTTCGCCGCGCGATTGCACCGAGTGGGGCTGAGGACGGGCTCGCGCACGTGCGGGGCGCAGTGTGGAGCGGCCCAGCGAGCGCGATGGGTGCGTCGGGCTCTAAAGGGACCGCGGCGCTCGACGCTCGACTCATCGGAACTTGACCAAGTCGAACGAGAGGCCAAAGGTCCGGGGCGGCCAGGACGCGCCCTACGTGCGGAGACGCCCTGCTGGATTTGGAGCGGAGCGGGTATGTCGAGCCGCGGCCGAGTCGCGGGGGGGGGCGAGCTCGGGCTTGTAGGGTAAGACACCGACAACAAGCGCAGCGTGCGCGCGGTGTCTCCGCGAGAGCACCCAGTCTGCGCTTCTTGCGCTGGATCTGCGGCGCGGCTCGGCGCGGGCCGTTCGGATTCCGCGGACGCGCCCCCGCGGCGGACGCCCGCGGAGGGACGGGGCCCCGGCGCGCGTACGACACAGGCGGGGGATAGAGGGGCGGGGACGCCCACCGAGGGCTGCGCGGCGCGGTTGATTGAAAGGGTCCGCGCGTGGGACGTCAACGAGGGCTTCTGGATCGCGAAGCGTGCGTCGTCTGCGCCCCTCGTGAACGCACACGAGGTGGCTGTAGATTGTGCTATAACAGGCAGGAGGTGAGGAGAGGGGTGGTGGTTTAGCTGTTTCTGCGCCCGTGCGCGGACAAGGCGTGCGGTAGGTAGGTCAGACGCGGGCGGCGCGCGGGTAAGGACGGGGCGGGTGGAATGGGATCGCATGATTGTATCTGGCGGGGACGGTAATCTAACAATGAGCGTCATTTGTGGGTTGAAGCGATGAACTGATTCGCTCACCCGGGTGCAAATGAGAATGCCACGCTGCAGGTCCCCGTGAACCGGATGACGGGCCAACGGTGAACCAAGGCGTTTCCCAAGATGCTGACTGGGGAATTGTCGGCTCATAATCATATCAAGAGGAGCATTGGTAGGCTTGCCCGAGGAATGGAAGGCCCTGGGGCCGCATCAATACCAATGACCCTATGTTGGGTATTGAAAAGGTCGCTCTGGCTGACATGGGCTCCAGCATCAGAAGTCGAGGAAGAAATTGGTCACCGCGCGTACCGCACTTGACGGAGGAACTATAACAGGGCCGCTTTGTCCAAAGGCATGAGCCGACCAACCCAAAAACCACTTCGTGATGGTTTCTTGAATCCTATATGCGTGGTCCGAAAATTTCAGCAGTCTCGTCCCGTTCGGACGGGTGTATGCAGCTGTGGAAAGTAATCCGTGGTTTATTGTGCTGAGCGATGGAACGTTGACCATGCGCATCCGAGTGCTCCATGTTGTCAAGGCATTAAATATACGTCCCTTGCAGTTATGAGGCTAGAAGCCTGCAAGGAGAAACCCTCGTCGCGACTTGACCAGCTGCAATTGTGTGAGGGCAACGTGCGGTCGTTCCGATAAGAAAGGATTCGAAGGGGATTGGCTCTGCGCTGCAGTCAATATTTTGATTGACTAGAAAAACCGAACAGGCATGGGCGGGATGACGGGCGAGATATATAACACTGGGATCGACATGACGGGAGGACAAGAGATGCAAAATGGCGCCTGCCAAAGATTTGCACCGAATACCAGAGGGGAAGTTGATAGAAAAGGCCGGTGGAGCATAAATATTGAGACCCGTAGGTCTACCACTCCGGGAAAGCGTGTCATCCTTGTGCAGGGGCCATGCTAATCTTCTCTGTATCGTTCCAATTTTTTCGTATGTCACCCCGAAGGGGACATTATCGAGGGCTCGAACTCCCGCCCCCGCATCAAAGTCGCGCCTTTCGCTCAGCCTGCGGGTGCCAGGACGGCGCCTCCTTCGACGCCCACGGCCGCGGCTTTCTCGTGAACCCGAGCCCGACACGCAGCTTGTCCCATGACATCGTCCACCCACCCATCAATGCTGCTCTTCCCTGCCTTCATACCCATCCCTACGCGCCTTGCGACGCTACGGCGAGCATGGCTTCTGACTCTGAGTCGCGCAATGCTCTCGACATGAAGGAAGCACGCCGCAAGTCGTCCGTGGATTGCACGGCGCTGCACGCCTACTTGCACGGTTCGCAAGCTTCACTCGCTAACCGTCTCCCACCTCAACCATTGCATCAGGTATGAGAGACTGGGATATGCGCCGCCGCATCGTCGGTGTTTTGTCTGCGGACCCAGTGTTTGACAAGTCCTGCAGGTAGTTCCTACTGCGAGTCTTGGATCCGCATATACTGAGTGCACTCCTCCGCAGGTCGTTCCTCACACGCACTCAAGCATACGAACGAGCTCTGGAAATGACGCGACGCGTTCATGAGCTGCAAGACATTCACCACTGGACGCAGGAGGAGCTTGGCATGGCGATCAGGGTGCTCGATGAGCCTCTGCCTTTGCAGCTACATGTCACCGGTACGTCTCGCGTGCATCCCTCGCGCATCCTCTCTGAACAAACTGCCTCTAGCGTTTGAGCCTGTGCTGAACTCCCAAGGCTCGGAAGAGCTGAAGGCGCAGTTCAAGGAGGTCGTCGCGAGACGGGGGATTCATGGGTGCGCCGTGTCTTTTCGGCATCCCTCTGTCCGTGGCTCATGCTTCTGTCCGTGTAGTGCATACCTCCAGACGGAACTAGGACACGGGACCAACGTCGCCTCTCTCGAGACTACCGCAACCTATCTTCCGGACACCCGCGAGTTCGATATCCATTCCCCGACGCTCACGAGCACCAAGTGGTGGATCGGCGCGCTGGGGAGGACGGCTACCCACGGCGTCGTACAGGCGCGTCTCATTTTGCCGTCGGGACTTGACGCGGGGCCCCATCTGTTCCTCATTCAACTGCGGTCATTGGAGGATCACGCAGTGCTCCCAGGAATCACTGTCGGGGACATTGGTATGTTTCTTCAGTCTCAACTTCGTGTATTGGCCCTCAATAGGCGTGCTCTCAGGCCCGAAGGCGATGGGAGGTTACAATACCGTTGACAATGGCTATGCACGGTTCGACCACGTCAGGGTTCCCCGCGAGAATATGCTATCCGCGTTCGCGTCTGTGACGCCCGACGGCAAATACGTCAAACCTCCGCATGCGAAGCTCAGCTACGGTGGAGTAAGTACTTCGTCATGTCTTGCGAGCTGCAGCTAATGGTTGAACAGATGCTCTACATTCGCTCCGGGTAGGTCGCTGCAACAAACAGACGCGCATATAGTGACCGAATCGGCACAGGATGGTCGCGTCAGCAGGTTGGACGATCGCGAAGGGCATCACAATCGCGCTGCGATACGCAACCGTACGAAGACAGGGATCCAAGGCCGCCAATGGGTTGGAACGGCAAGTCATCACCTACCCGTCCGTCTACATTCGCCTCCTACCTGCTCTGGCGCATGCATACGTGTTCATTCAGCTGGGGAAGAGTCTCGTGAGTATCTCTCGTCTCTCTGTCCTACGGCCTTGTCTGAAGAGCTCATAGACAAACGCATTCACACAACTGCTCGCCCAACTTTCATCAGGAAACACGTCGTTGCTGGCGGAGATGCACGCGACGCTGAGCGGTCTCAAGGTGCTTGTGTCCACAACAGCTATCCAGGACCTGGAGACGGCGCGGCGGTCGATGGGCGGACATGGCTTCAGTGACTTTGCAGGGGTGGGCCGTTTGTATGCGGACTACGTTCCTGCTGCCACGTACGTCCGCGTCCCTGAATCCGTGTCCCAGTTTCTGAGTTCGACTACAGGTACGAAGGCGACAACTTCGTCCTCGATCAGCAGGTCGTCCGCGCTGCGCTCAAAGCTTTCGACGTTGTAGTCGTCAAGAAGACCGTCTCTTCGTCTTCTCTCACCCCATCGACGGCCTACCTCCGGCGGCTCTCCACTTCTGCTCCCGTTGCTCAAGACTGGGACGACCCCTCCACAGCCGTCGCGTTCCTCGAGCACCGCGCGGCGCTCATGGTTCAAGAACGAGCCGCGTGGGCCGCCGATCCTGACGCAAGCATGGACGCTCGTGTGGCGCGGGCCGTCTCCGATGCCTTCGTCGCTGCGCGCGTCGGCGAGCTCATCCAGGCTCTGGATGGACCGAACGCGGGTGTGCTGCGGAAGCTCTTCCAGTTGCACCTGCTCACGACGGTCGAGGCGGGATTGGTGGACATGCTGTCGTTTGGTCTGCTGGGTGAAGGGAAGCCTGGGACGGACGTGACACGCGGGTTGCGCGTCGGGATCAAGAGGACGTGCGAGGAGCTGCTTCCGGAGGCGATCGGGCTGTCGGATGGGTTTGGATTCACGGACTGGGAACTGGATAGGTGCGCTTCCGTCCTTTCTCTTTCCTGGTTGACGTGGCTCTGATCTTAATCGTGCTAGCGCGCTCGGCGCCTTTGATGGAAACGCCTACGAGAACTTGTGGAAGAGAGCGCAGGCGGAGCCGCTGAACCGTGGCGATGCTGCCGATGCCTACGAGGTTGGTGCTCTCTCGTTTCGCGTCCCGTAAACTCTGTTGACGCCGATTTTGCAGAGGCACATGAAGCCTCTACTCCAGCGAGGCCAGCGTCTGTCTGGGTACCGTTCCAAACTATGATTATCATACGTTCGTAATTGGACATACGTTCCTCCCTAACCTCGCCGCGATCGCCACTGCGTGGCCGGCCCTGCGCGCGTTCCGTCTCGGTTGAGAGGGTCCCCTCATGGATCTTGAGCACCACGAAGAGATACACTTCGCAATCTTTTGTTTGGATGTAGGTCATCCATGCGGCCGGCTGTTATTGAGATCCCGAAGACGCAACCGACACATCCTATGCTTGTTGGGATCTACTCAGACGCCTCTTGACCCTGTGTTATTGAAATCTTTCTTTTTTCGTCTTCCTCGTTTAACGCCCTCGAGGGCGAAGCCCTATGGTAGGCGTAGCATACATGATCTAGTTCTACCCGGACCGGGCTTGCAAAACCGGGGGGTGGGACGTCAACAACACAGATGCCCTAGGGGCGATGGATGCGGGGACGATACCCGCGATAGCCTAGTTGTGGGCCCAGTGCGGATGGAGGCCGTTTGGAATGCGATAGAGTATGTGGGCGCATTATGTACAGTAGGGAACCGGGACCGATGCGACGAGAGGGAGGTTTGGGGCATATGAGCACAGATAGTAGTGGGACATGTAAATGGGAAAACGTTGAGAGAGGAGCAGAGAGGGGGGGAGGAGCTCGACGACGTGCACACTTTCGGAAGAGATGGTGGCCGAGGCCGATGGGCAGGATACGTACTTTGTCTCGTGAGACTGGCGTGATCAGTGTCAACGACCCAAAGACCGAACGGAGGCGCTCGGTCTCCTCCAGGTATCGGAGTCCGAAGAGTGGGATGAAGCCTTCCGGAGCACCGAGGAGTTTGTTGAGGGTACGGCCGTTGCGCTATCGACATCCTGGCCCACAGCTCCTGAAGCTCTTTACACATTCCATCGTCCACGCTCAGAGGCGCTGTAGAGGCCTATAGAGCATGGCGTTCCAAATTTCGGCAGGAAGAGTTGCTTATGTGCGGTGGGGATTAGATTAGATTCGATTGACAAGCGCCGATTTGATCGTTCACTGGGACAAGTTCCGCTTCTTGATCCGCTTCATCACCATCGATACCGGCAATGTCTCTTCCCTCATTTCCACACGTTGAAGATGTGCTGTATCCAATATTCTTGCACTGCGAAGGAGACCGAGGATTACTCCTTGCCCTCGCGATAACATATCGAACGTTCACCAGACCAGCTCTCGCCGTCCTCTGGAAGACTCTCCCCAACGATCATCCCCTCGGGGCCCTGATGTACACGCTGGGCATCTCACAACCTCGGCACGCGGAAGGTACAGAGGCATTCAGCGGAATTACAGACGCACGCGATTTTGTATGCCGATCTCGTCTGTGGCGGCGAAGCTTCCGATTCTGACAAACTCGGTTTCTCTCTGCAGATGGTAGCGCAGAGCCCTTGTGCGCACCCCAACTGGAAGAGGTTCTGTGGCTACGCATGCCGCGTCCAAGAAATTGGCATATACCCTTTCGCCGCACATGACAGACCCTCTGTCTGGTCTGATCTGGCCCATTTTCTTGACTGCGCACCCATACTTCCCGCTCTCCGACGAGTACTTTTCAGAGATACGCGCGGTCGAATATTCAGCAACGTCGGCGGGCTAGCGCTCCTTTCTCTCGGAGTCAAAGAAATTGCCATCATGCTAGAGTCGCCATCCGCGACGGCGGCGATAGAAGGACTAGGGGTGCAAGAACGCCAGCTTCCGATGCTTCAAACGATTCTCACCACATGCCCCGGCGTGGAACACATCGAGATCATATCCTCCTCGATGGCTCCCAACCTGATTCTCAAGCATCTTGTGTCTCTGGTTGCGCTGAAACACCTTCAGATAAACGTTTTCACCGACACTCAGGCCATTCTCCTCCTCGGGTCCCTGTCTTCACTTATCACTTTATCGTTGGAACTCAGCTTCGGGAGCGTGTGGACGGACGATGCAGACCCTCGGCTCGTTGCACCCGTGGAGCTGCGACGTCTTCGCGATCTCACTCTTGTATGCTCCACGATGTCATGGCACACAATCCAGGAGATGGCGACACGGCTCAAGATGCCCGCGCTCGAATCCCTCTCTCTCCACACGGCCATATCATATTTCGTCGGCTCCCTGCCCGCCCTCAGTGCGCTCATCCACAATCGGCCCCACCTCTGCTCCTTACACATCACGATCAATAAAGACAACTATTCCTTCTTGTATGTCCCAGTGCGACTCTCAGAGATTCTGAAGACACTCTTTCCCCTACACACGCTTGACGACCTGAAGGTCGTCATCGATCCGCGCCGACCGCGCGTCCCGCTGTCCTCCGAAGACCTCCGGGAAGCTGCGGCTGCGTGGCCCCATCTCAGGCGCCTCGAGTTGTACACGATCGTCCACAAGTTGGTGGACTCAGAGGTGCCGCCGGAGAACGCAGGCGTCGGGATCGACATCCTGGCGCACTTCGCGCGGAGCTGCCCGAGGCTCGAGGTGCTCACTTTGTACCCGTCGGTGCTGGATGTCGGAAGTCTTGCGAACGCGGAGAGCGTGGAGTCGGACGACGCAGAGCAGGAGGGGTGCATGGCGCAGGACACGCTGCGAGAGCTGAAGCTGGGAGGCTTTATAATAGTGCGAGACCCAGAGGCCGACGCGCTGCTGAAGAACGTGCGGCGGTACGCTTCGAAGCTCTTTCCTTCAGCACACGTTGATCTCAAGTGCACAGTCGAGGACGATCGACTGCGGGAAGCATTTCCATAGTAGGACGACCTCGGTGTACATCTCTTTGCCAACAATCATAACAGCTTCGCCCAGCTATGTAGAACGTTACACCTCCGTCTTGACTGGGCCCGGCGCCACCGGCTTCTGCGCGAGCACGAACTTGGTGTGGCCGGCCATCTGGACGAAGATGCTGCCCGTGCCGTCGGTGACCGCCGGGTCGCGCCCGAAGAGCTTGTACGGGAAGCCGTACTCGAACGGCACCGCCCTCTCGAGCTCCTCGATCTGCGCCGGAGTGAGCGTGATGCTCAGCGCCTGTACGCGCAAGGAGTCCTGCGTCAGCCTCTCGCGCGCAACCAGGGACGTCGCACGCACCTCGATGCACTCTTGCAGCTGTGCCGGCTTCCGCCCGCCGACGATCGGGTACACGTACGGCGCCTTCGAGACCGCCCACGCGAGCGCGACGCTCGCGACGCTCGCGCCGCCCCCGACCTCCTTCGCGACCCGGGCGAGCGCGGCGGAGACGCGCTTCTCCTTGTCCGTCTGCGGGGCCCCGAAGCGGAGCGCGCCGCCGCGGGCGTTGATCTCGTCCTCGGTCTTGAACCGGCCGCCGCCGATGACGCCGTACGGGGCGAGGGCCATGCCCTCGGCGCGGCACATCGGGAGGATCTCGCGCTCGAGGTCGCGCAGGATGAGGTTCCACTGGCCCTGGTCTGTGAATGGACGCGGGCACGATCAGCGGGAGGGGTGGAAAATATCGAGGATGTGTCGGACGCACAGACGACAAACTGGGCTAGACCGTGTTTGCGGGCGTAGTCGTTGCACTTCGTCACGATCCACGCTGCGGGGGCGGGTGAGAGATGCCCGTGGCGAGGATGCGGAATGGCCTACCTGGCGTGTCGGAGATACCGAGGTAGAGGACCTTGCCCTGCTTGACGAGGACGTCGAGAGCTTGCATGACCTCCGGGATAGAGGTTGTGTAGTCCCACCTGTTTTAGCTTCGCTTGATTCATATATCGGAGAGCAGAGCAGCGAGTACGCACATGTGCAGATAGAAAAGATCGATATACGAGGTCTGCAAGTTCTTGAGACTCGCCTCGAACGAGTGCACCAAGCTCTTCTTGTGGTTGCCCTGGTAGTTGACCTGCATCGCAGTCAGCTGTCTAGATCCAGCATCACTTCACAGTGATTTTAACTCGCCTTGAGCTTCGTCTTCTCGTCTGCGTGTTTGAAGTCGAAGGTGTATTTGGTGGCGACGACCATCTGGTCGCGGTTGTCGCGAGCCTTCATCCACTCGCCGATGATCTTTTCGCTCTGTCACGGTGTGCCAATCACTCATACTCTTTCCGCGAACTTGACAAACAGAGGACGAACCTCGCCATTCTGGTAGTTGTTCGCGGAGTCGAGGAAGTTGCCTCCCTGGTCGTAGAACACGTCGAGGAACTGGCAGACGCGTCAGCGTGTCACGACAAGTAAGAGGTGGCCGTATGATGAACAACCTTGAAGGCTTCCTCGCGGGTAGTGCCTATACACAACGCCATCAGCAAGCACGCGACCCGGTTGAATGTGGAGCGGAAGCGTACCGCCGCCGAAGAACTCGGCATGCGCCTGGCCGAGGCCCATCGTACCCAGGCAGATCGGGGACACGCGTACTGACGCGAGTAACAAAATCAGTCTCGCGAGTCGCGGGCTCTGGGTGGAGAAGACATACCACCAGAAGTCGGGGAGAGCAACTAGGCACGAAGATGAGTGGTGAACGAGGGACTGGCGACTGAAAGACTGTCACTCACGCGGTAGCGACCGAGCTCGTTCTTGGCGGGGGGCTGGAAAGAGAACAAGTTGGACATCGTCGATTGGTTTTATGGATGGAGCTGTAGGTGGATGAGAAGCGAGGGTGGGGTTGGATGCCTCTCCCTCCCAAAGCTCTGCCGTTATATAGAGCTAGCACGCGCTTGCTCTCAGCCATATGGCCCAAGGATTGAGACTCGTATATCGGACCTCCCCGACATCGGAATCCGTTTGAGTCCTGCGACCAGCCTGTGTGCGCTCAGTAAGCTTCAACTGCGTGTGAGGGGAATGCGAATTTGAAAAGTCCCTCGGCGCAGCGTCCCGTAAGCGTCAAATGCACAATACGGGCCGCCGCGCCCCAGAGGCTCCAAAAGCACCCCTACAAGATTGGTAATGAATCGAAGCCCCGCGTATTCCGTTGGCGTGTCGAGCAAAAAAAACCCACGCGGCAAAATTGGATGTGCCGCAGTCAGCTCGGATGTCTAAGAGTGCTTTCACTGGCTTACAACGAAGGGATGCTTACTATGATTATCGTGTGGTTTGAATCTACTGGACATCCAACTTTGGTTGCATCGGATGGAAGCTCAAGAAACAGTTGACGAGGAAGCCTAGGAGTCGGAAGCGCAATGGCAGAGATCCATGGAGGATAAAATGCAGTACCAGCCAGGGTGCACCGAAGTCCGTAGACGTCTCTAGGTCTATCGGTGGACGCTGGGTACTACTGGCATGAAGTTGAGCGCTAGCCGATCGATGTTGCCAACGCCGTGTTGGGCGTCACGGACGCGTCTCGTCACGCGAGGCCGACGTGACACCTGGCCAGCTGCGCACCAACGAACTTCTCCACTGATCCCGCCGCCGACGCTGACAGTGATGATCTGTCCAGATGCCACCCCACTTGACACTCGGGGTGTCCGAGTCGGCAGACACTCTGACTCGGAGTCTTCAACCTTTTTCTCATCGGTTCTCTCACAGCGGCTGGCGCTTCAGTGACACCGACTTCGTCCCCAACCCGTTCGTCCAACGCTTCAAGCGCGCCTCCGCGGCCCTCTCCACTTTCGCCTCTCAGGGCAGGTCCACCGACACTCTGGTCAACGAGAGCAACCCGGCCCATCTCAAACAAGACAGCCTCCATGAGAAGATTTCTACTCAGGCTGGACGTCCACGCACGTCGGCACCGTTGCCTGAGAGCGTCCTGGTGCGCATATTCGCATATTTCGACCCCTTCAGCCCCAACGACGTCCAAACATGCCTCCGGGCGGCTTTCGTCTGCCGCGAGTGGGCGGAGCCGGCGCTCGGTGTCGCATGGTCTAGGCTGCCACACCTGGAGCCTCTCTGGTCCGCCCTCCTCGATCCAGGTTTGCCCAAGATCGAGGAAGACGCGGTTCTGGTCAGAAAGGGGAAGATGGCGATATCGGTCAGTCAACCTTCCGTTGTTTTGAGGTCGTGCGCTCACTGGCCACTCTGGTCAGATTCTCGAAACCGAGTCCTTCCGAGACCCGGTGCGTCAGGCGCACTTCAAACGCCTCGCACGGCGCGTCCGTTATCTCGACAACATACAGCTCTTGGCGACCGAATCGGCACTTCTCAACGAAATAGTGGCGCTCGACACACTGGCTCCCGTCTTTCCTTGTCTCCAGATCCTCTTACTTCATTGGCACGGCAACTACCCCCAAGCGCCCATCATGCAGCAACTGTTCAACTCTCAAGCCCTCTGCACGTGCATACCACCCTCGTTCCTCACGCTCTCGATCGTCGGAGCGGACGGAAATGGCCGGTGCTTCCCGGATCAGGAGTGGCTGAACAAATGCCTCGAACTCGTGCATGGTATCGCTGGCTCGTCTCTCAAGAAGATCGTCATCTCGTACCTCCCTCAGGACGCACTCTGGATCATCCCCTCACTGGAACCGTTCAAGCAACTCCATACCATTGCCATCGACCAACCTATCACCCCGCCAGCTCTTCGGAGCGTCGGAACATTGAAGCAGCTGGTCGCCCTTTCCATCAACTGCTCCACCACTGGCGACTGGGACGGTGTCACCTCGATCGACCTCCCAACGCTGCAAACACTCATCGTTCCCGTAGGATCGTCCACAGCGCTGTGTCTGCTCCTCAAAGCACTACAAGCCCCAAAACTCAACCGGCTCGTGATGCTCGCCGAGAACCACCACGTCGACACGCTCGACGAGATCGCCGCCCTCGTCGCCGCCGTCGCCGCGTCGCCGATCTCCACGACCATCCACGACCTCACGCTCCACATCGACCCCAAACCCCTCGTGCGCGCCGACAACCGCATAGCCGGCGGTACGCCTCTCGCGGAGTTCCTCGGTCCATGGCTCACGCTGTCCCCGCTCCGGGCGCTCACGGTACACTGCCGCGACCCCGGAGCGATCGCCGCGGGCGACGACGACTACTACGCGCTGGCGTGCGCGTGGCCGGAGTTGCAGAACATCGTCGTGCGGGACTGCGGGCACGGCCCGCGCCACGACGGACCCGACCCGTCGCGCGCGACGACCTACCACTTCGCGATGCACTGCCGGCAGCTCAGGGGGTTCAGCATCGGGGGGCTCGCGCCGTTCTCGGCCACCCTGCATCGGACCAAGGAGTTGAGGGAGGCGGAGATCAGGAAGCTGAAGGCGCAGGGGCGGTTGCGCGTGGAGGGGGTTCCGCGTGAAGGAAAGGGGAAGGTACTAGGTGTTCCGCCGACCTGAGAAGTACCAAGTCTCGGAGGTTCAACTTGTCTAGCTCCGCGTCCGTGTTTGACGTCGTCCTCACCGACCTTTACCAGTGCATATTGGAACAGCATGATCATTCCCGACTAAGATTTCATAGACGCTCTCAAAGTGAACCAGTGACTTCCCATTTGGGACTTGGTACTGCGGTAGGGCCGGCCAGGCTTAAAGCACGACCTCTATCGTCGCACCATCTCAGCACCTCCCCACTCCCCACTCCCAGCAAGGATCGAGGCAGGCATGATTCAAAGCGCGTTCACTACGCTCAGAGGCAGGATCAAGGCAAAAATCAAGGGTGCTGATCATGTGCGTTGCTTTATGCACAGAAAGACTGCCACCGGATTAACGCCCATGTCCTTGCTAGAACACCCACGAACACGAAGATGCGACGGGGCGTGCGCTGCAGATACATGAGATTGTCGTTTGTATCATCGAACACTTCGACGACTCCTTCACAAACGCGGATGGTCTCAAGGCGGCCTGTTCTAAAGCAGCCCTGGTGTCCCGCTCGTTCGCTGAACCGGCATCTCAAATGCTCTGGAGGGAGCTCTCGCCGAATCTGGATCCGTTGTGGCGGGTATTTCTCTGTACTCGGTCTCTACGGAACAGATGGAGCGTCTCGAGCGCTCTCAGGCTTGGCACACTCAGATACTCAACCCGGGACGAAGCGGAAAAAGTGAGTCGCTTGGGGCTCTCCGGGCCCATTCGTACAATCCAAGTTCACGCACTCATGAGTCCGGCTCGCAGGTTCTAGCTTCAAGGCGTTACACCGACAAACGCTTGTGTGAACGCTTCCATCTCTGCGCGTCCCGAGTTCGACGTCTGCACGTTCCTGCGCTAGAGTTGACGTCAAAAGATTGGACTCTCATCAAGAAACTATCTGCGAACGGTGCCATCACCGAGCTCTTCCCCGCGCTGCAAGAGCTGCATCTCCACGTCATAGAGATACCCATCCACCTATCCGCGCTCGTCCCTCGGCATCTCCTCCGGCTCGATATCGTCATCCATCACGACGAGTCTCGTGAGCACGCCGCAGGGATTATCGACCTCTTCCGGGAACATGTCCCCAACCTACGCGGCTTCACGATCCGGAACGAACAGTCCAATATTGTCGGCTTCAAAGTTTTCTACGATCCAGTCTCACTCGAGACACTTCACTCAATATTTAAACTCCAAACACTTCAGTCGCTAAATCTCGAGAATGTTTCCACTCCTTGGCGCACTCTCCTTCACCTTATCGCCAACGCCGGCTCCGCATTCCAAGATCTCCTTTCTCTGTCCGTGCATCTTCTCGACGAAGTGGCAGACGATGATGCATCAACTGCCGACACTCCAGAGTCGCCCCTCCCCGTAGCGCACCTTCCTCGCTTGGAGCAGCTCGTATGTCTTGGGAAATCCAAGGACATGGCCTTCTTCACCTGTCACCTAATGGCACCTACACTCTCTATTGCCAGTTTCCCCTACATATATTACACGTCAACCGCCCAAGACGCGTTCGATGACTTGTATTTTCAGCTCACTGCGCTGGAAATCTCTCCATTTCGGTACAGCCTTCAAGGCCTGCTTCTGAATTTCAACCCTGGCATGTATTTGAACAACCTTGCAAGTCCCCCATACGCTTCACTTACGGTACTCCTACGCCCCCTCTTTTCCCTCTCACTCCAAATCTTTATGTTCGACATCGCGACCCCCACCATAGGCGTCAGGATCACCGACGAAGACCTCGCTTCCATCGCCGTCGCGTGGCCCGGCCTCCGCGTCCTCTCCATACAACGTCACCGCAACGACAAGTCGCCCAAATTGGGCGGGGATGCGTCCCTCACTTCGCTCCTGCGCTTGGCCCAGCACTGCCCCGATCTCGTGACCCTCAGCCTTCTCAACGTCTTCTTCGACTTAAGCGTCCCAGGCGAGGCTTTCCGCGCGAAAGTGTCCCCGGCCCGGGAAATGCGCACACTCACCCTAAGCGGGCCCGGGGACGATCTGCCCCCGCGCACATCGCGTCTCATCGCGCGCCTCCTGGACTCCGTCTTCCCTAACCTGCAACTCTCCACATCGACGATCGCGACGCAGCATCGGGAGAAGGAAGAACCCCTGTATCCGCTGTGGGAGGAGGTGGTGCTGGAGATCTTGGAGCGTCGGTATCCAGGGATGTGGGCAAGCGAGGGCTTGTTGTCTTGAAGTCCTTGCCATGCGATCCCGTGTTCTACAAGTCTGTCCGGGGTTCTCAGCTACGTACGTATGTATCATCGAATGCGCCACATCGCCTGGAGAGTCGATGGCCGGGGATATCCACGGGCGCGGGGCTGCTTCTTTCAACAGCGGGCCGACGATGGCCTGTGTAGGGTCACTACCATTGGTGTGGACATATCTACGTGTTAATTACATGTCTTCGCTCGTCGCGGACGCGGGATGTTGCAAATTTCGACGCCTCGTCGGCGCGTCGTAACGCACCAAACCACGGCCGCTCGAGATCCACTCCCACAACCGCGACCTCCAACCCACGATCCCCGATGACGGGCGCCGGACTATCGCCTCCAGCAACGCTGGCGCCCAATGGGCACCAGGCGGAAGCCCGTACCTCCGTCGAGCGGCCGCGTCGACCGCGCGGGCTGGCGTGTCGCCGGCAAACGGGACCCGCGCAGGTCGGCGCGGGTGGCTCTACGCTGAAGCCGCGCCATGCGGGGGGCGGCGCGCGTGTCGGCGTTCGAGTGTGCAGCAGAGACCGCGGGGTGGACGGACAGGAGGTCGCCGAGACCGCGGGGAGCGAAGACGCACTTGACAAAACCGTCACAGAACGCGGGTGAATTCGATTGCGCGTGGGCCGAGGAAATTCCGCGTGTGATTGACGGGAAGGCGCGGGGCTCCGTGTTGCGATGGATGAGGTCGAAGAAGAGCTGCGACGTTCCGTTGACCGTCGACTCCATCTCTTGCAGCGATACAATGTCTGCCATGCCCGCTTTCGATTTCCTACGACCACAGCCGGACGATGGACGAGTGTGGCCGCACATCCAGTAGATGAGATGCGCCCGGACAACGCCACGTGTTGCTGTTTCTTTCAGTGTACTAATCCATCATTTCGGCTCGTGCGCGTCGGGGACTGGATCTCAGACCGACGGGCGTCTGGAGGAAGGGTGCGGCGGTATCCAAAGAGGCGTATACGGACTGTTTTTGCAAGCGTGCACGGTACGACACAAACATGAGGCTCGCATGGATGGATGCTGTGAGAACGCAAGGCGTACCCAGATATGCTTCCTCGAGCCCATTAACTCCGCCTTCACCTCTACCTAGCCTTGTGAGTTGAGTACGGAAACCAAAGCTGAGGTGTGGACCAATGAGATCAAGCCTGTGAAGGCGAAATCAGACGCACCGGCGACGCATTCACGAACTCCAAGATGACTGTGGTAATCATACTCGCAGCTCACGTTACGCTTGGGTGGGCATCAGAAACGACTTGGTATGGGTCGCGTTCAGGGTAGTATGCGCTTTGAGAGGACACACTTGTCGAAACCAAAGCCCGAAGACAAAAGCGCTATGGAGCGGCGGCGCATTTATCCCCTCGACCCCGAGGCGACGGATGAGTTCGACGATGGAAGCGTGAAGCTTGCGATCCGTGCGAGTAGATGTGCGGTCCACAGAGAACCTCCGGCAAAAATGCCGCATATTGCGAGCATCGCACAACTTGTCGCAAGAGAGGAGAGAGGAGTGTGGGGAAGAGCAGAAAGACGAGCAGCGTGATCGCGACTCGGGAAGCTGAGCGCTGAGCAGTGAGGTTGTCGCCGAGCATAGGCAAGGAGGCGCTGGCCTGGCACCCGCGGGCCGAGCGAAAGGCGTGACTTTGGTGCGGGGGCGGGAGTTCGATCCCTGGATGATGTCCCCTTCGGGGTGACATACGAAAAAATTGGAACGATACAGAGAAGATTAGCATGGCCCCTGCACAAGGATGACACGCTTTCCCGGAGTGGTAGACCTACGGGTCTCAATATTTATGCTCCATCGGCCTTTATTCTTTCCATTTTGCCTCTCGCCCGGGAGTAAGTGGCCGACACGCACTCGGCGCTGTTATGCTTCTTGCCCCGCCGTCTTCACTGCCACGATGAATCCCCGCCCACCGATATCCATGGCAGTCCCACGATTCAGGGAGATAGGTGCGTTTGGCTGCCGACTAAAGATTCGGCGAAGTGGGGTCATTGAACCTTAAACCCAGGTATCTATCGCGCCCGTCTCCTCGGGCTTTCTCACCAACGACCACGACAAGCATGGTGCTCAGCATCCTCCTCACACTCAGAGAAAAGATCAGGCAAGCGGTCAAGCTCAAGCATGGCGACCATGTGCGTTGCTTCAGGTGTCTGGCCTGCCGGAAAATAACGTCTGTGATACTCTTTGTTAGGCTGCTACCACCGACGGATCACACGAAACGTCCGCGGCCGGACGCGCGCTGCAAATCTACGACATCGTCGCCTGTATCATTGAGCAATTCGATGGTGACTCCTCGGACGCGGAGCTCAAAGCAGCCTGTGCCAAGGCGGCCCTTGTCTCTCGCTCGTTTGCGGAGCCGGCATCACAGATGCTCTGGAGGGAGCTATCACCGGACCTGGATCCCTTCTGGCGTATATTCCGATCTCCTCAGTCTCCGCAGAACGCTTGGAGAATCTCACGCGTTCTCCACGGCCAAGAGAAGCGCATATACACACCTGAGGATGAAGCGAGAAAGGTAAGTGACCGGTCACCCCCTTCGTTCACGCACTTCTGAACCTGGATCGCAGATCATCTCTTCTGTGCAGTACAATGACAAATACTTGCGCCAACGCTTCTACCACTGCGCTTCCCACGTGCGACGCCTGCATCTTCCTGTGTTCGTGGCGGCAACCGAATGGATTCTCATGGCCATCCTGATCACCAAACGTCCCACAACGGCCCCGCTCTTCCCCGCGCTGCAAGAACTGCATCTTCATACGAACTGGATTCCACTGTCCTTATCTAACCTTATCCCTCGTCATCTCCGTCGCCTAAATTTCGTTATCCACCACGACGAAACATATAAACACGCGGCGGGCACAATCGACCTTTTCCGGCAGCATGTCCCCGATCTGTCCGGACTCAGGATCGAATACGACCCAAGGTGTGGGTGGGGCTGGGTCTCTGTTGAAACCCTACAGTCTCTCTGCAAATTTCAAGCGCTCCAGTCACTCAATCTTGAGGAGACTTGCACCCCGTGGCGCACTCTCCTCCGGCTGATCGCCGAAGCTGGACCTTTGTTCCATCAACTCTTGGAACTGTCTGTGCATCTTCTTGACGAGGCGCCTGCCGAAGGCGCACAACCTGAATCCCATCTCCCTGTCGTGTGCCTTCCTCGCTTGCAGCACTTTGCCTGTGTGGGTACCTTCCTAGTGATATCTTCCTTCGTCGATCACCTCCACGCATGCGCCCTCACCGAAGCCAAGTTTCCACGCATCGACTACATCTCCACCCCCGAGGTCGCTTTGCAACACTTCCACCACCAACTCCACGGCCTCAGCGCCTCCTGCTTCTCTTCCCACCTCCACACCCTGCACCTGACTATCGCCCCGCGCATTGTCATCGTCGCCCTAGTCCACTACACCCCCTTCATCTCGCTCGCCACACTCCTCAGCCCGCTCTTCTCCCTCCCAGCGCTCCAAGACTTCGCCTTCGAGGTCGCGATCTCCCCCACGATCGGCATCCACATCACAGACGACGACCTCGCCGCGCTCGCGCGCGCCTGGCCCGCCCTCCGCGCGCTCGACATCCGCCGGCACCCCAACGCGCTCTCCGCGGGGCCCGACTACGGCGGCGACGCCTCCCTCCGTCCCTCCTCCACCTCGCGCGGGGCTGCCCCCATCTCGAACGCCTCACGCTGCTCAGCGCCCTCGCGGGCTTCGTCGTCGGGACGGAGACGTTCTTCGCGGCCGCGGACGGCGCGGTCCCCCCGGCGCCGGCGCTGCGCACGCTCGTCCTGCGCGCGCCGGGGGACGGCCTGCCCCCGCGCGGGGCGGGCGTCGTCGCGGCGTTCTTGGACACGGTCTTCCCCAACTTGGACCTCGCCGCGTCGCTGCTCGTAGCAACTTGTCGAGGGCTCCGAGAGGACCCGCGCCCGCTGTGGGAGGAAGCGGTGCTCGAGATCTTGGAGCGTCGCTACCCCGGGATGTGGACCGGGGCCGACGGTCTGCTCGTCTGACGCGCACCGGGTCGCCGAAAATGCTTTCCGATCGCAGCTACATATGCATCTTGTAACCCACAGGTTCCCAACCCGAACGGCTTTGCTCAGAACATCGCCACGAACTGCTGGCAGTAGCCCGTGTGCCCAGCCCCCTGCGGACGGCTACGCGACCTCACTGGCGTTCACGCATCTCGCGCGGATTTTTCCTCTTCTCCAAGAGACCGCGCTTTTCGAAGCGCTCGCGATTTCCGGGAGACTCCGAGCACCAGCACGAGGGCGCAGGCGACCCACCTCAGCCGACGCCGGCGCTGCGCATGGGTGTGATGGTAATAAACTAGCTTAAGTTGGGGAGAGAGGACAATTGAACGCGTCGTCCTTTCGTCGACTTGACCTTTGCCTTTATTCAAAACTAGTTGAACATTCGTGAAACGCGTACCGCGCACAGACCGCCTTGGTATCTCAGTGCTCAACCAGCACTGGTGTTCCTTCGCCTATATATTGAGAGGATCTCTCCCAAAGCCTTCAAAGCTTCAAGCTTCAAGCCTCTCCCCCCACCACGCGTCTCTCGACCTCAGCCGCCAGGGCGCCTCCACGCCTCCCTCGCCTCCTTCGTCCGATACCGGTCCGGCGCGAACGGCGCGAGCCCGTCGATGCTGGCCGCCACCAGGTCCGGGCAGTGCGCCGCGAGGTGGTAGTGCGTCGCGCGCGACGGGTCCGGGCCGTCGCGGCGCGCGCTGCGTCCGCAGCCCAGCACGATGAGGTCTCGGAGCCCCGGCCACGCGCACGAGATCGCGAGGTAGTCGTCGTCCCCGGCGGAGAGCGCCGCGGGGTCGTGGCAGTGCAGGTGCAGCTGCACGATCTGGGGGAGCGAGAGCCACGGACCGAGGAACTCCGCGAGCGGGGGACCGACGGCCGGGTTTGGTCCGAGTCGGCGCGCGTGGGGGGCGCGAGGGAGACGTGGAGCGTGAGGCCGAGGACGGTGGAGGAGATGGACGAGGCGGCGACCGCGGCGACGACTGCGCCGAGCCCGTCGAGCGTGCCGACACGGTGGTCAGGGTGGAAGAAGCCGATATGGAGGAGCCGGGGGGCCCGGAGCACGTCGAGGAGCAGGGAGACTATCGAGGGGGGGCCTGTCCCGACCAAGATACCGCGCACGGTGGGAAGGTCGACCGGGGTGATGCCGTCCCAATCTTCGGCGTAAGAACAGCCGATGATGAGGGTACTGAGTTGCTCCAAAGTTCCAAGACTGCGAAGGGCAGATGGTGAGATCGGGTTTACGACGTGGACCGTGCGGAGAGTTTGGAACGGCTTCAACGCGGCGACAGCCCAGAGCGCGTCGTGGGGAAGCAGTGAGAAGGTGACCTCTCGGATAGACGCGCCGGCGAAGTCGTCTATGAGATCAAGACACGTTTCCAGCCACTTTCGATCGGGGAAATGGTCTCCGTTTTCGTCCGCCCCGACGATATAGAGGGTAGACAGGGTGGGGGGTATGCACATGCAAAGCACTTGAGAGTTGAACGGTTGTTCATCGGCTGGTAATTTGGAGTAGTTGCCGTACCAGACAACTGTGAGCCTTCTCAGGTTCGGAAAGAGTGGTAACGGCCCCAGGAGTTCAGTGAGAATCATCCCTTCCTCCTGCGTGATGCAAACATGGCCAATCGAGCGGACGCGTTTCGCGAGGCGCGTAAACTTCGCTCGACGCGTCGGGTCTCGGAAGGACCCCGTCTCGAGAATCTGTTGAGGGAAGACGTTGAGCACGGGACATTGAGCGACCGACAACCTTACTAACCGACATCAACATCCCAGCTCGGTGCCCCTTGTCCTTGGGGGAGCCGTCATCGAGGAAGACACACCAGAGCGGGCCAAGGTGCGGCAACTCGGACCATACGACAGCGAGCGCCGGCTCTGACCATGCGCGGCAAACGAATGCGGCTTGGAGGCAGGTTCGTTGATCGTCGGGGTCCCAGGGATCGAAGCATGCGAACACGCGCGCGAGGACGTTGTCGGGCAACGGCGTCGGCGTGCGACGAGGTCCCGCTGGGCCCGGATGCTGAGAAAACGCCGTCTTGTGGACGCAGTTGTCTTCCCCCTTGCCATCGACGACCCGAGTAGTTGCACTAGAAGTGGGGGACCTAACCAAGGCGCGCTTGAAGCGATGAACGGGCGACTTGGGCGCCATGGACGGAAGTATTGGACCTGAGCAGGACCACGGTTGTGTTGGGGGAGAAAGAGGGAGTGGAACGAGGCTGGGGAGCATCTGTCCACGGAACTGCTCGCGTTTAAAGAAGCCCGAGGGGTAGCCTCGTGATGGGTCATCAACATTGGGATCAGTCGAGCAAGTTCGGTTAATGGTTTGTGGGCGCACCCAGGGCAGACCTTGTACCCGACGGAAAAACTGCACTTGATGAGAACGCCTCGGGTCGGCGAGTCGAGAAGAACAAATAATAAGCACTGATCGTCCGCGGCATTTGGAAGAACGTTAGTGATGTGGTGGGTGTCTTCCGTGCGGACCCTAATAGTCGGGGTCAGCGATAGGAAGAGTTGAATGGGTTTGACGTCCACCTTGGGTGTGTCCGAGAAACATGGGTTCGTAGTGGAATTATGGACCCTTGACCGGCGCATCCGTTGACTACAGAGACGACTGTTGCTTGTGCGACGCAGGTTGATGACCTGTGGATTTTCGGCTTGATAGCCTGCATGAGAAGCGCGACGACTCGCAGCCGACCAGGTACGGAGCTTCGCTGATCGCGGATGTGCTTCTAGTGGACTTCTCGAAGATTTTGTCCCGCGCCGCGAAGCCTGCGACGCAGCCGTCGGCGTCGGAAAACTGATGTGCACGCCGAGCCGGAACACCAGTGACACAAGCGACTCGAAGGTGCGATCACCGCTGCTCGACCGAATGTCAAGCTGCTGTAGCGCGACACGGACGTCCAATACACCTGTCTCTAGATTAGATGTAGAGGATCCGGGGCCGATCACCAACGTTTGCGACGTCACCGTATTTCTGCCTTCAGGACACTTGTGGTTGAGTTTAGCGCGTCGCGTATTGTGCATTGGGTTTTCGTCCTCAAAAGATGGAGCAAAGTGGCATATGAGGGATCCAGAGGAGCTGGTGGTGCACAAGAGCGTCATCAGGAGAAAGCCAAATTCAACCGCGCCCGCGCGTGGCCCCGTGACGAAAACGCGTGACAGACGCGTCAGTCACTCTTACAGACAAGTCACTCGACCGAGCGCTTCTCTTGAACGACTTCGTCGACTGCTACTGTCGTCCTACCGGAGATTGCAGGGAGCAAAAACAAGAGCAGTAAATCCACACTGTTTTTATTTGTGTTATTGGCAGCAACAAACGCGGTTAGAGGCTACTACATGACAGTCCAGCACTTCATCTCCAGTGTCACAGGAAACATCCGTGAGTAATCAGTTCGGCCATGTCAGCCCTTGCTTGCTTACCGCTGCATTTACCATGACTAGTCGGTGCACTCAAGCGCAGAACGACCATCAGGAGATGACGAGCCTGGTGAATGACAGCACACCACGAGGCTAGATAGCATACAAGGACCTCGAGATCCGACTGCTCTTCGACGCCAGAGCAATCATCCGACAACTACATATGTGAGTGACATTCGCGATAGTATCTTCACATCTCTGCCCTCTCTGGACCTCGCTCCGCGTTCCCCCAAGGCGATGGCCCAGATGGGCAGGTCGGGCGCCCGACGCCGCGCCTGCGCGACCTGGTGCATCAGAGAATCCGGCCACCAGGCCACGCCTCGCGGCGTCCGTGCGTTGTGGCGTTCTCCCGCGCGCGTGTGTTTGGCCTCTCCGCCGGGGCACGGCAGTCCTACGGACGGCCATGCTCGATCGGCGGAGTGCCCGTCGCGCCTCGCCGGCGACCCCCGACGGCTGAGGGTGGGCGATGCTTATTTCTAATCGCTTCTTCCTGCAGGCGTGTTACGCGCACCCTATGCGAGTGGGCGATCCCGATCCGCAAAACACGCCGTCGACGACTCGCGTACGGCATTTCGAGAGGGGAGGACCTCGTCATCGAATACGGAACGACGGTGGGAGCGCACTTACCGGCGCCCTCTCTTGCTCGAGACGGCCATGGAGACGCAGGTTCTCGCGGCCCGCACCGTGACGCCCTCGAGCGACGCATTGAACAGCACTCTCCGCACAACTTCCCCGACCACCAGCACCGGTCCGCATATACCATTCTGGTGATTCATTTTGAGCCCGGCGCATGACTCGCGAACGCCTCGTGCTAGGACTTCCTCGGTCACGTTACTGCACTCGTCATCCATCTCCCACCGACGACCGGCGATCTCCCCGCCCGGCCTGCGCATCGTGCACTGTGCACCGTCCAGCGAACCACGACCAGCCGGTGCGTCGCCTGACCATCGTCTCGCATTCGTCCTTCTGACGGCTGCGGTATCGCCTGCAGGACGCCGCTGGCTTTCAGCCCGCTGCGCTATCGCTCGCCCGCCAGATAGCGGCCAGTGTGCCAGGCCGGATCTCAGTCCGCCCTCACCTTCTGCGTTGATGCAAGCGTCGGGGGCCCTGCAACGTGCGTGGAGAGAAAGATCTTCTTTTCCCGCACCTTGCGCCGAGTCGGAATCTGCGCTCCGGACGGGCCGCACGTCTTCTCGACTCCGGCCCACGTGGATACGAGCTGACGTAGTTCCCAACTACTCCTCCTTAGGACCTGGCGACGAGCGACGCGTCTATTACTCAACTTTTACACCAAGGCAAGGTATGTCTCAGTTCGTGCGCCCATTGTGTGCTGTCTCGGGCTAGCAGCTGCTTCGAACTCACTGGAATGTTCCCTGTAGGCATGCAGCTCTCAAGGCGCTGTCCGTTCCGGGTTCCGCTCTTCAGCGTCGACTGCGTGCCGGATGCAAATCATGGCTTCGACCCTGCCTTATTGCGTACGTGTCGCTCCAGCTTCAACGAACGAAGCGTTCACTTCCTTCATGCCCATGCTTACCGGCTTCTTCGTCAGCTTCTCTCTGAAGATCTTCGGCAGAAATATTTGCGGAACGCACCCATTACTGCACAGAACGCATTCCGCACTGATCGCTTTAAACCAACGTCTTCTGGACGTATCAAGCATCCCCCTTCCAAAGCAATACACTAAAAATGTGGGGCTCATCCGTTGTCTGCGTTCATGCATTATCCCGAACTGAACGGGTGCCAGAACAACTTTAGTTGACGATCAGGGACGCCTTTCCCATGCTCGGCCTCCTCGCTCCTGAACCCGATCCCCCGCGTCTCTCCGGGCGCGACAGGCGGCAGGACAATATTAATCAGCGAGAGAGCGGGAGAACGTCAAGGCGGGAGAAGTGCCGCGTCTTCGAAGTACGCTGCCCGGCGGCCCTGGCGCTATGCCTGGGATCCGCGCCCGCGACATACGGCAAACCGCCGACACCCGAGGCGCGAGGCAAGCGCGCCGCACGAAGCCAATCAGTTGAATCCGTCGACCTCCATCCTGGGAGCGAAGATGATCTCTACTGAACGTCGACGCTTGGGTGCGTGCTTTCGCGACTGGAGCCTCGTCGCCGTGCTCCCGCTGCCTCTTGCTTCGTCCCATTGTTCGCTGGCCGCTGCACGCGGCATAGACTCCATGGCCCGCACCGTACCGTACCGTACGCCACGCCCCGTGCACTACGCGTGCAGCGTCATCGGCGACGGCGCGCACTCCCGCCTCGCGTTCTCGCCCATCCCTCAAGGTTCAAGAATCAACAGGCCGACCCGAGGACCTCCGTTCTCCAGACTTCAACTCCGACCCACCGCGCCTTCCGAGCGACGACGTCCGGCCACGGGAGAAGGCGGGTGCGCCCGCCTCGCGTGTACGGCCCTCTGACTCGCGCCGCCGCCAGACGAAGCCGGGGGATGTACTAGCGCTGCGGCGACCCGCCGACCCCGCCGCGCTCACTCTTCGAACCTTCCTGCGTCTCGTCGAGCGCGCCCGTCGCGCGCGTCCGCACCGCACCGCCGGAGAGCTGGTGGGTGCTTCTCCCAGATGCGATCTCGCCCCTGCCTGATCCCTGTCCGAGCAAGGACAGGCGCGACGATCCCCCGCATCCGGCAGGTGCTGCAGGGCCCGTCGCGGGCGTCGCGCCGGAAGGCTACTTCCAAGGCGAGACCAAGCCAAACTCACCTCTGTCCAAGCTCTACCGCAAGGTCATGCAGCACAACACGCGGGCCTCGGAGCACTCTGTGCCGCGTCGCGCTGCGTGCGGCGACACAAGGGGAGCATGATGACGATTTAGTCTCGGACCAGCGCTTGTTTCACCTCCTTCCCCAGCGACAGTCGTCCTCGTTCTGCACCACAAGCGCGTACGTAAGTACGATTGTTCACACAGGCTGCCCCCGGGGCGCGCGCCTTCCGCTTCGAGGCCGAGGGCGCGCCCGCCGGTGGTGCCACTCCGAGTCCCGACGGCCGACGGCCGTTCCCACAGCGCTGCCACAATTCTCCGGGGACGGCGGGCCAGGGTGGGCCCTGCTCGGCGGCATGCGGTGACGGCCCTCGACCAGGGGCGTGCGCGAAGTGGTGGCGCGCGTTTGCTTGAAGTTGGTTGACGTCCGAGACACCAAGCAGGGCATTTGTCGTGAGTCCGCGGCGAGCTTGTCTGGCTTAATACTGATGGTCGCGCCCCCTTGCCGCCTCAGGTCCAAGTTCTTGAAGCTTTCGCGCTAGTCGACATCGACGTCGTGCAACGTTCAACGTTCAAGCTCAAAAGTCGACACATACTCGCCGCCCGGCGTTCTCGCCGATGGCCTTCCAGGATATTCTTTTTCCTTTCCCACACAAACGAGAGTGTGTCCCCGCCACCTACGACGACGCAATCGTCCCATCGAGACCAGTCTCTCGCTCGAGATTTCCTCCCTCCCTCCTCAAACTGGCGCCCCTCTCCCGCCTCTGGCAATTATGTCTTCAAACACGATCGGTCGCGCACATGGCCATAGGGGTGTTCGCTCCCCCCTCTCCGTGCTCGGGAACGTTTAACGTGGATCGGCGAAGATTCGGCCACCTCCGCGATCTCACCTCTGACACAGGAGGCGGCGCCCCTCTTCCGGGCTCGTGCGTCGCTGGTTTTAGGACTTTCGACGGCGCAAAGCCCGCACTGACCCCAGAACAACAGGCAAGCAGCGCCACCCACTGCGTACCCAGGCCTGCAGCTGTCCAGAGCACACCGCGTCCGTCCGTACGTACGCGTCGAGCACAGCACACGCCACTGCCCGCCGCCGAGACCGGGCCCACAATACGCGCGCGGTCCACCGCGAAACTCAGCCCAGCTCCCCGTTCCGAGCCCGACGACCACGCACCCCCCCCCCCCTTCCGGCGTTCCGCCACCGTTCCTAGGAACGTTCCTCCCTTCACCAGCCGGCTTCGGGGTTCCCATCAGCTTTCGTTTTCTGCACACACGGGCTCTGGGCTCTGGAGCCTGGGTCTTCGCGTCAAGCGAGCCGCCACCCCGCGCTGTCAGCTCCCCCACTCTCTTCGTCCACGTACACACATCCAGGCAGTCCCCACCGCCTCGCGGCCGAACCCGTCCACGCTCCGCCCACACCAGACCGCAGAAGCAGAAGCAAGGAAGCTCTAAGCGCGCAGTACACACTCAATCAAGCCGTCCAGCGCCAACACCCACATCAGGAAAGCACCCCTGGGAAGCGCGCGCGCGCGCGACCGCAAATTTCAGCGCGAACGCGAGAGAAGCACTTCATCTTACTTGCCGGCGCGCGCGCGTGACCCCGCCGCGCGGGGGCACCTGAGACCGAGTGCTCAGTGCGACGCGGCCTCGAGGCGTGTGCGCCGTGCCCTGGCGTCGCCGGCGGTGGCGCAGGAGCTCGTCCTCGTTTCTCTCTCGAGTCCGCGGGATCAGACGGACGCGAGTAGTTACTTACTGCGGCCGGCGAACACATGGCGGGGGTGTGAACGGCCCTCGAGTGCGCGATCGCTCAGGTGCGTAACGTCGTTTACTTGGCTACCGGGTGATCGTGGCGGGCCCCCTCGGGCGACGATGGACTACTGAGACAGGGTTGGTTGTATTGACTGCTGCTGCGACTTCGAACTACGTACGGACGGACGGACGGAGGGGAACACAATGAGATAGAGATAAGAAGTTACAGAGGCCGATCGAGGAGGGGTATAATGAGGACGCGGTGGGCGTGAGGGAAATCGGGGAAGCGAGAAGATGAAGGCGGGGAGGCGTGGGCAGATTCGATCGTGCGGACGCGGAGGGGATGGTGGTGACCGGTGACAGGCGGGGGACGGCGCCCGAATCGAGGCGGGTCGGGAGGGAGAGAAGAGAGAAAGAGAGAAAAGAAAGAGGCGGGGGAGACGTTAGAAAGGGGCCCGCGCGCGGGCGAGGGGGAAGCGGCAGTGGATAAATATGCATTCTGAATTAATGGGGCTTGGATCGCGAAGCCCTTCGCGTGCGTCTCCGGATGGGGGACGGGGGGTGTGGGGGGTTGGGGAGGAGGGAGGAACTGCTCGTCGCTCGTACACGGCCTACGGAATAATTTTAGGGGACGGAGGGGGCGGACAGCGAGGAAGGGGTCGGGGACTCGGATGCGTATGGATATAGTGGAGTCGGACAGTGGGGCGAGCGAGGATTCGTTAAGCGTGAGAGGCGGAGGTGTACAGCGTGAGAGAAAACTAAGAGACGGAACTAACTACGACGACAACACGGGGCAGGAGATGGGCAGGGATACAAGGACACGACAAGGGACGAGGGACAGGTGCAGCACGGGCAATGATGGCAGCGGACCGGGGATGCGACGATTCGGGATCATGATCTACGCGGGCAGGCGGGACTTGTGCGTGCGATCTGGAAAACAGTGACGACGGCGTCGATGCGACGAGACGGAGACCAAGAGACAATGCGACGATAGACAGGGGAGAGGGAGAGGGAGAGGAGAGGAAGGGAAGCAAGCCGGACTGCGGAAAACGGATGGGGGGAGCAACAGAGGGGCGCATATAAGGGTGGGAAATGCTACATCGCGGATCGTCCATGACGCTTCTGTCCGTGTGGAGACCAGGGCCGAGCAACCGGGACGCAAGAGGGAGGAGGGGGCATACGGGCATAGGGCATAATCATGGTCGTCGTCCAGACGTGGGCGGGGAGGGTGCGAGCGTCGTTCAGACCTTAGAACGTCTGCATCGCGTTCCCGTCCGCGTAAATGTCCTGCGTTTGCATCTTCCAGTCCGTCGGGAGCATCGGCGGGTGCAGCGACAGGGAGCTCATCGGCGGGCTGTCGTCGGGGAGGACCATCGGAGGGTGGAGGTACGCGGCGAAGAGCGCGTCCGTGTCGTCGCTCTGCACCATCGGCGGGTGGTAGAACATCGGCGAGTCGTCCGACGGGGGCAGCATCGGCGGGTGCATGAACTGCGGCGACGCGTCCGGCGGGAGCATCGGAGGGTGCCACGGTCCCCCACGGAGCATGTTGAAGGACGTGTACGGCGTGTACGGGAAGTCGACCGAGGAGCGCTGCGAGTGCGAGGCGGACGAGGACGCGGACGTGTAGGACGAGTCGCCGTAGCTCGAGAACGAGACCGCGGACGAGGGCGGCTCCGAGGCAGAGTCGCTGCTCATCCGCCGGCGCTTGGCGCTGCGCGGCTCAGAAGAGGACTCGACGTCCGAGGTGTCGCCGGAGCCGGAGGATGCGAAGGGGAGCGCGTCGTTCGGGACGTTGTACAGCTGCGAGAGGTAGTCCGGGTGGTACGGCCCGGGGAAGTAGTTCGAATTGCCGCCGAACATGCTGTTGCTGTACGAGTGCTCGCCCGAACCGAGCGCGCCCATGAGCTCCGACTGCATCGAGCTGTAGCCGTTGCTGCTCGCGCTCGAGGGGACCTCCCCGCCGTTGGGCGCGCTCTGCGTCGACGAGTCGGGCGCGAGCGTCGGCGTCGACTCCACGTTGGGCGATGCCCGGCGGCTCGCGCCTGGGCTTGCCGACGGCGGGGTCTCAGAGGAGCTGTTGCCCGTGCCACGGCGCGCGTCGTGGCGTGCCCGCTTGCGAATGACGTCCGACTTCATGGAGATGGGGCGGGCCGACCCGTGCAGCTTGTAGCTGTGGGGAGATGCCGTCAGCGGCCGAGCTCCGGTGCGCTCCCAGGGGAAAGACTTACTACAAGCCGCAGCTGGGAACGCGCGGGAAGGCTTCCGTGAGCGTCAAATGTGGCAACACGGAGGAATTTCACTCACGCGTTGCACACGGTCTTGCCTTCGTCGTCCTTGCGCCAGAGCGGCGTCGCCGTGGTGTGGCAGTTGTAGCATTGTGCTGATGCCCCGCGTCGGAAAAACGAAGGACAGGCGAAAGAAGCCCACTTACCGACGACTTCCTGCGACTCCTGGCGCGGCGCGGCCTGAGCGCGCCCTTCGCCATGGCTGTTCCGCATGCTCTTAGGACGCGGGCGCTTGTGCTGAAGACGTCATCAGGTTAGTCTCGTCGCGACACACTGCCTCACGGGCGACGTCGGGTAGACGTACGAGCTTGCAGTACAGGCCGCACGCGTTGCAGTTCAGCTCGTCGTTGAGCCCTCGGCGCCACAGGGGGGTGTGCGTCGCGCCGCAGTTGGAGCACTCTGCCTTGACGCCGCCGGGGGCCGAGTTGGGAGTGCTGTTTTGCTGCGAGGAGTTCACGGGGGTGGCGCTCGGACCATTCGAGCGGGTGCTCACAGATTGTGTGCGCACGCTCAGGGACGGCCGCTTCCCGGTCGAGGCCGACGGCGCGTGGTTCGCGCCCGGGCCCGAGTTGGGCCCGATGCGCGAGGGCGTGATCGTACGCGGGACGACGTCCTCGGCGGCGTTCAGCACCGGGCGAAGCGGCGCGGACTTGCGCATGCGCTCGTCGTCGCTCGACGCGGACGGCTGGGTGGCGTGGTGGGAGGAGAAGTGGGTGGAGTCTTTCATCTCGACGTCTTCCTGGGTGTCAAAGCGCTCCGCGGGTGGGCGGGCGTCGGAGTGGGGGAGCCCGGTGGACCAGCCACTGGGGGAGTCGGCGTTGAGGATTTCGTCGAGAGGGAGTTCGATCGTGGGGCGGACGATGGAGAAGCCATCGTTGGAGGCAGTCGTGGAGGGGCCGACGCCCTCTCCGTAGGTCATGGCGTTCGTGACGGTGGGGGAAGGGTAGAGGAGGGCTGAAGGGCCGAAGTCTGTGGAGAAGAGGGAGGGGAAACGGAGTGCTGCAGCGTGGTACATGTCGTCCTTGCCGGCTTCGGACTTGGCGGACGCATCGGACTTGCGCCCTCGTTGGGTGAGGGGCTGGTCCTCGGACGTTGCGTTTTCTTCGGTCGCGGAGGCGCGGGTGGATGGGCGGATGCGCTTGACGTCCTTGAACTCGGGCGAAGGCTTCAGGTCCGGCTTCTTGGTGGGGGCGACGGAAGCGACGATGGAGAAGGGCTGGTCGACGGAGAAGGTGAACTGCATGCGGTTGAGGGGACCGCCGATGTGGCTGGCCTCGCGCTCGCGCTCCTTCTCGATGGCGCGCTGCTGGAGGAGCTCGGTAGAGTGGTTGCGCTTGAAGTCGGGCGCTTGGAGTTCTTCAATGCTCCTAGGAAGGGAAGGACGCGGGTTCAGGGGGAGGCGGAAAATTGATTGGAGGCGCATATAGCGAACTCACCGGCCCTTCTCCTTGTCGAGCTTGTCGCTCATGCACTTGGAGAGCTTCTTGAAGTCGCGCTTGGACTTGGCGTTGTCGGAGTCGACCATGAGGTTCTGGAGGTGCCACAGCCTCCAGCTCAAGTTCTCGAGTCGCTGTCCCTGTTCGAGGAAGCTGGCGACCTTGGTGCAAACCTAGGGAAAATTTTCTCGCACCACGGGACGGGGACGAGGGTGGATACGGGAGTGGGACACACCTTCCATGTCTTGGTCAGAGAATCCGCATCGCTGAGATTACTGAACGGCACGAAGGATTTGTTCCCCTGGCAGGGAGGAGAGTGAGCATGGGGGGAGTGGGGGGTGGGGGCATGAGACCGACTTTGAACTTGAGGTTGAGGATGGAGGGCATGGGCCGGGCGTTACGAGGAGAAAGGGGAGAAGCAGAGATACAGGAAGATCGCGAAAGCGTTATAGGGCATCCTCTTGCGCCCGGCGCCAAGGACCAGGGCGTCCGTCGAAGCCGCCGGGAGCCTGGCGCCCAAATATTCGCGCAAACCGCCTGTGTTTGGACTGCGTCCCCGGGCGACCTGCTGGATTGGTCGCCGGGGCCGAGCCGGGCGGTCCGTCGAGGGGCGGGGAGCGGTCCGCGACGGTCGGCAGGGCTGGGTGCCTCGGGCGGAGGACCTACACGTGTGCTGGACAATGATTGCTCTTTTCGCGCCTGTTGAAGGCACGATGTCCGCCGACGTCGTCCCGGTGCGTGCGCGCACCATCCCAGAAGGAGCAGGTGCGACCTCGCCCGGTGGATCGCCCGCCGCGTCATTCAGTCTGCAGAATACCGAACTCCCGCTGCCCCAGGCGCTGGCCACACCTCCCTCTTGCGCTCCTCGACATGCTCGCCCCGCCCCGCTCACGCATGCGCCTCCCCGCCCAGAAGCTCCGTGACCTCTCGCTCGGGGTGTCTACGACAAGTACGCCATCGAACGCCCCGCTGGAACAGTCGCCTGCTGGACAGTGATGGGTGATGAATGCATCCGCCGTCGTCAGCCGTTCGGAGGACGAGAGGCCTGAAGGCCTGAGATGTTCTGCCTGCGCGCGCCGCTCAGCCCGGGCCAATATATCCCAGCTATAGCAGCGCGGGGAGCGCCGAGCCCGCGGGCGAATAAAGCCTCGCAGCTCGCGCCGGAAGCCCCGCCTGCCCACGCGCGCACGCGCGAGCCGGGCCCGGCACCCCACAGCCATCGTGCCGTGCTCCCGAAACCGACGCTCCCAACCTCTCAACGTCATCCCAACAGCCCACAGCCGCGACAACCAGGGGGCGACAGCACCGACCGGGGCCCCGCGCGTGCGCCAGGTGCGAGAGGAGGACGAGGGGGCTTCGCGCGAACGCAGGAAGGCGGCGCGCGAGCGGTCGGTGGTGCTGACGGAGCGGTCACGGGGCGGGGCGGGAAGGCGGAGGATCGGCCTCAAGGCGCGAGGAGAGGATGGCGCGACCGGGTTGGGCAGCAGCAGCTTCCGAGCCCTCTGCCCACCCCCGCCACGCCCCAGATTCTGATGTCGATCGGACCGCCGTGACGACTGCCCGCCGCACTCGGGCCCGCTGCGGAGCCCCGGTGCGCGCCCTCGCGCGCCGCTGGGAAGTGCCCCGCGCGCGTGCTGGGAACGCGCACACACGCCGGGGGGCGTGCGCGACGCACCGCGCGCCCGGGCCTGCGTCCCACTGGATTGCGAACGAGCAGAAGACAGCGCACGACACGGGTGCAACGGCGGCGCAAGTTGAAGAAGCGGACGCTGCAGCATCCATCGGAATCTCGCCTTCGCCTCGCAGCTACGCGGCGGTCGTTCCCGGGCCCAGTGATCCCTCCTCCTCCTGCCCCTTTCCCCGCGCACGCACCACCAATCCCACTGGCGCCCGGCTTCGCGTCCATTGCGGCAGGCCCGTCCCCGCGGGGAGCTTCCTGCCTCCTCCGGCCGTCCGTCTCAGCTGGGCCGCGGGAGGCGAGCGCAGGAAGTGAATCGCGCAGCGTGCTCCCCTGGGCGACGCGTCTTCTGCCCAATCACCCCGCACGCCTCGCGCCCCCCTCCATGTAATTCCGCCGTCTACCGTCCTCTCTTCCCCCACCCAACGCTGACCACCAGCCGCCGCGAGACGCTCGGCCGTGCGGCCGTCGCGCCGCTACTGAACATGCACGCCGCGCACCGTATGCTAGTGCCACCCACTCAGGCCCATACTGCTCATTCACCCGGTCTATCGCTCCGCGGGCCATGGCCAGCGCGTCCCTGGTGCGATAGGAGCACCCACAGTCAGACATCCTCACCAACGTGCGAGCTGCGGAGGCCCCGCGCGGCCGCCACCATCCCGTCGCCTGCGCGCTGCCCTAGCACGCACCTGTTCGGGCGGAAATGTGATCCAGCGCGGACGCAGAACAGCGATGCCGCGCCGGCGGAGGCCCCAGTCCACCGCGCGCCATCACGGCGCCGGTGTCCCTCCTTGTTGAATGTTCGTCGTCGTTCCGCCGGGCGTTCCAGCGCGCGCCGCGGAGCGAATCTGGGCGGGGGACACGCATGACTCGCGCTCGCTTGCCGGGCTCTTCTGTCCTTCTCCTTCGCTTCTTTGGGTGGCCACGCTCACGCCCTCGAATCGCTTTTCGTTCGGGGTCTTTGACAACGCAGAAGCACAGGCAAGCTTGTCCAGCTGAAATCTCCAAGGCTATCATACGGTTATTGTGCAAAGTGTTCCTTTGGATACATAACCGGATGTAGATCCAAGTAAGTACAAGGCGACGCCCGTCGCCAGCCGCCGTAACCAGCGCCTATGAGCTCCGCTTTCGGAGATGTTGGCGGTCTCAACTCGCGCCGCGGTGGGCACATGTTGGCGCGCAATGAGCACTTGACTCTTGAGCGGTGCGCGCCGACGGTCGCCAGGTCGCTCGCTTGGGCCACCCGCGAAAGCAAATGAGTACTTCGACATCGCCGCGAGCCGGCGGCGCATCAGAACGGAAGGCACCGGCGTGCCTTCGGCGCTTGCAGTCCTTCTTCCCCTCCCAGACGTGCCTTCCCAGCTCCAGGATCTCGAGCTCGAGTGCTCGAGTCACACCCGGCGCGAGACGAGCGTCGCGTCCGTACTCCCAGCAATCTCTGTGGGCAGCACCGCAATTGAGCGCCCGCCCCCACGGATGATGGCAGCCGAACGGCTCGGGCGGAGCGAGCGAGCGCACGCATCGGGCGCACCGCGGTCTGCACCTGAGATCGCGCGCCGCCGCGTCTTCTTCTTCGAGTCTTGGGACCCAGAGGCAGCTGCGGGGTAAGTAGCAGTGGCCCGACAAGTGGCACGGGTGACAGCAGCATCTTCCACTTCTCGCGCCACGCTCCAACGCACCGAACGTTGCGACCGCGAGGACCGCCGCGCCGCGCACGTCATCTGCGCAAGATCCGGGTCCGGCCGCGGGGCTCGGCGTGGGCTGGGGACGGCGGCAGCGCGAGAAGCGGCGGCCAGGGACGGTGCCAAGTGCTCTCGCTCCTGGGGTGCGGGGCGAGCTTCTGTCATGATGCACAACGTTGGACGCGCGCAGATCTAGAGGCGCTGCGGACTTCGGGGGGGCTAGAGCGTTGAGTAGCGCGAGGGGGCGTCTAGCCGCTCGCTAGCCGGCGGGGACGGGGAGCGACGGGGAGAGCGCACCCGATGACGGCAGCCGCGGACGCGTCGTCCGCGACCAGGCTGTGGCCGAGCGCAAGCGAGAAGCGGGCGGGGCGGGAGGGATCTGCGGACGGCCCGGGAATCTCGCATGCGGCGCGCGACGCGCGATGGCGCGCGATGGGATCTGGGCTCGGGAGGGATCGACATCGACGGCGGCGGGCGCGGGCGCGGGCACGAGCGGGGCATGCGGCACGGTGGGGGCGGCGGGCACGAGGCTACGAGAGGCGCCGCGGCTAGCACCCCTTCGTCCTCCGCGGGCGAGGAGGCGGGTGCGTGGCGCCCGGGCGGACGCTAGTGCCACTTGTGCCTCGCTGGACGCGCCTGTGCGGAGGCGTGTGGACGGAGCAGCGGGAGGCCAAGTGAGGCCCTGCACGGGCGTGCGCGTTGCGCAGTGAGTGCGGTACGTCGGGCGAGCTTGTGTGTGCGGGCTTGGAATAGAAGCTGCAAGGTCCGTAAAACTTCAGCTGCACGCTACGGAGGCGAGGCGTCGTTGTGGAAGTTAAGGCACGGCGAAAGGCAGGAGCTGCTTGACGGAGCGGTGGCGAACGTTGGGCGTGATTGCATGTGGCGGCTTGAGCGGCGCGAAGCCGCGGTCTCGGGACAGGCGAAGCGCATCCGACACGGAGCTCGGGCAGCTGTGTGGTTGTGGACATTCTCCAAGGAAACGACCACGATCGCAGTTATGGGGCGCGTTGAGGGCCGTGTGGCTCACTCCCGCGAGGTCCACTGCGTATTATGAGAACCGTCAGTGAATTCGCAGGGATTGCCCTGAGAAGCAAGCGGGGTTCGCATCGCTGCCATGGACGGGCGTCGAAGAGCAAGCACGGGACTTGCGATGAGGGAGATCGACGGGGTAGCCCGGGTACGGAAGTACAAGGGTCCACGGCTGACAGCAAAATGAAGTGAGCGCCGAAGAAGGTCGGGGATAGCGTGAGTATCGAGCGAGAATATCTCTGGTGTTTCCCAAAGACGGCGGAGGAAGCGCTGTCGGATTAGGTACTTACGTCGCCTGGGCGGTATGAGTGCGGTGATAGATGGGCCTCCTCGAGGCCGTCAGATGCCCTTGGCCGTGACCTGGGTTGGCTTCTAGCCCCGAATGCCACCAGGGTCGAGGAGAAGCATCCGACTGCTTCGGGGAGAGACATCGCAGCTGTTCGTGGTCTTGATGGGTGCTGAGACTGGCAGGACATTGGCACATTGTGGGTGTGCTGGGCATGTTAGAGACGCGTATAACACTGAGTTTGGAAGGGAAATAGCTGGAGAGCATGGGAATAGGATTGTGTCCGAGAACGGTATGGAACTCAAGAAGTATCGAAGACTCACGTAGGCGATCTCGAATTTTTCCAAACCTACTCGGCCGACTTCCGCCTCATCGACAGAAAGACGGATTCGGTCTTATACGCGCCGTTCGTACACATTCAACAGTAGCATGAGCGCGAATCTGTCAAGGAACCATTAGCAAAATGAGACGGAGGAGCCATCCTGGACTAGCGAACAGTGAGTCATCTCACGAGTGAGTGCGACAAGATGCAACGCAGTCGACATCATTTACAGATGGTATGGAAGATGAACGTGTGCAAGAAAGCGTTGATGTGGGCAAGAGAACATACCACACTTGACGCCACGCGGTCTTAGGATTTAATCGGGAAGATATTCGCACGCCTTCAGACGCCCTCAAGTTCGCCTCGAAGATCGGGACTAGTCGTCTGGCTAGTCTAGTTACAAAGTGAAACCGCTATAGTGTTGACGATGAGTACGAAGTTGCTTTCCGACGATCGCGTCCCATGACGGAAGATCGGGCCGTTTGCCGCATTAGTCGACGTTGCTCACGCCACAACGCCCCAAACTGTGCGGCGCCCATCCTCCTTCCGCTCTTGCTCCCGACCTCAACCTTCCTTCTCCTTCTCCTTTCGCCCTCACGCCCCAATCGGCGCCTACCGCCGCAGTTATGCGCCGAGATCGAATCATATATGGGAGTAAGCAGTCTTCGCGCACTATGATCTACTATGATATGCTCACTGCTTACTCATCATAGTCCTTGAACACGGTCCGACTCGGAGATAACAAGTCTGGTCAGGTGCAGCGTGTGCATCATCCCGGCCGCCTGCGCTCGTACGGCCAGGCGGTTCGGAAATGTTCTCTATGGTCGTCTGAGATCGTTCGTCATCCGAGTCATGCTGCTGTTCTCGCGCTCTCCACCTCGAGGGTGGTCACAAGATGCTCCGCCTGCACGAGATTAGCAATAGAAGGATCCTCGCGACCCGCGGGTAAGACTTTTCTCCTTTTCCGGCCCCCGCCCCCCATCCCCGAAGTCTTCCGATCGTGCAGGGCGCGTTCGGCCCCACTCGTTATAAGCGGCGGGGTAACGTGGGGTCCCATCGACGAGCGTGTCCTGACTTCTCGGCACCCCGTGTTCTCTCTAGAGACCTCCACACAGAAATACCTGCTGTACAAGACACTATAACGCGAACACTGAGCGAGATGGTTCTCGCCGGCAGGAAATTGTATTATACGATCAACTTCGTGGCCGGTCTTGCGATCTTCTTGTGCGCTCCACTTTCCTTATCCTCTCTTCCTCCGCGAAAGCTCACTCGTGTTCAGTTTTGGCTATGACCAGGGAATGATGGGAGGTGGGTGGTTCCCCATACCTAATCGACAACCTATGGTGCTCATCATCCCGCACAGGTGTCAACACGTCGCCGGACTATGTCCGAGTCATGAAATTGGGGTACTCCACGTACGTCTTCGCGTCAGTGCCACTATATGTGATATTCACATCCAGGTCCGCATAGCTACGAAGGCCCCTCAGAAGGGTTTGTCGCGACAATTACCGAGCCCACGCGGCAGGGCGGAATCGTCAGCATCTACTACTTGGGCACCCTCATCGGCTGTCTGATGGGTGGCGTTCTCGGTGACCGGTACGTCTGTTCCTCCATTCAAGGGACGCGCTGCTGAACGTGACGTATATAGGATCGGACGCATTAAGACTATGATTTTGGTGCGTTAGTTGTTCAACGTTCACTCGTTTCGCCACGTTCCCCTTCCTTTGGCCTCGCTTGCGTGCATGTACGTCTGTGGGACGTCACCGTACCTGTATGCAGTGGCACACTGTGATAAGGCTCTGTGTTGAAGCTTCTGTCCGGCTGGAAATTGCGCTCCGATGCTGACGTGACTCCCGGTATTAGGGAGGCTTTTGGGTACTCTTCGGCGCTGCGCTCCAGTGTTCCGCACAGAACATCGCTTGGTACGTGACGTGAACCAGGCATGAGGCTGCATGTCTGACCCCTCATTTGCAGGATGTGCTGCGCTCGCATCATCAACGGCATTGGCACCGGTTACCTGAACGCAATCGTGCCAGTATGGAGCGCCGAAGTTGCCACGCACACTTCGCGCGGGGCGTTCATCGCGAGCGAGTTCACGCTCAACATCTTCGGTGTCGTCGTCGCGTACTGGCTGGAGTTCGGTCTCGGCTTTGTTGGCGACGGCAGCTCCCAAGTGCGCTGGAGGGTACGTAATGCGCCAGGCAGAACCTCATTCGCGAACTGACCCTCTTTTACCTTCCTCTAATGCAGTTCCCGATCGCTTTCCAGATCATCCCAGTCCTTGCATTCATGGTGCGTGTTCAGACTTCTGATAACACCTGTTCGGCTCGTCGAGCTCATGCCGTCGTATTACAGGCGTGTGTCCCATTCATGCCCGGTAATTACATAAGTCTTCGTCACTGCGCGCCAAAGACCTTTCTGACGTTCTGACGTTCCGACCCTGTGACGTCTCTCTTCACCCCGCCCATAGAATCCCCGCGGTGGCTGATTAAGATGGGCCGCATTGAGGAGGCGCGCGAGATCCTGGGTCGGTTGCGGTCCGAGGATGGGAACATCGAGGCTCCACAGGCGCTGCGCGAGTACGAGGACATCGTGGCCACGGTCGCGCTCGAAAAGGAGCACGCGAAGCGCAACACGTACTTCTCGATGTTCTTCGGGCGTCACGACGGCGGCCTGCACATCGCGCGCCGCGTGCAGCTCTCGATCTGGCTGCAAATCATCCAGGAGTGCGTCCTTGTTCAATGTTCGCTATAGTTTTCCAGCGCGCTCATGCGCCCCTCGGCCCGCAGATGGGTCGGCATCGCCGCGATCACGGTCTACGCCCCGACGATCTTCGCCGAGGCCGGCTACGGCGCGCGCAAGTCGCAGTGGCTCTCCGGCCTGAACGACATCACGTACATGCTCTCCACGCTCCTCGCCGTCGTCACGATCGACCGCTTCGGGCGGCGGATCGGGCTCTGGTGGGGCGCGGTCGGGCAGGGCGTGTCGCTGATCCTCGCTGGGGCGTTCGCGCGCCTGCTCAAGGACCACCCGGAGCGCGCGGCGGAGTACGGCGGCGCGGCGGCGGCGTTCGTGTTCATCTACACCTTCGTGTTCGGCGCGACGTGGCTCACGATCCCGTGGGTGTACCCGACCGAGACGTTCCCGCTCGAGGTGCGCGCGAAGGGCAACGCGTTCGGGGTCGTCGGATGGTCCATCGGTGCGTCCTTCTTCCCCCTCTTCCTCCTCCTCCCCCCTCTCCTCTCCGCCTCGTCGTGACCTGATGCTAATGGGCCCGCTCGCGCGCACGCAGGCAACGGGTGGCTGACGCTCCTCAACCCGGTCATGTTCAACCGGATCGGGGAGAACACGCTGCACATCTTCGGCGCCGTCAACTTCCTGTCCATCCCGTTCGTCTGGGCGTTCTACCCCGAGACCGCGAACCGGACACTGGAGGAGATGGACTACCTGTTCATGAGCGACAGCCCGTTCGTGTGGGACGAGGAGGAGAGCTTCCGGCAGAAGACGGCGGAGATCGAGCGCAGCCGCGCCGGGGGCATGCAGCCGCTCCCCGACCCGGATGTGAAGGAGGCGACCCCGTCGACGGAGGAGGCGGCGTGAGCCTGTGTGCTGGGTGGGAGCGTGGTGCGAGATTCATAGATTTAGATGCTTCGACGGCTGTGTGTTCTACGACTTTTACGAATGAGACTTGTGGATGTGTACATGAAGCGGACAGTGGGATGTGGGACATGAGAGATACCGGAGCGTCCAGGAGCGCGCCAGGAAGATAAGCTGCCTAGTATGTGCGTCGCTATATACTTATGCGTGATCAATTGCAAGTCTCCAGACGTGACTGACGCGTCTCGTCACGCATTTTCGTCACGGTGCCGGGCTCTGTCTTCCGGGCCCCGCCGGCGAGTCTGTTCCCTATCCCTCATATGCCACTGTAAATCTCTCTCTCTCCCACAGTTACTGTTCCTGCATCCATGCGTCATCCGCAACCCAAGCCATACGCCACCACAGGCGAACCCGGACGCCCAGCCACTGATGCAGTCTAGTAAGGATACTTGACCTTCAGCCTCTATGTGAACTATCTCATGCTTACAGAGCAGACACTGACCCTCGGGGACTTGAGGCGTTGAGGCATGATGCCAGTCTGTGCCAGTGGACATATGTATTGGCGACAACGCCTGCACGTCAAGCGTAGAAGGGCTGGGGTTAATGTTTTGCATTGTGAGCTTTGTCTCTCTTTCGTGCATTCCCGTCTCGACGTCTCCCTGCTATACAAGACCTCAATATGAGCAGCCTATTGTGATTATCTCGCCGTACTGGTCCGACTTCATTCAATACTTCTTATCGGGTGCGGTTTTCGAGTCGTGTACGGGACCGTGTGCCTTAATAGTGCTCACACGCATTCAACAGGACTGGCTCGACTGACTCCATGTTGATGATCTATCACGGTGCTACTACTCAAGCTTCCTTTAACGCTCGCCGTCCCTCGGCAGATGCTACTCACCCTCTCTCTTGCCCCCAACATCGTCCATGCCACCCAAGTCGCTAGTTCAACGCCTCAAGCGTGCCTCTGCGGCTTTCTCGGGTCTCTACGGCTCTCGCGGAGGATCTACCACCTCAGTTGCAACGACCTTGGTTGGAGATAGCAAGGCGGAAGAGGAAAGCGTTCAAAAGAAGACTTCGTTCAAGGGTTCGCGCTCCGCAAGACCACTCCGGCGCACGCCTGCGCCGTGGCCTGAGGACGTCCTCGCGCGCGTATTCGCATGCTTCGATCCTCAAGACGACGACGACCAACGAACCTGCCTCCAAGCCGCATTCGTTTGTCGCGGATGGTCGGAGCCAGCCCTAGGCGTCGTATGGTTCCATCTGCCGCACCTTGGCCCGCTATGGCCTGTCTTCCTCGATGATGATTTTCCCGAGATCGAGGGCGAAGCCAGTCTAATCAAGAATATCAGGATGTCGATATCGGTCCGTATGGCTGTCGCTCACTCAACATCCCATGCTCAACTCCGCCTACCCTCAATAGATTCTCGACACGGAGTCCTTCCGAGATCAGGCCCGTCAAGCCAAGTTTGCACGCCTCGCGCGACGCGTCCGTTCGATCGTCAATCAGCAACTCACAGAAGGGGAAAGCACAATTCTCACCGAACTGTTATTCTTCGACGAAATGGTGCCTATTCTCCCGAATCTGACGCATCTCATATTCAATTGGCACGGCAACTTCTCCGAACACCCCATCGTGCAAGAAATGTTCAACTCCCAAGCACTTTGCATGTGCATACCCCCCACGCTTCCCACCCTCATTATCATGGGACAAGACGAAGACGGAGAGTGCTTCCCTGGTCAAGAGTGGCTGGAAGCAAGCTTCGACCTCGTGCACGACTTCGCGGGCTCGTCTCTCAACCATGTCGTGTTCATGCAGATCCCCCACGACGCGCTCTGGGCTATCGCCGCCTTGAAGCCGTTTGAATGTCTGTGCAATATCTCCATCCACCAGCCGATCTCGCCATCGGTCCTTCGCAGCCTCGGGTCATTGGAGGCCCTGAGCGACATTGCCATGAACTGCTCGTACACCAACGACTGGGACGGCGTCACCCCGATCGACCTTCCCACCCTCCGCACACTCACCGTCCACCAGGGCCCGTCCACAATGCTCAGCCAGCTGCTCAAGGCGCTACAAGCCCCCACGCTCAGTCGGCTCATCATGCTCCCCCAGAACGACGACGTCGACACGCTCGACGAGCTCCGCGCGCTCGTCGCCGCCGTCGCCGCCCCCCCATCTCCACCACCGTCCTCGGCCTCACGCTCCACGTCGCCCCAAAGCCTCGAGCGCGTGCCGCGGCCAGCGTCCCGCTCGCGGAGTTCCTCCGCCCGTGGCTCGCGCTCCCCCAGCTCCGCGATCTCACGCTGCGCTGCCGCGACCCCACGGCGCTCGCCGCCGGGGACGAGGACTACCTCGCGCTCGCGTGCGCGTGGCCGGGGCTCCGTGTCCTCGACGTCCAGGGCTGCGGCCGGGGCCCGCGGCGCGATGGGCCGGACCCGTCGCGCGCGACGAACTACCACTTCGGGCTGTACTGCCGGCAACTGAGGACGATAAGGATTGGCGGGCTCGCGCCGTTCTCGGTTACCCAGCATCGGACGAAGGAGCTGAGGGAGGCGGAGATGCGGAAGCTGCAGGCGCAGGGGCGGCTGCGGCTGCGCGCGAAGGAGGATGTTCGTGAGGGGAAGGAGAAGGGGTTGTGACTTTCCGTAGGCGAACGAACTTGATCAGTACAAGATCCACCGTGCTTCGCGCGGCGCCCAGCTGGACGCGAACAGACGCACCGAACGGGTTTGCGAACACCTCACAGGCCATAATGACGACCTTCTTTCATAGGATATCCTTGCACGCTCCCACAGTATCGCACCGGTGATGCCACTAGACAACTATGGTACAATTGTAGCATGCAAAAATTAACACCGCCCGCTTTTCTTTCTTTCGTACTTATCTCGTCCGATGAGTGTAGTTTGAGCTGGTGTGCAAACACTTGACGTGTGGGTCAAACCGCGTCGAGATTAGATTAGATCCACGAGCGAGTCTCCCACGCGATGGCGTAGGTGCGCGGCAGTCTGGTGACGTCAGTTCCATTCGACTCTCATGGCACTCGGCGCTCGCACTATCGCTCAAGTACACAGATGGTCGACATCCCGATAGACATCATCCCATCTTCCACCTGGATCCCGACGACCATATCGACCTTGGTGGCAAAGAAGACCATGACCAGGTTCAACTCACTAGTAGGAACGTGGCCTATGCACGGAAGCGGCGGCATCAAGGATGTTATTTTGTGATGAAATTCCCGTTGCCAGACCAAGATGGCACAGCGTACCTTATGCTCGATACATGGCCGCGCTGTCTGATGGAGCGCGGAGAAGTATGCGAACCCTTTCCGGATCCCCGCTGTAGTAGGACGGATAAGTATACGGTTGGACGACCAGGGCGCGCGCCTGGAGCGCTTGGTGTTATGATGTTATCCGCGTTCGCTCGCGCACGTGGCAGCCTCACATACATTTGTCCGTGGAACTGCGCTCTCACTGTGATCCTCAGCGTTCAACCTCGACCTCGGCCTCGACCTCGAACCTATGTCCCGTCCGCCTCTCCGGCAGCATTTGAACGCCGCTGCGTCACTGTTCGCGAACGCTCGCTTCAACTCCCTCAGCAGCACCGTTCGCAGTGGCCATGCCAGTTCCGTCACCGCCACCGAGCACCCGAAGCCTCCCAACGATCTGTGGGCCAACGAGGAGTCTGTCTGGAAGCCGTGGAAATCCGAAGAGTCCCCCGGCTACGCACCTCTCCAGCTCGGAGAAGGTCTTATCGGCCAGCACGCGCAATACAAGGTGAACCGAAAGCTCGGCTGGGGAACCGAGTCTAGCGTCTGGCTGGTGGAGCGGGTGGCTTCAGAGTGCGTTATGCTCATATTGCCTCGCTTTTGCTGACAAAGGAACGACGATTTCTAGACGTAAAGCTTTGAAGCCTGGGAGGCTTCTCGTAGCCAAGGTCCTGACCGCTCACGCGCTCACGCCTCTGAGCTCGAGTTCGGAAAGAGCACCTGTCAAGTCCCTCTGATGGCTGATGTCATCACACACTCTAAACGGGCCGCAAGCGTAGACACGACCACCTTTTACATCCCCGGTGTGGAACACATTACCGCTATGATAGATTGGGGTGCCCATCGCACTCGAATCGGCGTGCATGTTTTTACTGTCTTCGCGCCCATGTCGACCACGTTGCATAGAGTGCAGCGTGCATTGAGGACGGTCGACCCCAACCGCGACGTGCTGCTCGTCCGACGTGTCGTCCTGCAGATTTTACACGCCCTCTCGTGCGTGCACCAATTGGGCTACATCCATGGAGGTGCGTGGTCATGAACACTATCTGAAATCGCCTCCTAACCCCGATGACCCGCAGATGTCAAGGCTGACAATATCTGCGTACCTGTGTTTGACGAGCTCATTCCCGATCTGAAGAGGTACTTGGAGACAGCGCCAGCGGAGAGCCTCCCTCCGCGCGTATTCCCTGATTACAGCCCCGACCCGGTCACATGCGTCAAAACGCAGCCATATCCTCCGATTGGGGACGACCACCATCCGGACAAAATCTACCTTCAGCTCGCGGACTTTAGCAGCGGTGAGCGAGGGACATTGTCCCTGGCTTCCTTACTGACCACTGCCACGACAGCGATCCGCACGTCCAGTTACTCCACCACCCAGCGGGCCATGCCCCGGATGTTGCGTGCACCGGAGGTCATCCTAGGACGTCGCTGGGGTCAGCCCATCGACATCTGGGCACTTGGGTGCTTGGTGAGTGGCAGGTGGCCAGCGTGTCTCGAGTCACCCGCCTGATCGCTTGTTCAGGCTGCGGAGCTGCTTCTGCGCCGACCGCTCTTCTATCCAGGTGACAACGAGGACGACGCGACTGACGGCGAGCACCTCGCACAGATGGTCGAGGTGCTCGGCCCCTTCTCTCAGGGGGCGCTCGCGAAATGCCCGCTGAGAAACACGTTCTTTAACGCGAACGGTAGGAGTTCCGTCGCTGACAGACGCTGCATTGTTCGTTGATTGCGGGATAGGTTCGCCAAACTCTGCTGGCGGGGGTCAACGCGCTCCCGTCCTCCCGCTTCGCTAAAGCCTTGCCTAGGTCGGGCTGACTGGCATAATGCTGGACGAGGTGGATATAATTTTGTGCTGGATGTTGGTGTTGGACCCAGACAACCGACCCACTGCGAGCGAGCTCCTCAACGATCCTTTCGTCAGATACTTTGATCTCCGAACGAATACTTTCATCTGAACATCACCGCCAAGTCTGTCTACGAATCGTCCATGTCATTTGGCTGTTGTCCAGCTTGTCCGTATCGTTACTGCTGCGCAATTCTACTTGTCAACCAACGCTCTTTCCGGTGTGATCATCCGTCCGCTCTGCACATCCTGCAGCGCGCACTCGCACGCTCGTCCAACGACGGGTAGCGCTGATCCCTGGGGGCAGGTAAAGTTGGAGGTGCATGTCGACGGATTCCGAGTCGAGCGGAGTGAGCAGCAAAATGCAATTGGTGGGAGGGTCATACACAAGCCGGGGACTGAGGTTGAAAAACGCGTTGTACAAGTACAACTACAGTCACCTACACGTTCATCCAAAGCTTACCGAACCCCTCCATCTAGCTCGTGCCCATTACGTCGCCCGCCGCCCCCGCGCAGTCGGGATGTACGTGATGTCCTCCTCAACCGCGAGCGCGCGGATCTCGTCGTTCTTGATCTCGGTCGTCCCCCGGCGGAACTTGTACGTGCGCTCCTTTTGCACGCGCTCGTTCGGCTTCACGTAGTCGCGGAGCATCTCGGTGTGCGAGGCCGTAATGACGCACGCGTCGACGTTGGAGCCAGAGCCGAGATCGGTGAAGATCCCAGCGGAGATCGCGGCACAGACGAGGTCGAGCGCGTCAGTGCGCTGGAGGCAGAGAGCGGCGCGTAAGAGCGAGGTTGGGGTAGGAGAGAAGGGTCGCTTGAGAGCATGAACGAGGACGTACCTCCATGTTGGGCTTCCAGTTTGCCTCAAACACCGCCATGGCCGTCAGACTTCCAGAACCCACGGTGACATATGGGAGTTTGTATGTTGAGCCACGTGGGTGGATAGTGAACAGTTGGAGCCGGTGACATCTACTCCGCAGAGGACGAGTGCGGTACCGACATGTCCTTGGTATCTGGACGACGTATGAGAAGTGAATGCAATCAGCTAAGACGGACGCACCGGAAAAGCATCTGCTTGGGCATGGTCACAACGATGGGGCCCGCCGTTGCACGTCTGTCGGCGCCCAGGATGATTCCGTCTTTAGACAGGCAGCCCACGATGGTGGTACCGGTGCTTGTCGCCTTCGGGAGCGGGATGCCGCGGTCGGTGAGGAAAGAGTTCCGAACTGTAGCCACTTATTAGCATATAGCCAGGCAGCGCCTGAAGACATCGTACATACCGAACCTCGTTCGAAAAGTCAAAGCCGGCGCCCTTGTGCGCTGAGGCCGACGCCATGATGAAGCAGAGGATGAGGAGGGTCGGAGGAAGAGCGAGCGGCGGGGACGGTTACGCGTCTGGACCGCGTCAGTGCTACACGCGCGTCGAGCGGACCCCGGAGACCGCACGCGGCGGTGCTCGGAGTGGCCGCTCGCTCGTCTCCTCCTCTGCCCTCCCATCTCCACCCTATCCCTGCACGACCGACACCATGGACGGTTGGAACAAGTTGTCTTCGAAATTTGCGGGCATCAACCTTGGCCAGTCCGCGAGCAAGTTTGCCAAGGGCTTCTCCTCCAGCGTGGAAGCAACGAGGGAGAGGCTCGGACAGGCCGCCCCGGAGGAGATCACCTAGCTCCCCCAGGTCCGTCCTCTTTCTGCGAAATCGTGCGGGGGCGTCGCTCATGCTTGCGGTGGACGTACAGAGTACAAGGGCCTCGGGGCCCGTGTCGACAACCTCCGCGCCGTCCACCTCGCTCTACTCACGTGAGTGCTTTCTTTTCGGCTAGATCACATCGCTCACCCGAGTCATTGCCTACGGGCTACGCCCCCACGCACAGGGTAACGATATGAATACCCCACCCAAATCCAAGAATCCCTCACCGCGGCACGACGACCGGGACCGAGATCACCAACTTCGCCGCCGCGAACCTCAAGGGCACCGCGCTCCCCACCCCTGACCCCATCGAGCTCCCTGCCCCGCAGCACAAGACGCCCCCGCACGCGATCGCCCGGCAGGCGGCCATCAAACATGAGTAAACACACGACGGGACGGGCCAGATGGGAACCGCCGAAATAGGACGTTCACCAGGCTGAGACCATGTTCCATGTCACGGTCACGGCCTTTGTCTGGTATGCGCCACACCAGACAAAGACCAGGTATCATGGTCACACCATGGTCTCAGCCTGGTCTCCGTAATGCTCTAGGCATCGCTGACTGCGACGATGCTACTTTACCGATGCAAACTGGACATGGGTCCGCGATGCTCCACATGAAGGCAACGGACGGACTGCTCGGGGTCCGGAACCCGACGCGCATGTTCATGGAGGCGCGGTTTCCGTGGTTGGCCCTCAGCCAGGAGTCATGGATATACGACGAGAAGCCGAGGCTCTCGCCATCGTGGAAGTTGACACGGAGATCGGAAGGATCAGACGATTGAGACACTGTAACGAGTCTTGTTATCATTCTGGAGCACTTTCATGGGATATCTGTATACGCTCCCACAGTATCGCACTGGTGGTGCAACTAGAACGAGTATGGTACAGTTGCAGCGCGAAAACTTCAATACCGCCTGCTTTTTTCTTTCGTGGTTGTCTCGTCCGATGAGTGTAGTTTTGAGCTGACATGCAAACAATTGACGAGTAGATGGGTGGGGTGCCGAGATTAGATTAGGTCCACGAGGGAGTCTCCCACGCGATAACTTAGCGTAGCTGCGCGCCGGGTAGGCGACGTTCCACTCGACTCTCAGCATCGCACTTGCTCGCACTATCGCCCAAATACAGGAATGGTCAACATTTCGATCGATGTCATTCACTGTATCATCTTCCACCTGGATCCCGACGACCATATCGGCCTTGGTGGCAAGGAAGACCATGACCAGGTTCAACTCACCCGCCGGACACTTCTAGCGGTCGCGTTGAGTTGCCGCAGCTTTGAGGACGTTGCGCTGTCTATGCTCTGGCGCTCTCTACCCGGAGACAAGCCGTTGCTCTCATTGATGCACAAAATGGGGTTCGCGGAACCAAAGCCCTTTGACCCCGCCAGTCACTGTACGCTGACGCACAGCGAACTGCATTCCGTGAGTCATCTGCGCTCCCCAACCATAGAGGCTGCTCATTGTAAATAGGCTCGTCTATGCTTTCTTCCTCCGGATAGCGAAGAAGCCCGTCGTAATTGGACCCGCGTTCTTTGGTACACCTCCAAGGTTCGCAAGATCACTCTCCGGCCCTTCGTGTGGGCAGCAGTTCCGACATTGTGGACCAGAATGCAGCACTTTTTGGAGGGAAAACCAGTATTCCCACGGCTTGCGTCCGTCCAAGCCGTTGTCGACATGTCTCTGATCTACGATTTCCCCGGAGAAGATGAATCCCGGATAGGTCGAGGAGGCCATTTACCTCTGCTTCCTCACACGACAAAGAATATTACCGTCACAGTGATTAAAAATCCTAATCAATCATTCGAAGCCCTATTGAACGTCTTATCTAGCTGCAATATGGCTGAAACCCTACGGCTCAATTGTCGCATGCCCCCCAGTTCGTACCAACACCTTGCCCACCTTCGCGTTCTGCATCTCGCCGGCGCCAACGGGGTCTGTGAACCGGCCGACCTCCTCCTGCTGGAATCTAGTCACGCTCTCGAAGAACTCACCTTCACATACGAATACAATGGAGACAGAGTCGGCGTCACGTCGTTCACTCTGAAAGCGTTGCGCCGCCTCGAGATCTCGGGAGAGTGCACACCCGTTCGTAACCTCCTGGAGGGCGGCAACCTACCCGTCCTACGCCATTTCTCGTTTCTACACCCCCACTACGTGCACCCTGGATTGTTGCCCGACCTCACTGCCCTGTTCGAGACGGTCTCCGCCCGTCTCCCGCACCTGACATCCCTCGAAGCGGTGCGGCGCTCCAAACCCGGCGGGCCCATGCCCTGGCACAGTCTCAAAGTCCACATCGACGCCGTCTTCGGCGTCCACGGCCGCGCGCGCTCAGGCGACCCGCCCGCGGAACCAGACCGGACGCTGCGCTCCCTCATCCTATCCCTGTTCCCTCTCCGCGGGCTCGCCAGCTTCACGCTCGACCTCGGAGACCACGTGCTTTCCTACACCCACGAAGACCTTCACGCGGCCTCCATCGTGTGGCCCGAACTGCACACCCTCCAGCTTGCGTTCCAGACCCCGGGAGAGAGCCCTCCAAGGCAGCTCGGCGGCAGGGCGGGCCGCGCCGGGCCCTCGCGCACCGCCCCGGTTGGCAGGCCCCGGCCCACGCTCGGGCTCACGCGCCCCGACGTGAAGGTCCTCGGGGACGTAGCGCGCATGCACGCACACCTCCGCGTGCTGAGGCTCCCCGCGCTCGACATCCCCCGGGGCTTGAATACCAAGGCGTTGGCGAGAAAGCTCGAGCAGATCGTCAAGGCGGTTGAGACGTGCGGCGGGCAGCAGAGGGCGCTGCGGCGGCTGACGGTCCGGGGGCTCCTCCCTAGGGCGCCGGACGCGGAGGAGGGGACGGCGCGGCGGAAGAGGACCCCCGAAAGCGCCTATAGTAGGCCCGCCGCTAGACGCCCACATTTTCCAGACGGCCGTGTCCGGACTTTGGATGACGTCATGTCCGGACTCCGGCGGTCCTCGGGCGTCTGGAGGCCCTCCATGTCCGGACTTTCGGCGGGCCTCACCAAGGCCTCCCTGGGGCCTCCTGGGGCTCCGGAACATGGTTTCGTACCACAAATACGTCGTAGAGACACATATAGAAGCTAAAGTAGTGTAATATGAATGCTGGATGCAGTATTTCAGCCAAGTTCATCCCCTACGTTTACCGGCGCTTAGAGAAGAGCCGTCGAGCGACGACTCTCTATGCAATAAACTGTGCAGCTGTGTATTATAAGGGCGCGGCGGGGGCGTCGCTCACCCCGTCGAGCGGGACGCAAGGAGGAGGAGGTGAACGGTGCGGGCGCACCAGGGAGGAGGAGGAAGAGGATGGTGCCCCAGTGCTGTTCCTCATCCTCCTCCCCTCGCGCAGGTGGCAAGAATCCCCCGACGCCTCTCCGCGCTTCTCCCGCTCGAGGTGCTCGTGTGCGGCTAGCGCGCGCCCGCCGCGCCCTTTCCGCGCGTGCGCACACCCCGCATCGAGTTCCCGCACGCTGACCGCGACCTTTCCCGCTCCCCGCCGCCTCGCCTTCCGCGGTGCGCGCCCGCTCTACCTCTGCGGTACCACACGCAGGTGCAGGGCGCGAGCTCGCGCGAGAGGGGGAGAGGGTGTAGCCGGACCTGGAGAGCATAGCGGGGGAGACTGCGTGTGCGCTGCACGCGCTTGCCATCCTGCGCGCGGTCCGCCGCGTGTGCGTCGCCTTCGCGCGTTCGAGCCCACGCCGGCGGGGGACGCACTGCTCGCGCGCGCGGTTCCCGCATCCACTTTCAATGGCTGTTAAGGTCTCACGTTAGACACCTTAGGTATCGACCTTATCGACCCTGTCTTTGGCCACGGACAGTCGTATACTGCATTGTCCCGTGTTTGCAAACGAGACGACGCTCACATACTGTAATTACCTGATGGATCTAACTCTACGATACCATTACATACATCCTTCATTTTTCATTCGCATCAAGAGACGCCGCGCGAGGCACACCACAGCGACACTCGCCAATGATAATGTAGTGCATCACTGCTACAAGGCCTATTAACAGCCATTAACATGCTTGAAGCGCATAAACATCGTATAAGTTCTGGCGATAGGCGCCGGCCTCTACCTCCCATCATGTCCGGACTTTCGGCGGGCCGTCCGACCCTCTCTCGTGTCATGTCCGGACTCTCGGCAGGCCTATTTTCAGCGCCTATTGCCCATGTCCGGACTTTGACCCACCCTCGGGGCCCAAAACCGCTAAGCGCCGTCCGGACTCCCGGCGGGCCTACTATAGGCGCTTTCGGGGGTCCTGGCGGAAGGCGGTCGTGCGGTACGTGGGTGCGCTGTTCCCGCTGCTCGACAGCGTGCATTGCGACGGGGAGATGTGGCCCGAGTTCCCGCATCACTGCGGGAACTCGTGAGGCATTGAGGGGAAGGTGCAGTCGAATTGTGCGGGTCCCGTTGCTGAGACAGTCCGCTGCGGACTCGAGCATCGAAGTCTATAGAAAGCGATGAAAATGTACAGCGACACTTTCCAGCAACCACGGTGTGATATCCAAGTTGAAGCGACGGCGGCTTTGATGGTCTGCGATCTTGGACAGTGTTCCCGTCGACTGTGCACAGGTCTTCCAATTGAACCACCAAGGCCTCGTACAGGGCGCCTCCTGGTTCCCAATGAGAAAGCAAGCAAGGATATGAATGCATAAAGCCCGTTCACGGCCGATATCCGGCGGCTGCAACTGGCGAAGGTGAGCTATAAACTAAAAAGCGTGTGTGAGCTAATGGTAGAGGTAGATGCCTTAGGTCCAGAGATGCGGGTGCGGGTGAGGGGGACGGGGAAACAGGATCCAAGGTCGTATCGTAAGGAAAGATCGGTAAGCAATCCGAGAGTTCAGCGTACATGACAGCAGCCCGTCACAGAGCGAGACAACACCACACGGCGTGCGGGGCTCACAGGAACGCGCGGAGGACGACGGCGCCGGCCGCCGCGAGCGCGAGCGCGCCCGCGCCCGCGACGGCGCGCGGCGCGTCGTTGCTGCCAAAGCTCGTCGAGCCGTACATCCCGCTCATGCCCTTGTTCCCGTTGCTCGTCGCGAGCACCGCCTCGTCGATCGTCGCCGTGTTCTTGTACTTGGTCACCGCGCTCGTCGCGAACGTCGCCGCGGTGTCCGGCGCGCTCTCGATCCGCGCGCCGTCCGAGAAGTACACGAGCGCGAAGCCGGGCGCGGGCACGCGGATGTTGCAGGTGTTGTCGGTGTTGCACGTGATCGTCTCGAGCGCCTCCTCGCCCTTGATGCGTCCGTCGGCGGCCTTCATCCCGCCCATCGTCTGCCCGCCCCAGGTGATGTTGTACTTCGTGCCGACCGAGTCCGCCTTGAGGTACTTGACGCGGAGTGTTGCGGGCGTGCCCGCAGGCTGGCCGGTGGTGCCGCCGCCGATCGCGACGCTGATGGTGTACGCGGCGGCGCCGGTGGGGTCGGTCATGTAGTTGAAGAGCGCCATGCGCGCGAGCTGGCCCTTCTCGTAGATCGCGTAGCCGGGCGTGTAGATCGACTTGGAGTTCGGCCAGAGGTCGATGATCTGCGCGGTGCCCGTTGTACCGAGCGTCTCGCCGACGGCGAGGACGGAGTAGAAGATCGGGCCGACGGTCCAGTCGTGGTACGCGGACTCGTTGGTCGGGATCGCTGTTGGGAGCCGAGGGTCAGTACGAGCCCGTCGCGCATGAGAAGGGAGAGGCGCACCAGTGAAGGGGTTGTAGTACACGTTCTGGCCACCAACGTGCAGGAGCGCGTGGGAGAAGTTGCTCGCCGCCATCGTCAGGCCGTAGTCGAGCGCCCAGAGCGTCGCGCCAAACGAGGTCGAGATACCGGCGTAACCACCGCACGAGGCCGAGTTGGTCTCGAACATGATGAACGGCTTCCCAACCTGCTGCGCGAGCGCAGTGGAGCCGAGGTACTGTGCGACCGTGTTGACGCCCATGTTGTGGTTCAGGTAGTTCGCGAACTCGACCTGGGGATCCTTTGGCTCACCGAAGCCTGAGTAGAAGGCGGCGCAGTTGTCATCGGGGTAGCTGGGAAACTGTCAGGAGTTGGCAAGTCAAGGTAACGCAAGGCTTACTGTTCCATAGTCAGCGCGTAGAGGTTATCATGGTAAGTGGTATGGAAGTTGGTTTCCCACATCACTGCAAGATACGCTGGTCAATTATGTGCTGCAGGCTTCGTTCTGTGCACTCACTCTGCGGGGTCCAGTCGCCCGTCGCCAAGCTCGGCCCGATGAGCTTGGTGTCCGTGCCCAAGTTCTGCGCCTTCATCGCTTTCACGACATCTCCGAACTCGCCGAAGAAGTCGTAAGGACCGTATGTCGACGGACGGTGCTGGTGGCTATGCGCGAGTGAGCGTCACCACGCAAGTCGGTAAGCGCGTGGCCACTCACCGAGCATAAAGGTCAGGCTCGTTCCCGACCTGGAGACCGAGGAGGTTGTCGCCCAGGATCTGCTGTCCGTACTGGGCAATCTGCAAGCGGAGTTGGCTGGTGTCGTTCATGGGCACGCCGAGGTACCACTTGACGGGAACGAGTGCGGAGATGTTGCTGAGCATGTGCAAGATCTCGGACGTGTAGAGCAGCGCGGGGGTTTGTGTCTGGGAGGTCGACGCGAGTGAGCGCGCGTCGCCTCACGCGAGGCACGGAAGAGACCTACCGGGTTGTTCGTGTTGACTTTGTTCTTCTCGATCGCCTTGCCGTCGTCCAAAGACTCAACCCATGTCGCTTCTTCCTGCGTGTTTCCGCCGATTCGGATGTACACGCTGCCAGTGCGGGCGGCGACCACGGACATCAAGTTGAGGAATTCTGGGTGGATGTACGACCTTCATGTCCGGTCAGTGGATCTGCGAATCAGCATCGGGGGGACGCCGGACGCACCCATTCAAACCGACTAGATGAGGGTGAAACACGCCCAGTCAGCGCCCACGAAACGAGCGTGAAAACGCAGGAAAAGATCGTGCTCGTGACCGAATCGCGCATGTGCACCTCTCGCGCTCAGTTCTGGTTTCCGTAGAAGTGCTCTGCCATAACGTGTGATGTGCGCAGTCCGGGGCACAGAGAGCGTTTCGTGGTGACGAAATCAAGGCGGGCGCGTCGGACAAACTGCAAGTGATGTCACTCCAGGGTCCCAGCGCCCTCCGACCGCCTGTCCGCCCACCCAGCCTCGCCTCTGCTCACGGTCGCAAGAATGGGCGCATACAAGGACCCAAAAGACGCTCGGAATCGAATTCGAAGGACGAAGGGCGGTACTCACTGACTTGGGTGACGACCGACATTTCGATGGAGAAGCCGTAGAAGTTGCCGTTGAGCGGGATGGAGAGGCCCGGGACGTCCTTGGCATTCTGGGCAAGCTGCTGGAAGAAGGAGGTCGCGGGGAGCGGGTTGGGGAGCGGGGGCGGGTTGAGGACGAGGGTGTCGTAGGCGGCGAGAGTCGAGCCGGCCACGGCGGCTGTGTTGGTTCCGGTGGCGATGACGGCCTGGCCGACTTGGTTGTAGACGGTGACGCCGGCGCGGGCGAGGGCGGCGAAGGCGAGGGAGGAAAGGAGTGGACGAAGGGCGACCATGGCGGCGCCGGGGTGGGGGGAGGACGGGGGAGAGGAGAGAGACAGGTGAGCAGGCACGCGGGGTGCATCGAGGGATAGTATACAACAGGAGGCCAAGCACGCCTAGCTAACGGAGGTGGTGCCAAGCCAGAAGAAAGCAATCTGGGGCTTTGGCCGTGCTTGATGCGCCCGATCGCCCAAAGCCCAAGCCATGTTCGTCGCAGGCTTGGGTGCACCGAGACAGAACAACACCTCCAGTCGTCAGCGCGCGTCGGGGGACCCTCAAGCACTGCGGAGCGCTCTCTGCGGTAGACGAGTGCTCGCAGTACAGTTGCGCATTCGGTGCTTTACAAGCAATGATGGCAATGCCATGTGGTCCGTGCCGGTCCGGGCATTTTCTCCCTCGACTGACACTGGCGCTTGCACGCTCTTGGTATCTTCTAACCGTGACACATCGTCCCGGCATTGTATATATCAGATGCTGCAAGCTCTTACGCATAAGTTCTCAGTCGCCGGGTCAGGATTTTCGTCCCATTCACGTACTCGCGAATGATAGGAGCGAGCAAGTACTTAGGGTGGCAGGCCATATGGCCACCCTCAGTGTCAACGCAGTGACAGCGCCAGTCGCAACAGAGAGCCAAGCATCGGGCCGCGGGCGTCACCACGAACGAAGACGGATCAGAGCAAGCCTGGTATTGGTCATTGATTGTGGGTAAGGTAGAAAACTAAAGAATACATAAGCGTAAAGCGAAAGTCCCATGAGTGTCCGAGCTGAGTGCGCAGGAGAGCAGTACGATACGTATGCTAAGAATAGTCCGAGAGGGGCGTGAGGGCATCGACGAAGAAGGGTGACAGGGCCGGGACAGGTATTGGTACAGCGGGCATGCGAGGGGTGTCTAGAGTCTACAGCATACTATGCAGAGCAAGGACGAGCGAACACGTACGTACAGGGTGCGAGACGAGACCGATCAGCAATCTCGGCAGGTCAGCCCCGCGCGCAGGAAGAGCCACATAACGCCCTCCCAGAACGCGGCCGCCACACCCTCCTCGGTGTTCGCCCCGCCCTGGCTCGTCCCCAGCAGCTCTGTCGGGCGTTGCCCGTTCGAGTGCGCGAGCGACGTGGGGTCGATGCTCGCGGTCGCGAACACCTTCGTGGTCACGCTCGTCGCGAACGTCTGCGTCGCGCTCGCGCCCGCGCTGTCCGCGGACGAGAGGAAGACCAGCGCGGCGCCCGGCGCGGGGACGGTGATCGTGCAGGTGTGCGCGGTGGTGTCGCACGGGACGGTGACGATATCCTCGGTGCCGGCGAGACGGCCGTCGGACGAGAAACGGCCACCGAAGGTCTGCGCGGAAGAAAAAAACATGTCAGTCGGAGAGCAGAGCAGAGGTGGAAGAACAGCACGGACCTGGTTCGCCCACGAGATCTGCTCCTTCTCCGTGATGCTCGGCGCCACGAGGTACTTCACCCGCACGCTGCTCGGCGTCGCGTTCGACTCGCCCAGCGTCGCGCCGCCGACGGATATCGTCGCGGTGTACGCCGCGCCGTTGGACGCGTCCTGGTAGTTGAAGAGCGCGACGCGCGCCGCCGCGCCGTTCTCGTAGATCGCGTACGCGGGCGTGCTGTTGCTCGCGAGGTTCGCGGCGAGGTCGACGACCTGCGCGGAGCCCGTCGGCCCGAGCGCCTCCGCCGAAAACAGCGTGGCGTACATCGGCGCGCCGACGGTCCACTGCTTGAACGAGGACATGTTCGTCGGGGGGGGGTGAACGGCTGTGCGTCGGGCGGCGCGGTCAGCCTCCGCACACGAAGAGAGCGCGGGAACGGTGCGCACGTTGTAGGAGGCGTTCTGGCCACCCATGTGCAGGTGCGCGCCAGAGACACCCTCCGCGGCCATCGTCATCGCGTAGTCGGCGAGGAACAGCGCGGCGGCGAATGAGTCGCTCACACCCCGAAGCCGCCGCATGATGCCGTGTTGGTCTCGAACATCATGAACTGCTTGCCCGCCGCGCGCGCAGCGGCCACACCCGGGAGGAATGGCGCAAGCACTCCCTGTGCGGCGCCATGTCCGCTAATGAGGGGCAGAATGGTCTGCGGGTCGAGCATGGGGCCGAATCCGCCGTTGGGGAACACTGCCGCGCAATTGCTCTGGGCGTAGCTGCGCTCATCAAAGGTTAGCGCCGGGGACGAAGAGTAGGACCAAGGGGAGAGACGTACTGCTCGATAGAGACGATGGAGAGGTCGTCCGCAAACGCCTGTACATAGCCCGCAGCGAGCACGTCCGCGATCCCGAAGCCATGCTTGCTGCCTTGGATGCTCGGGCCGACGATGTTCCCCTTGCTCGTGATTTTTGGATTCGCGCGGATCATGTCCGTGATCGTCTTGAACTCGGTCAGATAGTTCTGGATTGTCCACGTCGCGGGGCGTCGGCCGTGTCTGCACGCGCGACCTGTCAGCACACGGGTTCACGAGGCCGCGCGGGAGAGGATGCGCACCCGGCGAACAGATCGGGCTCATTTCCAACCTGATAACCGACAACATTGTTGCCCAAGATCGCGTCCGCCTGCTCTGCGATCTGCAGGCGCGGGTTCGCGGTGTCGTTGAACGGGATGCCTGCACCGACTCTGTCAGCCTGCGGTCTGAATGTAGCAGGACGGGCGATCAGAGATCCCGCTGTGAGGACATACCGAGGAACCATTTAGCACCGGTGAGCGTGGACACCGCTTGGAGCATCTTGAGCATCTCGGTCGTGTACAACAGTTCCTTCGACTCGACCGTCTGAGGTCCGGCCGGGAAGACGACGGGACCCTTTGCAGTGACCGAGCCGACCGCCGTGGTTGGAGGGAGCGCGTCCACGAGCGTGGCATACTCCTGGGTGTTGCCCCCCAGGCGGACGCGGACGCCGCCTCCGCGATTCGCGACGGAGGCGAGCAGGTTGAGGAACGGCACCTGGAGGAGGGACGAATTCCGCCCGACTACACCCGCACCACGTCACTGGTCAGCAAGCGATATTCGCCTCCGGGTGACGCGTGAGGCTTGGCCGGGCTTGGCCCGCACGCACACCCCTCGCGCGCTGCCGCCCAAACGCCGCCTCCCCAACGCGCAAAGCGGAACGAGCTCGACTCACCGACGCTGCCCACCACGCTCATCTCGACGGAAAACCCGAGCAGGTCGCCGCGCGTCGCGGGGCCGATCCCGGGCACGCTCCCCGCCGCTGCGTGCAGCGCGAGCGCGAACGACGTCGCGGGCGCGGGGACCGCCGCGGGGGGCACCTTGAGCTGCACGCTGTTGTACGCCCCGTACTGCGCGAGGAACGCGGCTTCCTCGGGCGTCGCGAGCGGGCCCTGGCCGAGCTCTGCCTCGGCTTGGGCGCCCCAGATGTCGTAGACGGTGACTGCTGGCGCGGCGCGGGAGAGGGGTGCGCAGAGGAGGAGGAGGAGCGAGAGGGCGCGGATGGAGGACATGGTGGGGATAAGGGTCGTAGAGGTGGACGAAGAGAAAGAGAAAGCAAGTGCGTCCGCGGGACCCGGGACGCGGAGGAAAGGACGAGCGCCGAAGCGGGAGAGAAGCTCGGTCGCAGACGCGTCCAGGTGAGTCGGGGCCGCGGGGCGCAGAAGAGAAGAGAGAAGCGGAGAGGGAGGGAGGGCGGGCGGACAGTACGCACGAACGCGCACGGAAATGCACCCCGCGCCATTTTATAAGTAGCCCACTGTCGGCTCCCAGTGGACGGGTGCACCGCATCCGCGTCCTGATACACTGAAGCGCGTGTCGTCCGAGCAGGGCGGCCTCTCTCACGCGCGCGAGGCGAGGTTGCGCGAGCCGTCTGACAAATTTGACAACGACGCTAGGCCCCATCGTACAGCGCCGCCCCGACGCCATGTAGCGGGAGCACTGAATCACGACGCCCTATCTCTCTGCGCCCTGCGGGCGTAACGCTGAGACCCAACACAAGAACGCACTGGACAACGCTCGGGGACGATAGAACGCACACGCACCGCCGTGGGCCCCTGTTCCAGCCACGGAGGCGCATACGGTAACCGCCCGTAGAGTCTCGATCGCTCTTCCCGCGACAACCGACAGATCCTGCTTCCAGATGGTGCAGCGCAAGTGCCAGCACGTCTCCGAGGCCGGACGTCGCGATTGCAGCCCCAGCGCCTGGGCTGAAGGGCGCTCGCGCTGGCAGTACTGTGAAGCCATCGGCCTCAGATGCCCACCTCCGGGTCCGACTCGCGCGCGCCACGGCGGGGCTCAGGCGCGTCTCAAGACGGAGCGCCACGCGATGCTAGAACTTTACAAGAGCTCGAATGAAAAGTGGTATGGGTCAGAGACCGGAGAGGCAGCGGGCGAGGTGCCCTCCAACTCCCCGATCGTGCACCAGACCTGCAGTGCACAGCGCCGGGCTCACTGCCTCGACGCGGGTGTGTGCCCCCAACGTGCTGATTACAGCTGCCGTCGGGCGCGCATCGATACGCACCCGGGATCTTGCATACATCGCCAGCCAACATATCGACCATGCATCCGCGATCAGTTGGGCCGCAGGCTCGAGGATACCGCGGGCGCGCCGAGAGTCGTCTCCAATAGCATGAATCGCGAAGTCGCGGCGACAATGGATCTGGTAGCACGAGCACGGAGGGCGCCAACTCACCGTCCCAGAATATCATCGCGGCTTGTGCACGGCGATTCGTCCCCGCCGGTTAACTTGCGGCTACGCAGACTGCCATGCTGATGCTAGACACGTGTAACCACGAGAATCAGCACACGGAGCACGAGAAGCAAGTGCTCACTGCAGATCTAGCACGCACTCGGACCGGCTGGCCAATGGCTCGCAAGCGCGTTGACAGCAAGCGCGTTAACGTTGAACACGGCCAAACGGAACGGACGGCAGGGGCCTTCGCGAGCGCTAGGGCAATGATTTGCGTGCGTCGGCGTGTCTTGACTCCAAAAGTGCTAGTGGCTAGTGTGGGGCGAACTTTCTGGGATCTGCTCGCGTGAGCATTCGCATCGCAGCGCCGAGCCTGGAGAGGCGCATGCTTACCTTCAGGCTTCCAAGGCTTCAATCCTACGTACTGAACGCACGCAGGCACTTGAACGCCCGGAGACGGAGACGGAGATCAGCGTACTATTGTGACGAAACGAGGGTATGTACGGTTCAGAGCGCTACGATAGCTAAAGCCACATGTCCAAGCCGGGACGAGTGAACGGGACGGTGTAAAACGAATGGAACGGCAAGGACGCGGGGTGAGTGAAGGAACACGCGTAGTGAGTGTATGCGAGCAGATGAGGGATATGGTGATATTCCAGAGATGCAGCAGTTCACGGAGAGCAGCGGTGACCGGTGACGATGGAGGCGGTACAAGAATGCAAATGCAACTCAGCTGTCGAGTCTGGGATTCGAAAATTCGCCCGGCGCTACCCATGTGAGACTTTGGTGACCACGACCGGCCCGAGGTCTCCGGGGCTGCGAGCGCGAGGCGCCAGCGACGTGCTGCCTTTCGGCAGTAGGCGGGGAGAGCACAAGCGTTAGCGGGCGGTCTATTTGCGTAAGGGAACGAGGAGTGTGCAGAGCTGGGGCGGACTCGCAACTCGCGATGGGGCCGAGGTCACCGTCGGCCGGACGCGCCGCCCAGGACCCACACCGCGCCCGCGAGCGCGCAGAGCACCGCGAGTCCCGGGATGCTGCGGGCCGAGGGCGCCGCGGCGTTCGCCCCACCCTGACTTGTACCACCGAGCTCTGCGCGGTCGAGGCCGTTCATGCCGTTGCTGGTCGCGAGCACGCTCGGGTCGATCGTTGCGGTGTTCGCAGTCTTCGTGAGCACAGTGGTCGCGAACGTCTGCGTCGTCGTCGGGTCCGCGTCTGACTGCGCTTTCGAGGAGAGGAAAACGACCGCGACTCCGGGGCCCGGAACAGGGATGGCGCAGGTCGCCGCGGTGGTGTCGCACGAGATGGTCGCGATTGACTCCTCGCCGGAGAGGCGCCCGTCAGCCTGGAAACGACCTCCGAACGTCTGTACACCAGAGCGAACGTTCAGTGATGTGCCGCAAAGACGCATAAAAGGGCAGCAAAAGATGTACCTGGCCCGCCCAGGTGATGTTGTCCTTCTCCACGACGGTCGGCGCAGAGAGATATTTGACCTTGACGGACGACGGTGTGCTCGACGCCTCGCCGGTCTCCCCGCCACCGACAGAAATTGTGGCGGTGTAGCTGCCGGTGCCATTGGCCTCGGTCATGAAATTGACGAGCACGATGCGAGCAAGGGCGCTGTTCTCGTAGATGGCGTATCCTGGAGTATAGGCGTTTGCGCTGTTCGCGAAGAGGTCGATAACTTGCGCGGTGCCCGTGTTGCCGAGGGCCTCGGCGAGGACGACGCTCGCGTACATGGTCGGGCCGACAGTCCATTCCTTGAATGAGGACAGGTTTGTAGGGGGCGCTGAGATGGTGTCAAATGGATAATGCATGAAACCGGACCACGATGGCTTACGGGTGAAAGGCTAGAAAGATGAGATAAAGTCAGCGCGTGAAGAAAGTACGATGACGTCATGCTACTCACGTTATACGAAACGTCCTGTCCACCGACGTGAATGAGAGCGCCCGTGAAGTTGGAGTATGCCATCTGCAGACCGTAGTCCACTGCCCACAGAGCCGATACAAACGCGTCGCTGACACCCTCGAAACCACCGCAGGACGCGGTGTTCGTCTCGAACATCATGAACTCCTTGCCAGCGGCCGCGGCTTCTAGCGCGCCGTTGAGATACGGGCTGACGATGGACTGGCCGCTGGCATGGGTGAGATAGTTGGAAATGACCGTCTGAGGATCCACGGGATCGCCGAAGCCGGAATTGGGGTATGCGGCCGCGCAGTTGTTGTCTGGGTAGCTGTACAGCAGATTGAGCGGCACAGCAGAGCAGAAGAAGAAGCGACGTACTGCTCAACGGACACGATGCTGAGCGAGGAACTGTAATCCGATATGAAACCAAGATCAAGTACGGAGTCCAATGACCAGGTTCCGGAAACACTGGGGCCACTAGATTGTTCTTGGTGGTGATGAGACTGTTAGCGTTGATGGCATTGACCATGATGTCGAACTCTGCGATGTAATCCGTCTGGTTGTACGTCGAAGCACGATGGTTGTGACTGCCATGCAGCGAATTAGCGAGCAAAACTCATATAGAATTGGTGTACCCGTACGCAGCGTAAAGATCCGGTTCGTTTCCAACTTGGTATGCGAGTATGTTGTCTCCGAGAATCGCATCTCCAGCTTCCGCGATCTGTAGTCGCAGATTGCTCGTATCGTTGAATGGGATTCCTACCCAGAAAGGTCGGAATTCGGGCATATGTGAGGAGGCAAATTACTGACCGAGATACCACTTGACGGCGACCAGACTTGAGACATTGCTCATCATGTAAAGCAAGCCGGTAGTGAAGTCGAGGGTGGGCGTGTTCGTCTGTTCATTGCCAGCACTTAGTGTCGTTCATAAAGACAGGGTCGCCGAGACGAGAGAGCAAAGCCAATGTGCGTGGAGGTCTCGGCGACGCATCAAGTCGCCAGGCACACCGCTGATGACGTCATAGTGCATACACCGCATCCCCGGGAGCCGGCAAGAAAAACCGGGTGTATGCATTAAAAAGTGCCGGGGAAACGGTCTTTGTGAATTTGGAATGCTTGGCAGAGCTCTTCCTCGGGATGGCACATATATACGCGACATGTTACTCACCGGGTTCGATGTGTTCTCCTTGTCCTTTTCAATGATCGCGTTGTCTGCCAAGCTCGCCACGAGCGTTGCATATTCCTGCGTGTTTCCGCCGACACGCACCCGCACCCGCCCAGCGCGATCCGCGACGGAAGCAAGGAGGTTGAGGAAGGGCACCATGAGATACGACCTGCGAAGAGAGAGCGGATGCACCCCGCGCCAAGTGAGCCACGCCGCCAGGGATCCATGCCGAGAGACTCGGCGTACCCGTTCTTGCCAACTATAAGACTCAGTGATCAGATCCCATCACGGTCCCAGCCCGCGCGGGTGGTTAAGCAGAGGGGAGTGTACTCACTGACTTGCTGGACGACGGACATCTCGATGGAGAAGCCAAAGAAGTCGCCCGCCTGCGCGACGGAGAGCCCGTTCACGTTGCTCGCCTGGTTCGCGACCGAGACTGCGAACGCGGTGGGGGCCGGCGATGGGTTTGCGGGCACGGTGAGTGTGACATCGTTGTAGGCGGCGAGGGCGGCGATCCAATCAGCCGTGGTCGCGGTCGCCGACGCGGAGGTCGCGAGCCCAGACGGGGTGGTGACACCTTGCTGGCCGTAGACGGTGACCGAACATGCGGCGCGCGGGACGAAGGCAGAGAGCGAGAGTAAAAAGAGCGGCAGGGGTAGGGGGAGCATGGTGGAGGTGGCGGAGAGCGGGCAGCGCGAACGCTGGAGGAGGAGGAGGGGAGTAAGAGAGAAACGGACGAGACGAGTAAGCGGAGGCTCGAGGCCCGGAGGGCATATAATCCACCATTCCGCAGCGCGCCCTGAGCGGGGGGCGCGGTGGTGGTCGAGGACGGCTCTGGCAAGAACGGCGTCCGCGCCTGGCAAAACTAAACTTAGCCTGCGCCATCCAATCATAGCGGCGCCTCGGCCGCATATGACAAGCGCCCGCTGCGGACCCGAAGTGCGACACACGCGAGAGCATGGAACCCGCCCCGGTGTGCAGTGAATGCACGTACTGACGCTGGCAGCAATGGAGGTCGGCCATCGTCGGGCGTGCACCGCATACCAGTTGCCAGTGCAATGCCCCCGCTCTGTCAACGTTGTCAACCCTTGTGGCCAGAGCGCATTCCAGGCACCCTTCACAGTGAAAACATGACGGCAAGCGACGGATCGCGCGGCTTCAGACGCAGAGCACGACTGCGGAGGATTTCTGGAAGACGCACCGAAGATGACATCTCACTGCCATAGCTAATTCAAGCATGCCACGCAACGGTTCGTTTACTTACCTCCCACCCAGTCAGCTGATCGAAGTAGGAACTACTGATACCTGCAGGGTGGGTGGACAAATCTGCTGTGTGAAATGCTTCGAGGGCTTGATTTGATCCCGAAGAGGACCAAGATGCCGAGAAGCGAGGTTGGGTAAGCGGAAATGAAAAGGGATTAGATGACGTTCCGCAGAAAATGATCAGAGCGACCACAATCGATACCCGGTCTATAGGAAATGACACGGGTCAGATGGTCCAGCACCCTCAAGGCGTGGTACTCTGGTCTACGGGTTCGCGGGTTGGGTTTCACTAGTGCTAGGGGCGACCCTCGGGTACAGTGGGTATACCTGTGAACGCTCGGAAATATGAGTCTAGCAGAACAAGACGGGAATAACTCAGGTTCTGAAACCATCTGAGGTCTGAGAGCGCTTGCGCTATCGCACTGGCGAACCGCGGACTTTAGGCTGTCCAGCCTAAAATTCGTGGCCCCGGGCGCGTCGCGTGCTATTGAGGGGCAATGAAAAGATCACCGGAACGCATATAGATGAGAACGCGAGCTACGAAGATTTCCGTCAAGACCACACCTCTCGAAGGAACTCCTCGGCGAGGAGGGCTATGTTGACAGGTGGTTGTGATGAGCGCGCGCTCCATCGCTCTTTGAATCAGAGTTTTTTTGGATATAAGGGTCAGCATTCTGCTCTGAATGCCGTGGGGTGCAAGCCCTTCAAGCGCTTCCAGTGCTCGCGTAAGAACCACTTGAGCGCGTACCCGTCGTTCCGCTCGTTCGGACCTCAAGAATGTCGCATATGTATGCTCCACGGCGAGATGAGTAGATGGCACTGTACTCTGGGATGCAGCCGCGCGTGCTAATAATGTGGTGAGAGTCCACGCGTGACGACGAGATGGAGGGAAAACTTACGAAAATACTCGAGACTAAGACGCGACATTCACGCGATATAGGACCACCCCAATCTACGAGGTGAGTAGGTATTTAGCCCCAGATGTACCAACCTGTTTAATGAGAGACGGAGATATGAGGTTTCTTCGTTGGACTTGCTGTTATGTGTTTTGCACCCCTTGGCATCTTCATCTTCCTGGATATAAGCGCTCCGAGTACTTGCACCCTGAAGTGCAGTTTCAAGATATGTGCATCAAGAGGAGATAGGTTACAAATATTGAAATCCCTAAAATTAGCAACAAGATGGCCGCGCACGCGCAGAAACCCGTCCTCACCAACTCACCACGACGCCCTGAACGCCACCCCCGCGCCCGCTACCACCGCGGCGAGCGCGGCGAACCCAGAAACGAGGGGCCCGCTCGCAGCGGCTGAGACCTTAAGGCTGGTGCCGCCCAAGTTGGACTGCGCGCGCTGCTTGCCCGACTCGCCGTTGCTCGTCGCGAGCACGCTCGGGTCGACCGTCACCGTGTTCTTTGTCTTCGTCACCGCCGTCGTCGCGAACGTCTGCACGCCGGACGCGTCGTCGCCCGCGGCGGCCTGCGCCGCGTCCGAGAAAAACACGAGCGCGGCGCCCGGCGCGGGCACCTTCACCTGGCACATGTTCTGCGTCTGGTCGCACTGCACCGTCTGCACGGTTTCCTCGCCCTGCCAGCGCCCGTCGGAGCTGAACTGGCCGCCTAGCGTCTGCATGCACGCGCGCGAAGTTAGCGTAGAGCCTGAGGAGAGGGGGAGAGAGCGTACGCACCCGCCCGGCCCAGGTGACGTTGTGCTTCTCCGATGTCGACGGCGCGCGGAGGTACTTGACCTTGACGCTCGCCGGCACGCCGTTGGCCTCGCTCCAGCCGGAGCCGCCGACGTAGATCGTCGCGGTGTAGTCGTTCGCGCCGGACGGGTCCGTCATGTAGTTGAGGAGCGCCATCTTGCTGAACTGGCCGTTCTCGAACACCGCGTACGCGGGGGTGTGGATGTCCGCGTTGTTCGGGAGCATGTCCTTGAGCTGCGTCGTCCCGGATGTGCCCATGAGCTCCGCGACGAAGACGGCGGAGTAGAAGAGCGGGCCGACGGTCCACTGGTGCACGGCGGACTCGTTCGTGGGCACGGCGGTGAACGGGTTGTAGGACACGTTCTGGCCGCCGAAGTGGAAGAGCGCGCCGGAGAAGTTCGAGTGCGCGAGCTGCAGCGCGTGGTCGATGCCCCAGAGCGCGGAAGTGAAGGTGTCGGAGATGCCTGGGAAGCCACCGCACGAGGCTGTGTTCGTCTCGAAGAGGAGGAACGGCTTCCCCCACTGCTGCGCAAGCGCAGTCGAGTTCAGGTACGGCTGCACAAAGTTCAACCCGGCTTGGTGCGTCAGGTACGCCGGCAGCATCGCGGTCGGGTCCTTGGGCGGGTTGTTGGCCGACGGGAAGATGACCGCGCAATTGTCCGTGGGGTAGTGCTCCATCGCGAGATATTGGAGCGACGACCCGTAGGCTTCCATGAAGCCGGTGTTCCATATGTCCTCGGGCCACCAATTTCCGGACGCCAGATTCGGTGCGATGAGGTTGTTCTTGTTGCTCACTTTGGAGTCCGCGGCGTACGCTGTGGTGAAGTCGGCGAACTCGCCGAAGAAGTCGAAAGGACCGTACGTGCTCGCACGATGCCCGTGCCTGCCATTACAGATCAGAAGCGCAAGAAATCGCATGACAGAAAACGCACGCGGCATAAAGATCGGGTTCGTTAGAAACCTGGAAACCAAGGAGATGGTCGCCCAGAATGGCTTCGCCGTACTCTGCGATCTCGAATCTCCAGTTCACGGTGTCGTTAAACGGAATACCTGAGGGTCTGTTTAGTCACAGGCCTGTCATTGGAACATATGGATGCTCACCGAGGAACCAATCGACGTTCACTAGCGAGGAGACGTTCGCCAACATGTACAAGAGGTCCGGAGTGAGTGCAAGGACGGGCGTGCTCGTCTGTAACTCGCAGTCAGGGGACGGCTCGCGTAATAGCATAGCGCATATACTCACTGGGTTAGATGCATCCTCCTTGTCCTTCTCGATGACCTTGCCGTCGGCAAGCGAATCGACGACATACGCAAAGTCCTGCGTGTTCCCGCCGACGCGGACGTGCACCTTCCCCGCCTTTTGAGCGATGATGCTCATGAAGTTGAGGAATGGCGGGTTGATGTGCGAGCTAGAGTCCGGGTGTTGTCATCAGCACACGGCTTCCCATGCAATGATACACGCGACTCACGGGCTGCTTCCGACTGTTGTGGGTGCCGGTAGTCTCCAGTCAGCATACTATGTAACGTTGCGGTCTCCCGCACCCAGATATCCAGCGCATATAATGCCCTTAGCCGAGCCGTTCCCACACCACACCCACAAACCACCTCCTTGAACCCTGATGCTCCCCGCCAAGCGCCAAGCGCCAAGCACCCATCCTCGACCAAACACCCGCCAAGCCACCCCCGCGCCAAGAACCGGCAACTTAGTACTCACTGAGCTGATTAGCCACCGACATCTCAATGGAGAAGCCGAAGAAGGTGCCCGACTGCTTGATGGAGAGCGCGCTCATGAGCGCGGCGTCTGTGGGGACTCCAATGGCGAATGTGTTCGCGGGCGCAGGGGACGGGATCGCGGGTGGGTAGAGGTAGATTGGGTTGTACGCCGCGAGCTGGGTGTATGCGACCGGTGTGGTGGCGGTGGCGAAGGATGTTGTCGTCGGGGTGGCCTGGGCACCATCGTTGAGCACCGGATTTGCAGTTGTTTGACCGAGCAGGCCATAGACGGTGATTTCCGCTCGTGTGTGCGCAAGGAGGCATAGGAATAGGAGGGTGGAAAAGAGTGTAGAGCGCATGGCGTGCAGGCCAACCCGGGGAGGAAGAGCGAAGGTGGAGGGCGAGGCCCCGCGTCGGCTGGCGGAGAAGGGACGGCGACGCGAGGAGAGAGGGAAAAGATGGCAAGCGTGCCGGCCGGAAGCGTCTTATACGTATGCGGGCATGCAGGGGTCTTTGATGCATCATGTGCGGCCGTCGAGAACGGCTTGCAGCTCGGCAAATTTAAACAGGCCACATTGGTTGCCTCGGAAGCTGTGCCGATCTGTTGCCGTAGTTGGAGTGAAACTAGACTACGACAACGGGCAGCTGAAAGGGAATGTGGGATCTTATCGAAAGTTACTGGACGGACCGGCGGACCATTGCCTGGGCGCTGGAAGGCCTGAAATGCGTTGGTTAGTAAGTCCACCTCAGGGTCGAGAGAATGACAACGATGAACATATACTATCTGCTTGAATACCGCTTCCGGCTTGCCAGAGCTCAGATCACGGCGTAAATGGAAGGTAAGTCCTATTACTATGTGAGGAACAGAACGCGACCTATGAACACTGTTCGGTCAGATGGCGTGTATATATCAGAACAAACCCAAGAGCTTGTCAGCCATACCCGTCTGCGACGACGGCAGCAGGGTTTCATCGTTCATGCAGTATACGTTGTTGCTATCAGTCGTTCCGCGATACCATATCTGGAAAGGGATCTTCGTTGCCATCACCACTTCCCACACACATATGGGTGCTGCCGCACGTCGATGCTCCACTGATGCAACGCAATGCGCTCGGGAACTGTGCTAGCATGAATTTGAAGCGATGAAACACAGAGGATACATTATTAACAGATCAACATACTCGAGTACTTACTATTTGCCCACCAACAAGGCTCCCGTGCCACTCAATCGCGTGATGTTGCACCCGAACAAAAGCGTGGACTGTATCAATGCGCAATGTTCCAAAATTTACGCGCCGCATATGAAAGGACAACTCACTTTTGCGAACGTTCAGATGAACGGCACGGGATTCTTGAAAGCATGTGCTTGTGGAGTGTAATTCTCGTTGAACACAAGTCGGGCTTCGTGCGGCGGATGAGTCTCCAAGCCCACACATTCGCTCACGCTTCCAGTCATCTTGACCACGTCTCAATGATTTAGCAGTAAAAAGGCTACCGCAAACGGATGCAAAACTGTCGGGGATCGACGCCCGTGAATGAATAGCAACGAAGGAAACATGGACTCACTGGATTCTTACTCCGCGACGTGGGGGCTGGAAGATTTGTGACGCATGAGTACCGAGTACTGGATATTCGTCGGGTAGTTTCGAGCGTCGCGAGAGAGGTACCCCGCTAGAGATTGAGTATATGCGTGCCAAATACCCAGCTATATGCGCCATATGGGATACGCTCGATGCCTGGGTGCTGTCAAGACGGAGGGGAATCGAGTGCCTCGGTTTCAGCATGAAGCGAAGCACAACATGAGATAGGTATTAGGGGCGGGGGACGTTTAGTGGTGGGTGGAGGAGGAACTATAACGGATTTGTTACTCCGAGCATTATATTGGCAATAAGTGTTAGATCACGTGAAGGATTGATTGAGGCCCGGCTGCACGAGCGAAACTCCAATGCTCCTTGTACACCGACCTCCACAACGCCAACGACCTATCCTCTCATCCTCTCGCGCATTGGTCTCGACATCCTCCATCTCCTCCTTTCTGCCAGCGATCTAGGATGACCGCCGCCAACGCAAAACGGCCGGTAGTCAACTCTCCAGCTCGGGCGACCCGACCTGCGACCCCGCCTGCACCTGCACCGGCGGCCCCGAACGGGAAGAAGAAGAAGAAGAAGAAGGGAAAGGGAAAAGGTGCGGAGCGACCGGTCGAGTACGACGAAGAAGACGACGAGTACGACGACGCGGCACTTCCGGCGCTGGAGTCGATGGGCGGGTTCTATGAGCACGCCCGGACGCGCACCGGCCTCTCTCCGGAGCTGGCCTCGGTGCACGTGTCGACGACGGCGTCGCTGTCCGCGTCGCTCGCCGCGCACCTGAAGCCCACGACGGCGGCGGTGGAGGCGGAGCTACTCGCGACCGCGGACCACCTCGCGCGGAGCATGGAGGGCGCGGAGGGCGGACTCGTGAACGACGAGTACTGGGCGTCCTTCCCGGACCATCTGCGCAACTTTGTACGGCACACTTACTCTCGATTGAGCTCGGTCGGTGACGCGGACCCAAAGACGCAGGCCATGTACGCCATCGCGCAGCAGATGCACTCTGGCGCGGCGCGCGACGGCGGCGGCGGGCGGTTCCCGCCCGGGGCGTACCCCGGGGGGCTGCCCGCGGCTATGCCGTTCGACCCGGCGATCTTCGCGGACCCACAGTTCGCGCTGGCGATGCAGCAGGCCGCGGCGGCGAACGGGGCGTTGCAGGCGGGGGAGGCGGGGGCGGACCTGGTGGTGTACCCGGAGGATGTCGAGTACGGCGGCGAGGACGAGTACGGGAGCGAAGACGACGAGGGCGGGGGGTCGCCGGGCGGCGGCGGGCGGCTGGCGGCGGCACACTTCACGCTCGCGCTGGAGGAGGCCGGAGCGCGGGCGGCGGCCGAGGGGCGGGCGCGGCGGCGGAAGAAAAAGAAGCGGGGGACGACCGGGGAGACGGACAGCGAGGCCGGCCGGCCGGGGCTGGCGGCGGGCGGTACGCCGGAGACGGTGACAAATGGCGGGGCTGGCGGGCGGGGAGCGCCTGCGCCCGTGTCTGCTCCCAACCGTATGCCCGCCGCACGTCCCCCGCCTGCCGCTGCCGCCAACCCGCCCCCGTCGTCCCGCGCGGCGGGCAAGAAGCCCATGTCGTACACCCCTGCCCCTGCCGCCGACCCGCCTCCGCCGTCGCGGCGCGCAGCGTCCAAGGCGCCGATCTCCTCGCACGCGTACGGCCATAATCACGCCCATCACCATCCATCGCCCCCATCCTCGAACGCCTCCACGCCGCACAAGCCGAGACCGCCAGCGACGGGCCAGCAGCCGGCCAAAAACAACAAGATATGGTCTACGAGCACGACCGAGGAGCGCGAGCGCATCAAAGAGTTCTGGCTCGGGCTCGGTGAGGACGAGCGCCGGAATCTGGTCAAAATCGAGAAGGAGGCCGTGCTCAAGAAGATGAAGGAGCAGCAGAAACACAACTGCAGCTGTGCTGTCTGCGGCCGCAAGCGGTACGTCCCCGCCGCCCTCGTCGCCGAAAATTTTCCTGACGTTCCCCGCCGCCCCGCCCGCCGACGACACCCGTGTGCCGCCCGTGTGCCGGCCCCGGACTGCAGGAATGCGATTGAGGAGGAGCTCGAGGTACTGTACGATGCCTATTACGAAGAGCTAGAACAGTACGCGAACTACCAGCAGCGCTACATCTCCTCCGGCGGGACGCTGCCTCCTCCTCAAGGGCCGGGTCCATTTCCGGGCAGCGTCGAACTGGACAAGAACGGTGCCGTCATCAGCCCCCAGCCGCCAAACGCCCACCGTGGCAAGAACGCCATCCAGACAAACGGGCGCAAGCCCGTCAAGTCCGCCCCGGAGAGCGAGTTCGAGGACGAGGGGGAGGAAGACGATCCGGATGAAGAGGTGTATGAGGACGATGAGGACTACGAGGACGAGGACGAGGAGGACGGCGAGGAAGACGAGGACGTGGACCCGGAGGATGATGAGGACCCCAAGTCGGACCGGAGGGCAGCCGCGCGCCGGCGAGCCGCCAATGGTACGAAGGCGAACGGCGCAGATGGTATCGGCAACTTCGGGAACAACCTCACTGTCACCGGCAAGTACCGTTTACCTGCGACGTGGCTGCTTTGCCTATTAACTTCTCGGAAGTAGGGAACATTCTCACAGTAGCCGATGATCTGCTCAAGAACGACGGCCAGAAGTTCCTGGAGATGATGGAACAGCTGGCGGAGCGACGGATGCAGCGGGAGGAAGAGGCGACACTTGACGTGGAGGAAGACAGTGAGGATGAGGACGATGAAGGCGACGAGGATGATGACGAGGAGGACGAGGAGGACGAAGAGGATGAGGACGAAGAGGAGGTATGTGCTTTTCGTCTTTCCTCTCCCCTTTCCCATTCACATATGTGGTGGTGCAGATCATGACCGAGGAGCAGAAGATGGAGGAGGGCAAGCGAATGTTCTCCATCTTCGCTGCGCGCATGTTCGAGCAGCGCGTCCTCAAGGCCTATCGGGAGAAGGTCGCCCAGGAACGCCAACTCCAGCTCCTGCGCGAGCTCGAGGACGAGGACAAGATCAACAAAGAGCGCGAGGCGAAGAAGCAGTCCCAGAACCAGAAGAAAAAGGACAAGAAGCGGTCAGTGATATCAGTTCGTGTGGTCGTGTGCCATCTTGCGACGTCTTGTGCAGGCAGCAGAAGTTGGCCAAGGAGGAAGAGAAGGCGGCAAAGGCGGCGGAGAAAGCTGCTGAGGAGTCTGCGCTACGAGCCAAGCAAACTGCTCTCGAAGAGGAACAACGCAAGCGCCGCGAGGAGGACCGTGCGCGACGCGAGGCTCAGCGGAAGGCGCAGGAAGAGGAGAAGACGCGCAAGGAGGAGGAGCGACGGAAGCGGCTAACAGAAGAGCGCGAGCGCGAAGCCGAGCGAGAACGCAAGAAGCGCGAACGTGAGGAAAAGGCCAAGGCTGAGCGCAGAGAGAAGGAGGAGAAGGAGCGCAAGGCCCGTGAGGAGCGCGAAGCCAAACTCGCTGCTGACCGTGCCGCGGAGAAGGCCCGCCACGAGCAGCAGGAGAAGGTGGAACGCGAGCGCCGCCTTGCCAAGGAGAAGGAGGATAAGGAGAGGGCAGAGCGGGAGAGGGCGGACAGGGAGAAGGCTGAAAAGGAGACCCGGGAGCGTGTCCAGCAGCAGCAGCGAGAGCGCGTCGCTGCCACCAGGAACGCTCGCCAACCTACCTCTCCACGCAACGCCAACCAGGCAGGATCGTCCAAGGCATCTTCCAGCCGTGCGCAACCGCAGAAGCAGATCCTACCCAAGCCCCAGCCTCCCACCCAAGCCCCCCCTCCTGCCGTCCACCCTCCCCGTCCCCAGCCTCCCCAACATCCTCAACCCCGTGTGCCCATGGTTGGTGCGTCCCAGGTTCAGCCTCCCGCGCTCATCACCCCGCTCTCCCACGGCATGCCTCCGCAAGCACCGGGCTTTCCGCAGTCAATCAGCGCTCAAGGACTTGTCCAACCAGTGCTCTCCCCGCGGCTTCCCTTCAACCCCGCCGCCGCTTTCGTCCCCGTTCCCATGGCTCCCGGCCCCGCCATCCCGCAAGGTCCCCCTCCTCCACTCGCGCCGTCCGCGATCCCGCGCAGCTTCGGCTCTGGGAACCCGTTCGACTTCGGTGCCCGTCCCCTCGCTCCGCCCGCCCCCATTGCGCCCCCCTCTCGGCCGACACCGAACCCGCTCGCCTCGCCGACACAGGCCAACCTCGTCCCCGGTCCCAGCCGCCTCGCTCTCCCCGACCCGGGGCCTATCACCCGCCCGTCCATCGCGCCCATCGCGCGGCCGACGACGGAGGCCTCCGGCTCAGGTTCGACGTCGCCCACACGCCGATCCCCGAGCCCGAAGGGCGTTCTCGGCTCCTCCGCGCTGCTCGCCGAGGACGACGAGGTCATCACGACACCGTCCGGTCGCCGTGCGCCGACGGCGGTCGGCTCCGGCTGGGGCACGACGAGTCCCCGCGGCTCGATATCTTCCCCTTGGGGTCCACCAGGCGCGCCGTTCCCCGGCCGCGCGCCCGGGAGCATCATTGTCCCCCCACTCGGGACGGGTCAGTGGATCGAGTGGCCGCAGAACACGAACTTCTTCGGGCAGCCGAACTACCCTCACAACCCCTCCGCCCCGCCACACACCGGCGGCTGAGCGGCCTGGCGGCCTAGCAGCGCTTTCTCTCGTCTCCTCGTCTCGTCCCTGCATCCTCGCCCTCCCCATCCCCATCGCTCCGCGCCCGCTGCCGCGACGAGCGATGCCCCGTTTCTTTATTCGCATCTTGACATTCGTTCTCGACGCTCGCCACCCACTCCCAATGTTCAATACTGCAATGCCCCCCTATTCTGACCTTACGCATGTCATACATCGCTGACGAGTACCAATGCAATAATTGAAAGACCCATGTAACGCCGCCCGTGTCGGGCGTGTACGAATAGGAAGCGTCTAGGACTAGGAGTGTAAGGTATTACAACAGCTTGCTCGACGCGGCAGGCGCGACCCTGCTGCGGATGAACTTGATAATGTACAACGGGAACGCGCTGATCGCGACGATGACAGCCACCTTCCAGACGAAACGGGTAGAGAAGACGAAAGCGAGATCTGAGGCGGGTCGGGCGGTGAGTAGGAGGCACATGCGGTCTTGAAAAGGGGCACACACCGAAGTACTCCTGGAGGAACGCCATGCTGACGGCGTAAATGACGAGGGTCACGATGATAGAAAGCGCCATGTAGATGTGCCTGAGGAGGCAGAAAGACGTCAGGGAGGGCTCGCAGGTTCTAGGGAGAGCACGCGCCATGTTGTGATCTCGAGCGCGACCATGATCAGCTCGTTGAGAATGAGAGCGGTGAACGAAATAGACACGATGTTGAGGAATTCGTTTTCGAACAGTACGAGCGACATGATCATGATAGCAGCGCCTGAGAGAGAGGGCGCGTCAGCGTGTGAGAGCACGAAACCGACACCGACGCGATGCTGACCCTGGTATACACTGATCATGAGCCACATGAAGAACGTCTTGTATGACAACACGCGGCCCTTCGTGAGCTCCTTATACAGCTCTGGGTAGAGCAGCGCGAGGTCCTCGTTCACGTCCCGATCGAGCACGAGTGAGAATACGGGTGCCATGGTGTATGCGGTCGCGTAGCCGACCATGAGCCAGCCCTGGTAGAGCGCGATGGGGGCGAAGTAGAATATGGCGGAGAAGACGGCCTGCATGATGGAGATGATGAGCCCGCGGTGGATGACGAACTGGGCGAGCTTCGCTGAGCGTCGGTATGAGTTGCGGCCGTGCCAGAGCAGGAGCTTGGTGAGGAAGCTGAACTGCGTGACGGAGAAGTCGGCGGCCAACGAAGCTTGCTTGCCCTCCTTCCCGACGATACCAACACCTGAAAACGGGCGTCAGAGGAGATGCGCCGAGCATCCAAGTAGAGCACTCACCGACGTCTGCAGCTTGGATCATGCTGACATCATTTCCACCGTCGCCGATACAGCAGACCCGCTTCTTGGTGTGGTGGCGGATAAGACGGGCAACGTCGGCCTTTTGGGTTGGAGAACAACGGCAGGCGACGACGGCCGAGAGCTTCGTGGCAATTTCAATGAACTCGTTCTTGAACATATTCAAACAAAGCTGATTGTGTCGCGTAAATTAGCCCGATATGCGGTCCAAGGAGGATTGATAATACCTGCAGCGACTCGCCGTCAATGACAAGACAGCAGTCGAGCTTGTTCTGCAAGAACTCCAGCTGGTCGCGTGCTTCGTCTGAGGTCTTCACTGTACAGACATGTTAGCGTCAGATCAAGCGCATATGTCCACCCAACTTACGTTTCGCAACTTGGTGGATGTACTGGTTGCGCGCAACAAGCTTCGTCGAGATCGCGATACACGTTGCCGTCTCGATCTTGTCTCCCGTGAGCATCCAGATCTTGATCCCCGCGTTCCTCAGTAGCTCGAGCGTCGATTTGACCTCGTCTTGCAGCTTGTCCTCGACACCGGTGAGTCCGAGCAGTTCGAGGTCGTGCTCAAGCATGTCCCCGACGACCTGCGCCATCGCCTCGTTCCGGCCCTCCAACTTGATGCTCGCCTGATGATGCGCCTCGCGGAACTGCGCGAACGACTGCTCGCTGAGCTTGCGGCGGGCCATGACGAGCGTGCGGAGGCCCTCCCGGGCCATGTTCGCGCACTCCTCCTCGAGCCAGTCGTTGCGTTGCACGATGCGCGCCATCACGACGTCGGCGCCCTTCTGGAGGAAGGTGATCTCGCCGGTTTGCGCGTCGCGAACAATGATGCCCATCCGCTTGGACTCGGACGTGAACGGGAAGATGTCGAGGACGTCGAACGAAATGCGCGCCCCGGTCGGCGTCTGCAGCTCGATCCGCGTGCGGTCGCGGAAGACGAGGCGGAGGCCGACGGACTCGGTCCATTGAACAATCGCGACTTCGTCGGGGGAGGACGCCTGGTACGTCACCGTGCCGTCATCGTTTTGCACCGGTGTGACCTGGGAACAATGTCATCGGCGGAGACTCGAAAATGAAGTGACGGGCGCACGTTGTGGCAGAGCGCCAGGCTAAGGACGACGTCGTGGACCCGGGACGACATGTCCCGCCGTCCACGGTTGGCTATCTGGACGCCCGTCTGTAGCGAGTTGTGGCGACCGTGCGCTGAGAACATGTCAGTGCATTTGTTGGGATGTATTTCACTGTTCGCCCACCTTGCTCCGACCCGGAACCGAATGCCATTGCGAGTTGATGGGCAATTTCGTCCATGGAGTCGTACCCGTACGACACCGTGCCCATGTGAAGCCTCCTCATTTCCATCTCTACAGAGGACGTTACCACCGCACGGATCCACGTGCACGAACAAGTACGTACCATTCTGTGTTAGCGTGCCAGTCTTGTCGCTGAGTAGGTACTCTATCCGACCAAGCTCCTCTGGGAGCGTGCTCGTTCGTACGATAGTGTTGGGTATCTCGTTGTCAGTCATGATGGATTGCGCATATACGGTCTTGCCCATATCCAGGTTGACACGCAGACTGCAGGAGGCGTGAGCGTTACAATCACCCCAGACACACACAGAGGACGCACCTGATGGGTATAATGGAGGAAAACAAGATGAGGAACCGCAAGATGTAAACATACCACGGCCCTCGGAAGCCGTTCAATGCGACCAGGACCACCGAGAGAGCGAACGTGACGGCGCAGAGGATCTGTGCAGTGTCAGATAACGGTCATGCTTGTTGGTGAAAGTGAGCACCTTCGCCAATCTGTTGATCTCGAGATCCAACAGCCCGACCTTCGTCTCTGGATGGCTCGTGTTCATCACCGCCCGCGTCTCTGCACCGGTGTAGATAACGAAGCCGACCGCAGAGCCAGCAGCGAGGACGGTGTTCGACCACAGCATGTTCTCAGCCGTGAGAGGCTCGACGGTGGGGACCTGTACCATGGGGACGTCGTCTTCGAGCAGCGCGGGAGGGGAGTTGATGGTAAAGGTGCCGATGAACGTGTGGATGTCCTTTGTGGGCGCATCGGCTGGTGGGGATAGGCATATGCACGAATGCAGAGAGGTAAGGGGCATAGGACTCACCATAGATCTCCGCATCCACTGAGAGCAGCTCCCTGTCGCTGCTCAGCTTCTGGCACGCCGGCACCGCAACACGAAGCTTCCAGTCCGTCTCTCCGTCCAACTGGTCCGTGCGAATGAAACATGTTCCGGAGCTGTCCGATGTTCTCAACAGGACAAGATCGGCAGGCACTCGTTGGTTCTTCTCGAGCAAGACGAGGTCGCCAACTTTCAAGCTGGAGGAGGGGATAGAGCGGGTGTGAGGGATGCCTTCTGGGGATGTTTCCGAGTATTCTGAGGGGTCGAGCACGAGATAGCGTTGCGAGTTTGCTTCCTTGTCGCGCAGATTGCGCTTGTAGTCGTCATAGGCCTCCTTACCCATGGTAACCGTGAGCACGAAAGCAAGGGGAGCAACATAGGTGATGATGAAACCTGGGCCCAATGTCAGAAGACGACACCGGTCCTCAATCATGACGCGACGCACCGATCTTCAGAGCGGGGATGAACTGCGAGAGAGCGACGAGAAGGAAGTACAAGTTGAAGAAGAACTTGAACTGCTCGTAGAACACGAGCGGGAGGAAGGTGAAGATATTGTACTTCTGATTCCGGACCACGTTTGGAGGGTACTTGTTCTGCAGCTTCTCTGGCGGGCGGAACGGGATCGTTCTTGACTTGTCTTGCGAGCGGCCCTTCCCTGATGACTTCTACCACGGAGGTTACGCATACGGCGGGCCGATATGACACAAAAACGCACCTGCGAGTCGGTGGAGGCTTCACGGGCTATGATATGCCTCCGCTCCCCGTCATCATCCCGGAAGCCATCGTCCTCGACCGAGACGCCGCCCAAGAGAGTCTCCGCCTCCTCCGGATCGTCCGCGTATCGGTCGCGTTCCCTGCGCTTGCCTTTCCTCATCGCGGCGTTCGAGGCAGCTGCCCGGACTGCGGCGCGCATGTTCGAAGGCCCGTCGTCGTCGTCGCCGTGTCCGTCGCCGGGCTCGCGGTCGCTGAGCTGAGTGTAGCCTACTCTGGCCTTGCGTGATCGTCCGAATGTGTGAAGTGGGATTTCGGACATGTACCAAGGGGCCGTCCGAGTTCCAGGAGGAGACAGAGATGTCAAAGTCTAGAGAGGGTCGTCGCGCATGAAGAACAGTAGTGGTACGCGGCTGGGCCGCAGCGAACGCGCCAGTGCGTACCCAGTAGGAAGTCACGTGGACCATATGGGCGCTGTATCGGAGTTTATACTGTTCTAATTGTGCCTTACAAGAAGGATAGCATTTTTGTGTCGGCGCTGTTATTGTGCTGAAGAACTGGTATCGCACCGTAGCGCGAGACCAGGCTGCCATTGGTCTTCATCGTTTCAACTTTCATCTAGTTCTCGATCCTCCTCCGGCTTCACCGCGACGAAGAGCAAGTCTGAGACGTCTCTGACCTTTTGGTCGAGAATCCGACCCTCGGGCTGTAGTATGTATGCGAACCGGAAATCATACGTGCTCGACGTTGCTCTGTGTCCACTTTGCCAGCAAGCTCACTTAGACGACTGTGACACGAGTACTGACCTCGATGACCGCAGCTTTACCGACTTTCTCTACCCTCTCCGTCTCTCTGCAGACATTTGCCACCTCAACCTGCACCCCCCTTGATTGTGGGCTTGGACCAGGGATTGGATGACCATGGCGGGCCAAGCCAAGTTGAAGAAGTTGGAGCTATCATCGACGAAGTTCTGCGCAAGTGCTCTGGATCCTTCGCCGGGCCACTACATGTGCGCGCGTGACGGTGTCGCTAGTGTCACCTCACCACCCCTTGAAGCCATCCGCCAGCTCGAGCAATGAAGCTGGTGCATTGTGTCTCTATCCCATCGACGGGCTTCAACGGCTGATTCCTTCCGCGCACCGCTTCAGACCTCGGCGCGCGTCGTTCTCTGCCTTGGAATCCTTCTCGTACACAACGACGCTCCTGGAGTCTTCCCCTTCAACTCGGAGAAAGGCCGCATGCAACTGGGGGTCCCCGACCGCAGCTGCGCGCATATTCCATACCGAACATGAGTAATGTTACGCTCCGCGTTCAACCCGAAAGCATCACGCTTCAAGCTTCACCTTAGAGGGCCGTCGCCGCCGACGGTGCCGCCTCCATTAATGGTTCGGAGCCCCTCGATCTTCACTGGACGCAGCGCTCACGCACTTTGACTTAGTCTGGGACATATCCTCGGACGAGGGAGCAATGCAGGGCGCGGAGCAAACAAGTGAGTGAACGGAAAGCAAAAGGAGAATATCGGAGATTGTTGAATGGGCTTCCGGACTTGTCCGGTTAGGCCACTGCTGAGCCCAAGCCGATGACGAAGCCTCAATTTCATCTCAACACCAATTGCTCATCTGGTGAACAATGATTTCGCCATCACTTACTGGATTCGCAGGTACGACAGCGCTCGCCACAACGACCCACGTGTAGATCGTCATCTGAAGTAGCACACCAGTGGCTGTCAAGGTATGTGCATTGTTTTCCTGTGACTACGGAGGATTATCTGAGCAACAATTGAACACAGTGCACGAATTTCCTTTCGAGTCCCAGACGGGGTGATACACACCCTTCAAGCTTTAACACCATCAATCGCAAGCTCGCGGGCCGCCCGGCCGCTCGTACATGTGCATGTGGGAAGACCTGCGGGCTAAAATGACCTCGATAGTCTAAAGATATCCGTGAGCGCAGTCTAACACGGCATGCAAGCTATTAGACATCCTAGCGGTCTTCAATTCCAAGCAGGTTCATTGGGAGGTCAGCCCGCGCGCCTGCGTGCCTAAAATTATGGCGCTTTCGAAGCCGACCCGTCCTACTGGGGTCTCTCACACGAACAGGTCAGTCCTCGCACGCCGGACTACCGGCGGCCAGCTATTCCATCAGAGACACCAGAAGTCGGACATTTGCGACCTCGGGACTTCTGTGACCTAAGTAGGGACCTCTCAAGCTGGCAAGGTAGGTTTGAACAAAGCGCAGAAGGTGAAACTCGCGCGGTCGTCGGCTATATATCCCGGACCGGTGACGACCCGTCCCGACGAGAACGAGGGTGGATCCATCTCCGTTTGTAGCGACATCCTGTGCTGATATATTGGAAACCTACGTCAGCATGAAATGTCGATGTCCTAGCATTATGCAGTCTGGAAGGAAGAAATGACGATCTATGGGTGGCATTTTTTGTTTTGGTATGTGTTCTTAAGTTCATCTGTCCCCAAAGCCGACATCAACTCAAACCCGTTTAGCTTCGTGCATGTCCAATCGATGAGTACGGCATATGCAAGCCACACGCCCCGACACGTTCACGTCGGGGTGTGAACTGAATCACGGCGGTGGGTGGGCCAGGATCCATCCGAAGACGCCACTACAAAGTGTCACAGTCCGAGACTCGGCGTCTTCTCACATCCACCCTTCCTCATTCCGAATTGACCTCGCACCTCGCGCTCGCAGGGGCGGCTGCCTTCCTTCGCGACCCCCAGTCACCACCGAAAGCCCGCAATCGCCTACCCAGCTCCGAGTCGAGTCTGCGCTCCGCCGAGCGCATGCGAATGACACGCCAAGAAGCGCGCACGCGCACATGCTGCTCCCGACGTCGCGCGGAGGTCGCGCGTTACTACCTTTTGCGCGCGGCGCTCGCGGCGAGCCTCCGTCGGGTTCCGTGCACGGTCTCGCAAAGGACCGCGGCGCGCTTGGCACTCTTGTGCGCGTCGTAGGCGAGCGAGCGAGGGGAGATCTAGAAGGGAGATAAGATACGCGCTGATGCCCTCGCACGGGGTCCTATCAGATAACTCACTCCCGCGCAGGGCGCACCCCTGCGCACCCCCGGCTCTGTGGAGGAGTTGCTGCTTGCGGCAAACGGGCCCGCCGAAGGCTGTTCCTGGGTCGCGAGGCCACACACAGGCGCTCCGATAGGATGGACGGTGGAACTCGTCGAATTCCGAATGCCTGAGCTGCGTACGCGTCCCCTGACAATTTTGCTTCACAGTCAGACTTACTATGCCCGCGCTGATGGGCACTGTGTCCCCACAGAAAGCCTGAAAATAACTTTGCAAGTGATAGACGACAATGCGCGGGCATGCGCCGACTCTGGCCCAGTGCGTCCCTGGAGGGGCTAGCCCTCCCTGCTCCCTGAGGCCCGAGGCCTGATCCATGGCACCCAGCGCGAAATGGTCCCACTCGCATACCGACCACGCCCCGGCATCCTCGCTCGCAGCCACTCCCGCTCGTGCACCCCTGCCCGCACCCCCGCGCCCAGTCGCGCCCCTGATCTTCTTAGCCGAAGTTTCTCTTCTCCGTTCGGCGTTGTGCCTGCTTACTCCCCCCCCCTCCCTGCTTCCCCACGCCCGTGATCGCCTCACATTTCTGCCCCGCAAGGACGCGACTCCCTGGCGCCGTACGTATGATGCAGCTCGCTCCGATCCGCCAGCGGGCAGTCCTAGTAGTCTAGTCTCGACGACTTGTCACGGCTGGAGTCCCCCTCCCTCATGCTTCCCGTGGTATTCTTGCCGTACTTTACAGTACCCCGCTCGTTCGTCATTGACATACACTTACCCCGCATTCATCAAGCGTCAATCTCGAATACTCACCAAGCGGGTCTCATCTCCGTCCGGTCTCAGAACGCGGGTCATCCATCAGCCGTTCAGAAGAGCGAAACGTCGTCTCCACGGACCGTTCTCGCGGAAGGTTGTGTTGCGTTGGTAGCAGGCATGCTGATATTAGACCTCCTCAGAAGCAAGCACGATGCTGGCATGCTTCGTAGCCGACGAACCAGCCCCCATAGGTCTCCCCACGCGGCAGTGCAGCAACTTCAGTCTTCTCCCGGCTCGCAGGGCCCTCCTGCGCACTCGGAAGCAGATTGGGTTCGCTCGGGACTGTCTACAACCCAACGGGCCATCTCTTCCCGTGTTCGCAGCACACAGCACCCACCTTTCGCTCTCGAGCGCAGCAACACGTACGACGCTCGACGCTCCCCCCGCGAGGTGCCGTCACAAGTGACGCGTCCCACAGCAGCAGCCCGCACTTTGACTGCCTAACTCCGAATTTGACGAGCCGCGTCGCACCGCGCGCTCGCTTAGCCGACAAGGTTGGCAGCTGCCACCTCAGTGCCGCACTCTGACGTCGGCGTGCGCACGGGTTCGCTAGCCTCGAACTGGAGAGAAAGACTCTCCCTCCGCCGGGCTCGACGTCTTCGCCACCATCACGGGTCCTATATACGCTCATGGACACTGTCTCACGATCTCATCACCGAACTTTCGCCCAAGACGGCGACAGGCCTCCAGCCCTACATGTCACCCCAGCAACTGACCATCCCCGCTTCTCCTCCGCGCACCGGAAACGCGGTGCGCTCCCATCAGTCGCCTCGGGCCAGGACTGTTCTCGAGCCGTGTTCTCGCCCCACCCCCCGACCGCAGCGGATCCACGCCCAAGGAGAACGTCCCGTCGTCGCGTCAGTGAGCAGAACAGTGCGGCCACTGGGCACCCTTGGCACGTCCTTGGCCGGGACGCCGCGGGACCCCGGGACGCCCGCCTCAGCGCCTCGTTGATAATTGATTGTCAGATGGCATGAAACGGGGACGGAGCCAATAGTTGTTTTGCGGCCGCGACACTAGTCTACCTCACCACGCGAGGCCACTGCCCGGACTGTGATCGGCGGGCGTGATCGGCGTCGAGGCGCGCGCGCAGGGCTGCGGTCGGAGTCCAGAGATCAGAAAGTTCATGAGCACGTCTCGTCACGACCAAACCCAAGCACTGAAGCTGAAGCTTTGAGTGGCATTTATACATTGTAGGCTTTCGTAGTACTGCAACAAGACAACATATCCCCCGGTACACAAGCAAAAGAGTGCGTGAAGTAAGTGATACATCTGACCAGGCAAGGTAACGAACAAGAGCGAGACCTCGACGACGTCAGCGGGTGATGGCGCGCTTACTTGAACTGTCAACGCCAGCGTGGACGTCGCGAATGACAGGAGACAACAATCAGCACTACGACAAAATGAAAAGTACCGAAAAAGGGTACGCACGTTCTTGCCATCCGCCCACTTCTTACCGTCTACCTCGAGGTCCCACGCCAGCGCGCCCTCGAAGAATGCCTTATCATCGGCGTTGCTGAGGTCGAGACGCTTGTACTCGTACGACTCCCAGTCGGGCGCGACGTCAACAACGGGCTTGAAGTCCTGTCCACGCAGAATGAGCGTGCCGGTGATGATCGAGTCGTTAGTCTGGCCGAGGACGCCCATGGACCCGAACAGGTATTTGCGCGATGCCTCGAGGCGGTTGAAGAAGCCACCGATTTGATTCGCCGACATGAACGTCTGCGTGAGCTCGTTGTTGTACTTGAAGTCCACGCGCCAGACCGAGTAGCCCTCAGTGTCGTTGCTGCGGAGCCGGTCAGTCAGTTGCATGGGGGTGGCGGGGAGAGGATTGCTGCTTACTTGGCGTAGAACCACTCGAGCGCACCGTCAGCCCCACGCGTATCCTTGTTGGAGTAGCGCGTTTCCAGTCCTCGAGGTTAAGGGTCGACTTGGGGAGGGAGTCGAGGGGGTTCTTCGCCTTGGGCTCATCCCTGGGATGTCGTCGTCGTCGTCCTCTTCGGCGGCAGGCTTCTTCGGCTTCTCCGCCTTGGGCGCAGGAGGAGGGGCGGGCTTGGGCTCCTTCTTCTCCTTAGCAGGAGGAACGAAGGCGAGAGCCTTCTCGATGTAGGTAATCTCGCCCCACGCCTCCTTCATGCTGGGCTGGTTGACGATGGTCTCGAAGTGACGCATGATGTGGGGGAACTGTGCCCGGAGGGAAGCATCCAGAGAGACCTGAAGAGCGCGGAGGATGACGGAGGCGAAGGTGATGTCGGCAAGAGTGATGCGTTCGCCGACGAGGAAAGTGTGGGTGGCAAGGTAGCTTTCAACGGTCTCCAAGCCGCGAATCAGGCGCTCGGTCAAGGTGGCGTGGAACTGTGAGCGAGATTAGATTGCGAGGGCTCTTTACGGCAGGTGTACGCACCGGCTTGGCGTAGGGAGTGATCATTCCGCGGACAAGCAAGAAGGTGAGATTGTTGTACGTGCCAATCTCGGCGTCTGAGACCGAGATCCACTGATCAACTAGCGCGGCGGCCTTGGGGTCAGAGGGAATGAGGTTGGAGTTGGGGGCGAGAGACGCGACTGCCAAGTAGGTGTTGAGTTAGAAGAGAACTCATAAATGGCGAGTGAAAAAGTAGATCAGAACAGTGTGTATGCTGTCGACACAAGATTAAGACAGGGATAACTGATGATAATAAATCTCGTCCTTTCACTAGCCCCAAACTCGATGGGATAGGGCATAGATGCGCAGAGGGACTCGAGATGACTCACCGTAGTGCGCGATCGCGTTTGTCTCGTACAGCAGGAAGCCATCGGTGCTCTCGAACGCGGGATTTTGCCGTGGGGAAACTTGGCCAGGAACTCGGGCTTCTTGTTGTCCTCAAAGTGGACGTAGGACTCGGGGAGATCAACCTTGAGGCCCGCGAAGGCAGCCACGGCACGAATCTACCGGACTTGGAGTCAGATCCGCGCGCTTTCGGCCATCTTTGCCTTCCATACTCACCCGGATGCCTGTCGCGTGGACGGGGGTCGAGTAGAGGGTGCCGATGGAGGCCATTTTGTGGCGGAGATGAGAGGAGAGAGCAAAAGGTGTGATCTCTCGTTTTTTTCTCCATCTGTTATCACGGTCCATCCGAGAGTGCACGTGACCGAATACTTCAGGGCCGGCGCCTCCCGCTCGCGGTGTGCCGCCGCTTGACGGGCATTGGGCAGTGTTCGCGCCATGAAGCTGGCCAGGATCCTCCCATTTCTCCTCTCACCACATCTCACACGGCAAGCACGCATGCATCCGTATATGCTGCAAAATCGGAGCGCTTGTCAATGCCTCACCATCCCCTCCGTCGGGAATTCGGAATGGCGCGCTCCTTCGAGTCTCCAAGACCGACCTCAACCGGCCGTCAGGGCCCCGACGACGTTCGTCCAAGTAAAGATACGGCAGAGAAGCACTCCGCGCGCATGGTCACTGGCGTTCGCCTGAGAGCGCGGCAGAGATTCGTCCCCTTCAACACGCAAATCCCGCGTCGACATGGCTTGGTGGATGAGATAACGACTTTCAGGCGAACGAATCGCCTCGTTCATAGGCGACGCGACATCGTGAGCCTTCCATCCCGAGGCATCAGCTATCAGGCGTCTCCACGGCACCCACGGTGTGCGTGTATGTGTTGCGTCCTGTCACTAGTCTCGTTGTTGAGCCACTTCTCGCTCTACGATGCATCCGACGACAGTCGCGTGAAAGCCGTATGGAAGCCCGCAGACGGTGCAGCGTGGTCGCTTTCGAGGTGGGGCGTCCTTGTTCTTCCAGGTATGTTGGGCGTGACAGATGCCACACACGGCGTGCTGCCACACGGACATGCTCTTGCACATGCTGACATTGGTGTCAGATTTTGGCGCAGGTTCTGCGGAAAGACGCTGTGGATGGGGAGAAGGTGGGGCGTCTCAGCTCATTCGACGTGCTCACCGCCACTGCGCCGCTCTGCATGGAATGCGCATGGTGTTCGGCGGATGAGCTGCGCCGAGCGACGAGCGTCCACCAGCCCGGGCCTCACTCGCAGCGACGACGGGGCGCGGGCGCAGGGTTGGCGTTACCTGCGTGCTGGAAGCGTCGGGTGGGTGTGATGCAAAGTCCGTCCGTGAACGGTCCTGAGATTGCAGGCCTGTCGATAGAAGGGATAGCGTGCTGTTGGGCTGATATGACGCGGAGACCAATATCAGATGGCTCTGGGGCCTCCCCAGGCCCCTCGTGGGATCGGGCTTGTTTCACAAGCTGTGCAAGAGCTCCCGTTGGCGAATCCACGTCGGACTGTTTGAACGCGGTGTGGGACGAGGAGCTCCGTGAACGCCCTCCCGGGGCTCGTTGGAAGAGAGCGGGTGCGCTGAGGAGAATGTGCACTCCTCCTGCGAGCCACCCTGCGAGCGCGGGCGCGAACACGGCCGCGGCAGAGGGCCGGCGACATGGTCGATACAGCCCCGGAGGCGCGCGAGCATCCAATCCGCGCATGGGGGATACGAACAAGGCACTGCGCCCGCTCCCACATTGTGTCGCAGACTGTTGGCCAGATCCTGCCCGCGCGCACCGCGCCCGCCGGCAACCGGAGGCCTGTGCCTGCAGCATCGGCAGCTGGCCGTGTGTGGCCCGTTTTCGGTTCGCGCCAGGTTTGTATGTCGTCAAAGTCGACCCGGGCCGCCCAAGGCAGGACCCCCGGGACCCCGTCCTCCCAACCCATCAGCGTTGCCAGTGTAAGATTTACGGGAACGTTCGCCCCATATGCCCGTGCAGGCACGCCCGCTCGCGGTCGCTCGCTCAGATCCGCTGGCAGAGTTTAGCACGATCTACACTCGATACGGCCGCCCGGAGCCGCCGGTGTCCCCTCCGCACCGCACGGCGGCGCACTCCTCCATGATACTCCCTGCCCTGTCCCTCCTCGCCCCGCTGCGCCTATAAAGCCCTCGGCCCCGCCTGCTGTTCGCTCAGCGGCCCATCTCCAGTGCCCCTCCCCCTCCCCTCCTCCCCCCCACCCCCGCCTCCCTCCGTGCCTGGCGCGATGTTCTTCAAGCTCAAGCACGCCCTCCTCGCGCTTGCCGCCGTCGGCAGCGTCGCCGCGGTCGCTGAACCCGGCGACCAGCTCCACGACTTCCTCACCCGCGACCCCGACGTGAACCCGCTCATGGGCTTCGGCCGTCGCTCCGCCGCGTCCTCGCGCACGCGCCACCTCCGGCCCGTGTACAATGACGCGCCCGCGATGCGCAAGCGCGACACCGTTATCAACGGCCCCGACGTCGGCCAGGTCGCGTCCTTCGACGGCGCGCCTGAGCCGGAGCGTGGTGCCCTCGGCGACACCTTCCTCCAGACGTCGAACACCGCGATCGACGAGCAGAACCCGGACAACCTTGCTGCGCCCACCACCGACGCCGGTATGTGCTCCTGCCCCGCTTAGCGACGTGTGGTGCTGACGACGATCGCAGGCGCCGTCCCGAACCTCAAGTGGTCGTTCTCCCTCTCGCACACGCGTCTCCTGAACGTGAGCCGCGCGTGATATCTGCATGTCAAATAGCGTGCTGACTTGCCCCATAGGGAGGCTGGGTACGCGAGCAGACGATCACGGATCTCCCCCCATGTAAGTCCCGCGCGTTGTTTATTTCCCCGCGCTGTGATGGACGGGCGGTGCTCACGCGCCCTCGGCACCGGCAGCGAAGGACCTGGCGGCTGCGGAAATCCGCCTCTCCCCGAACGCGTACCGTGAGCTGTGAGTGCCTCCCCTGGCGTCTCTGCAACGCGCGCGTACTGATTCGCTCCCGCCCGCACAGGCACTGGCACCGCGTCGCCGAGTGGGGCTACATCCTCAACGGCACCGGTCGCATCTCTGCCATCGACGACAGCGGCCGCTCGTACACCGCGGACATCAAGGGGCCCAGAACGGCTCCGACCCAGACATCTACTAGTGCGTGTGCCCTCTCGGCCGATCCATCACAGCGCGATACTGAACGCCCCGCGTCCGCAGCTTCCCGGTCGGCGTCCCGCACTCCATCCAGGCGCTCGGCGACGGGCTCGAGATCCTGCTCATCTTCACCGACGGCAACTTCGACGCGTCCGGCACGACCTTCATGCTCTCCGACTGGCTCGCGCACACCCCGCTCGAGGTCGTCGCCCAGAACCTCGGCGTGAACACCTCCGTGCTCGCCAAGATCCCGCAGAAGGACCCGTACATCCTCAAGTCGACCGTGCCCCCGCCCCCCTTCGGCGAGAGCGCGGAGCAGGCGATCCCCGACCCGAAGGGCGAGGCTCCCATGCCCTTCGTCTTCCACCTCGCCGACCAGAACCGCACCGAGGCCCCCGGCGGCTGGATCAAGATCCAGGACTCGGTCTCGAACTTCCCCGTCTCGACCAACCTCGCCTCCGCGCTCGTCTTCGTCGAGCCCAACGGCCTCCGCGAGCTCCACTGGCACACCGCCGACGAGTGGCTGTACATCATCTCCGGCCACGGCCGCGCGACCGCGTTCGCCGGCGGCAGCACCGCGCGCACCTTCGACTTCCAGCCCGGCGACACCGGCGTCTTCCCGATCTCGTACGGGCACTACGTCCAGAACCTGTCGCCCACCGAGCCCCTCATCTACCTCGAGCTCTTCAAGGCGCCCAAGTTCGTCGACTTCTCCGCGACGCAGTGGTACGTTCCCCTCGCTCTCTCATCCGTGGTTTCCCCGCGCATCAGGCCGCTGACCGCGCTTCTTCACGCAGGCTCGCGCTCATGCCCACGCAGGTCGTCGTCGACCTCCTCGGCATCGCGCCCGAGGTTGTCGCCACCTTCAAGAAGGAGAAGCAGATCATCGTCGCCTGAGCGCACGCGCACGCGCACTCGTGAAAGCGTCCGCCTTCCGCGCACCCGTCCCCTCGGATCGAATGGGCTTTGGTTCTCCGGTTGTGTCTCTAGAGGCCTTTCCCCCCCTTTTGCTCGCGCCGCCCGCGCGGGTCTTTATGAGCTCTGCTCTTTTCTGACTAATTCGTGCGTCGCGTTATTGCTGTATCAATACCTTACATAGTCGCGTACGAGTAGGACCTGACACATTTGCTGTGCTATCCAAAAAACAACCATTTCGAACACCATCCCGCACGTGTGCCGTTTGCCGTCTGTCTCCTGCTTTGAGTCCTCTTCGACGGCCTTCCCCTCGCCTTCAACGCTCAGCGCTCAACCCCCTGCGCCGCACGCCCAGCGCACAGAGGCGGACACTCAGTGCGCAGGGCACCGACCCCGAGCGCCTGTCCACGCGCCTCGTTATGCGCCGCACCCCATTCGCCCTCGGGTAAGCCGCGGGTGATGTCCGCCCCGTCACGTCCTCTCCTCCGCCGTGTCGTGGCAGCGCACGCGCAATAACCACCTCGTCCGTATTCCGAATTCCCCGCGCGGTGCGCCCCCCCCCTCCCCCGTCCCGCGCGCGGAACGTCCTCGGCGCGGCGGCGCGTCGACCTCGAGTGCGCGCACCGCCACCGTCCGGCGAAGTGGCGCACGGGAACGCAGAGGGCTCGAGAGAGATGAGATAGAGTGGGGGAGATGGATCTGCGATCGAGGGGTCCGAAAGGTAAATCGCGACTTTAGCGTGGGCGAGGGAGGGGGGCTAGAGGCGCCGCGGGAGCCGTTTTCCGAGCCAGAGATAGTCTCGGTCTTCGGAGGAGATGTGGCCGCGCCAGGGGCAGCAGCGGCCGGGACGGCGGGACTGGGGGGCGGCATGTCGCCATCCCTCCGAGACCGTTCGATCTCGCGCGCGTGCGCGGTGCGGGCCCCAAGGGCGAGCGCAGACGGATGTGCAGAAATTCGCTGGGGGAGGGCTGGTGAGGGGAGGATAGGCCCGTCGAGGCTCTCATCCGCGAAGCGGGCAAGACACCTGAGAGCCCGGGCCCGGTAGTCATGCACGTTCTGAATTCCTGGACGCGACCGAGCGAAGATCGATCTCCCGGGCGAGTCCGCGAGGCTTGAGCTTGGCGTCTGGGTGCTCGACGTACGAGGCACAGAAGGAGTTCGTATATGTCCCCGGTCCCGGCGGTACTATCCGAGCCTCGCCAGTGACCCAAGTGTATCGGTGACGCACGCAGATAGCGATTAGCTGCTCGAGCGACGGAATGGCGCAAGGCCCTCGAGACTCCGATGGTCTTGTAGATCGAAGTCGTCCGTGTACCAGAACCAGGCCAGGTACGCAGCCATCTCAAGTGTGGCTGGGCGAGATCCCGTGAGCGCGCCTAGCGTGGCTGCGGCCTCAACATACCAGATAGCAAGCGCGAACCCTCTTCGAGCGAGTACAGACCGGGTTCTAGATGGGAAGACGCCCGATGACATATGACGATGTGACTCAGGTGCGCTTGGTGGGAGTCGTGCGTGAGTGGACGCCTGGAGCGGGAGAACGCGCCCATCTTGCCGCTGTCTCCCTCCTCGTCTTCCGCGCGCCAGGGCCCCGTGGGGCTGAGAACACCCGGCCACCCGCCGCACGCCAGAATGCGTGGAGAAGCATCGCGGGAACTTGGCCCGACTTCTGTGCCTCGCGCCGGGACCGCGACATTCAGTAGCGGCTGCATACGACGCCTGGGCCCTGCGAACATGGCGACCGCGTTCGAATGCCATGGGGTTCGCGGGGGTGCCTTCGCCGCACTTGTCACGACAAATATTTTCTTCCGGACGCCTGCTGAAGCGGCGCAGGCTTCAACAACGCCGAAAGGCAACGTCCGCCAGACCGGATCTGCGAAGTAAGCCGTAAGTTATTCTCGGCGGACGCGTCAGCGGTGCGCGTGGCACCTTCGCCCCCCGCGCAGGGTCGCGGAGAGCAGATGGACGGTGTGCGGTGTAGAGGAGGAGCACGTACGCTGCGGTCACCCCCGGTGGGTGGAGAACGGCGCACGCCGCGAGCCACCGCGCGCGGCGGCGGTGGCGGTGGCACCGTATGTGGCACCACCTTCGCGATCGCAGAGCCAGGGTGCAGTCTGGAGCGAGCGGTGTGCACCGCACCGGTTCTAGTCGCGTTGCCGCGGGTGGCGATCCGGACGGGCGAACTCCGGAGGGTGGGCGACGGCGACCGCGGCGCGTCGCCGCTGGCGCACTCCGCATGGGAACGGTCACCAAACGTGCAGCGTGCTAGCAGGAGTAGAGAGTCTAGTGGTGATTGCATATGGAAGATCACCCGGCGCCACGGGCTATTAGGATTTCCCATAGCCGCTATTATTGAAATCTTGATCTCCGAGGCTGTGAGCCCGACGCTGAGACCATGGAGGTAAGTAGGTGGCGCTGTGTTGTGCGTCAGTGGGGAACGCGCGTGCAAGTTGAAGTACGGCAGCCTCGCGCCCCCTGCGCTGTGCTGCGACGCTAGGCAGGGGGGCAACTGATCGCCGCGACACCCCGAGGGGCTGCAGGGGCGAGTGTCCGCGCGCGCGGGCGAGAGTATTCGGGGGCCGATCGGGCCCAGCTCAGGCCGCCGCTGAATGAAGAGACGACTGAGCTGAGAATCCGGTCGTTGTATCCAAGGTGATCCGATCTCGAGAGCTGAGAATAAACCGCCGAGTGAGGCAAACCGCACTACCTCCGGGCATCTGCGCCGTGTGCTCTCCACCGAGCAGGAGCATGGCGCGCTTCCAGGGGTCCTCTTCGGCATCGTTAATCCTCTGCGTCACGACCCGGCTACAAGTACACTGCCGCAGTCCATGCACCTCCTCCGACCAACCACGTGGGTTCCACCGCGGCGCCGACACACACCGGGGCGCCCGCACTCCAATTCCATCCCCCACGTCCACTGTCATACCTGGCTCAGCGGCTCGTACCCGCCCCGGCCCCGACCCCCGAACCCGAGGCCCATGAGCAGCGACTGCCGGAGGCTCTTGCGCCCCGCGTCCGCGTGCAGGTCCTCGCCCTCCTCCAGCCGCCGCCGCTTCGCCTCGCGGAAGCCCTCGGGCGGGACGTCGTACAGCCGCTCGTACTCGACGCCCAGCTCCTTGCCTCCCGTCCAGAAGTCCTTGCAGTTCCCGACGAGGCCGAGGTCGAACGGGTTCGGCGCCTTGGCTGCACGCGCGAGCCCGTCTGCGGCCTTGCCCTTCGTGAACCGGTCCAGCCCGAGGAGGCTCATTAGGAAGCCGGAGCCGCACCCACCGCACCCGCCGTGCGCGTGCCGAGTGGCGTGAGCCCCACCGTCCTCCGGCGGCGATCCGTGGTGGTGGTGGCCCATCTGCCCGTGCAGGGACGCACCGCCGCGGCCGCCCATGAAGCCGTATCGGCCGAGGTTGGAGACTTCGAGGGTCGTCATTTGGCGCGCGACCTGCCAGAGCTGCGAGGCGAGGAGGACGAGCGTCCAGGAGAGTTGGACCGTCGCCCATACGGCAATCGAGACGAGGAAGGTGTCGTGCGCGGTGATGGCGCAGAGGTAGGTGGGAAGAATACACGATGGGGAGATGTTCGCGGGCTCGGTGGACACGGGGAGGTTTGCGAAGTCTGGGCAAATCGTCAGTGTGGGACTGAATGGAGTTGCAGGATGACAGACATTCGAAAGTCAGGTAGTCGAAAAGAATGATGCCGAGCACGAGTGTTGAAACAAAGAGAAGAAACTGTCTATGGTTGTTCACACCAACTGTCGGGAACAATATCAGCACCACGGCAGCGAAAGAGCATCCTGCTACTTACTGCAGTTCCACACCCACGGACAATGGCTTCGCGAAGCATAGCCAGTCAGGTATCTGTATTGAGTGGAACTTCCTGACTCACTGGTCGTGGCGGCCGATGCAACGATCGCATGTCCGGCAATGCTTCGACCGCAGAGGCTTGCGCGCCTGGGTACCCGAAGCACGTCATCGGCCAGGATCATGAGCGATCTACACCCGACGGGAACGTACCATGCATTGGATACAGAACGTCTGTCCATTCAGACGGCCCTGGGACGCAAGATCTTCGATGATCTGTGCCCGAATCTACATCAGCAAATGCGCAGCCCGCACGGACTGCGTACGTACAGTCTTCAGTTCGCCATCGCTTGACGGCTTGGGGCAGGTTCCGGGGTCCAGGGTTATCGCACGGAAAAATTATACGCGCAGAGACCGATGGTGATGGCAAGGATGAGATGCGTGAACGCATGGGACTGCGTGACTGTGAAATGTCAGCGGGCGGCAGCGTGTGGGTACGAAAGACATACAGGGCATGAGGCGTCTAATCCACGCATAGGTGACCCATATCATAGAGGCAGTAATAATACCAGCAAAGTAAGGACTTGACGTGACGCTATCAGTATAGTTGGACTTGTCGAGCAAGACTCGGGTTACAATCTAGGCAGCAAGGTCAGTGAATTGCTCCACGTCGTCAACAGCAGACCCCGCCCGGAGTTGCGAAAAGTCCTCCAGCGCCGTGATCTCAGGTCGACGTTATCCGCGGATCGGCACCCTCCCCGAAGCGCGTGCCGGATGGAACAAAAGTCCATCCGACGTACGCGGATGATGCCAGCCTCCAGGGCACCGGACATAACGCTTGGGCATGGAACTCACGTCGCCGGACCCGAATCCAAAGGGCGTTCACTGGGAGACGACGAGGCACAGGACATGCGGGAGCCGGGCCAAGCGCAGACTTACGTGATGCATTCCAAAGAAGAGCGCCATGGCGAGGATTATTCCGGTATACCATGGCAGGATCGTGAGCGTCGTAAACATGAGGAAAAGGAACAGGGTCGGCAGGCAGAAGATGAGGATCTTGCTGTTCCGCTGCGCACCCCGGTGAGCCGCCGCCTGCGCGTCCAAAGCGCATACACTCACCTCGCTCAGCGGTCTCCGCTTCGGGAGCCCCTCCTCCGTCAGCCCGCCCTCCTCCAGTGCCCGCTTCCACGCACCCAGGCTTTTCAGCTCCACCGCCATGTCCCGCGCCGTCCGGCCCTCCCCGTCCTTCGCGTGCACGTCCGAGCCGGCCTCGACGAGCTTGCGGATGCATACGCGGTTCCCGCGCACGACCGCCCAGTGCAGCGGCGTGAGTCCAGTGTCGTCCTTGGTGTTCGTGCTCGCCCCGTGCTTGAGCAGCAGCTCGACTGAGAGCGCATCGCCCTGGTACGCAGCCCACATGAGCGAGGTGTGGCCCTGGGAGTCGCGGGCGTCGACGTTGATCGGCTGGTGGAGGAGGTAGAGCAACGCCATGACGGACGAGGAGTGCGTGACGAGGTGGAGGGTGTTGTACCCCTGCGTGTCCGTGATCTCGGGGTCGGCGTTGTGGGCGATGAGCAGCTGGATGATGTAGAGGTAGCCGTTGCGGGCGGCCCACTGCATGGGCGTCGCGACGAGGTCGCCCCCGAGTGCGTCAATCTCGGCACCCTGGTCGAGGAGGTAGCGGCATGCGGCGAGCTGGGCGTTGATTGCGGCCCAGTGGAGGGGGGTGATGTTCTGCTCGTCGCGGTCGGTGGCGGAGGCCTTGCCGGATTCGATCAGGTTGCGGATGATGTCGACGTCGCCACGCTGAGCGGCCACAAAGATGTTCAACTGCATAGACACAACAGAGCGTAAATTTCCGTCGCAAGACTGGGTTGGACAAGCCGGAAGACGTACGTCGGGCTCGTGGATGGTCTGGAGTGCCTGGGGAAAGGTCATGTTGGTAGCGGACGCGGTGGCATCATTGATGACGGAGGCAGAGGGCTCGCCCTTGGAGCTGACGAGGTCCTCCATGAGGATGTCGAGGAGAGAGGGTGAGGGTGAGACCGCGCGCAGCGGGGAGGGAACGTGGTCGTCGTCGTCCGGGACGCCGCAGACGCCGGCACACAGCCGAATCCTGCGCGCGCTCGTTGCGTCATGGCTTGCTGACCGCACCCACCACTGCGACCGCGACTCTACCTGTCCATTGTACCTTTGCGCTCCTCTCTGTCACAAAATCTCTGTCTCGTCCATGGACTACTTGGAATTTCCAATTGCTGCTACTTGACATTATACTCCCAGCGCATCGCGGACCGAAATAGGTCAAATATTTGCATAAAGAACAAAATTAGACCTTTGGGACGGTCTGATACACACATGCCTGGACACACTTCTAGAACGTACAATTGTCTATTACACCATTCACCTCGTGCACACTTCATAGACGTGACTGTGCATTGCTGACAGAATCCTGGCGAAAGGATAATCGGTGTAGCCTTCAGGCCTCCCAGCTGGAGTCTGGTACCACTTGCGGTCCCAGGGATTGAGCGGAAGGTCTTTCATTAGCTTCAGAGGGAGGTCGGGCTACCGCAGACATGTCAGTAGTGAAGCATCGCGCATAACTCCGGACGTACGTTGGCCAAAAACCTCCGTCCAAAGGCGATCAAGTCTCCGGTCGCATTCGCTCGCTCGATCGCCGTCTCTCGGGTGAAGCGTCCGGCAGCCATAAAGGCACGTGGTGCCCACATCTCCCGGAAGATATCGTTGGTCTGCGCCGCGCATCAGCTCTCCACCTCTGCGTCTTAGAACGGTCTCTCCGCACCTGACCGTCCTTCACCAAAATATCCTGATCGCCCGCCACCCCAGGCTCCGGGATGTGCAGGTACGCTAGGTTCGGGTGCCGGCGCGCGGCCTCCTTCACGAGGTAGCTGAACGTCGGGACGGGGTCGTCCAGCCCATCTCCTGGAAGGTGCTCCATGGGCTGATCCGGAACGCGACCTTGCTTTCCCCGACAGCGTCGGAGACGGCGTCGATCACTTCGAGCGCGAAGCGACAGCGGTTCTCGATCGACCCGCCGTATTCGTCCGTCCGATGGTTCGTGGAGGGTTGGGTGAACTGGTCAACTAGGTAGCCGTGCGCACAGTGAATCTCGACACCGTCACATCCCGCACTGTGTACGGCGTTCCGGGCCGCTTGGGCGAAGGCAGCGACGTATTCCTTGATTTCTGAGGGACATTTTCAATCTCGGAAATACCAAAGGAAGGAATCGAAGAGTGTGCATACCCGCGATAGTCAGCGGGCGAGGGATCTGGTTTGAGGAAGAGCTGAAAGGGACGTCCGAGGCGGAGACATATGGGTAGTTTCCTTCAGCCTTGAGCATCTTGGGAACTCCTGCCCTCCCAAGGCCCCATATTTGCATGAAGAGGAAGGATCCCTTCGCGTGCACCGCGTCCGCGATCTGAATAATCGCATGTCAGAATTAGTGAACAGCCTTGTCTCGGCCTTCTGAGAGCGACGCACCTTCTTCCATGCGGCAACTTGCTCGTCGCTCCATACTCCAGGAACGTGTTTGCTGAAGATGCCGGAGTATGGGGTAACGTCGGTCGCCTCAGTGATCAGCAGCGTGCCAGGGGTGGATGCACGCTGGGAGTAGTACGTGACCGCGAGGTCAGTGTGGACGTGCTTGTCGTTCGCACGGGACCGCGTGAGCGGGGCGAGAACGACGCGATGGGCGAGCTGCATGTCGCCGACTTTGACGGGCTGGAAAAGCTTCGAGGTCGTCGCCACTGTGGGTTCTCCTGGCATGCTTGAGCGTGGGCGTATGCAATAGGCGTGTGACAGGGAGATGGTAGAGTGTTGGTTCCGTTGAGGTGTTCTCCACGGGGTATTTATGCTGCCTCGGGACTATGCGGTCCGGAACCAGCACTCTTTGGTTCTCCCACTGAAGACATTCATAAGCGCGATTTCCCTTCCCAGGCAAAGATTCCTGAGGCCTGAGGGCCCGATCGGGGGTTTGCCGTTGCTCCCTAATGGTCCGAGGAATTTCGAACTTGATGAGTACATTCGCACCTGAAGTTGGGTCGGGCTTTTCTTGCTCAAGTCGGGATGATGTTGGGGCGCGTTAGCATTTGAGTCTGAAGCAATGAGGTTGACGATCCTCAGCCACAGTCAATGAACGATCGGAGTAGACGGCTGCAATGACTTCGAATACCAAGGGCATCAGATCCGACCAATTCTCAAGACCGCCCCAGTGAGTCACGAAACTGAAATGCGCAAGCAAGAGCGCACCGGGATATTGTATGATGAGACGCATTGACGGGTGCTCAACGCTTTGGAGAAGGGGCATGCGCGACGAACTATGTTGTGCAATCCTGGCCTCCATCTACCAACGCACGAAATGAGGAGATAATACATAGTACTCACCTCGTCGTCCCGCATTCTCTCTCCCTACTATAGGCGACCAATGTTTTAACGAACAAGAAAGCGAGCAGAAGCAGTAATATGGACGGAGTATACTTACAAACGAACGCGAGATGACTGTTTGGGCGAGGGACACCTCGAGACCGTATTCCTTCCTCAGTGCATTCAAGGAGTACCTAGTCGACAGCGTACACGTAGCTATGTAGTGCGACACAAGGCCTCTGATCCCCTGCCTATGTTCGGATGATGATGGAAGGAGGCGTACAATGTACTCACTTCCGCTTGCCCTTCACCATCACCGTAGTTCGTGTCCGACGACAAATAAAACGATGGAGCGACGTGTGCCGAGATGAACCTGTCTTGAGGGTCTTTCGGTGGTGGTGGAAACAGTCGATCGTGGAAGGACAGCGGAGAGGAGGGCAAGCCGGGAAGTTGTGGGAACGTAGATGAAAGTGAACAGTGGCAAGCGCGACGGTGAGACAGAGCAGTGAATCAGAGTGAATCCGACCAAACACGCGTTGCGCGCGCTGGGCACACTGGCACCATCTCTCGCCTTCCGCTACCATCGCTGCTTATGCACCCTCGTCATGCTCTTGAATGCGAGGACATTCTCTACACTGTCTTTGAGAACTTCGATTTTGATGATTCCAGTGACCGTCAAGCATGTCTTAAAGCTGCCCTCGTCTCCCGGACCATGACAGAACCCGCGTCTCGAGTCCTCTGGTGGGAGCTCACGACGCTCCTCCCTCTGTGGAGGATACTCCTCGACTTTCCTCCCAAAGATGAAAATTGTCCTGATATTGTAGTTGCGAAGCACTACGCCGAAAGAGTGAGTCAAAGCACTGTCGGAATGCGTCTGGCGTGTCTACTGAACCCCCCAGATTCTTGACTGTGACGCGTACGACGACCCAGTACGCTTCGCCAACATGAAGCGGTGTGCGTCGCGCGTACACGCCAAGAGACCGTGTCGGTACAACCCACACTCTTCTGAATGCAACCTCATCGCCGCGGTCTTCTCCCGATGCAACAACCTCTCGATCCTTCCCGCATTGCGAACGTTGACCATTTCGCAGCAGGAGCTTTGCATCCTGCGGTTCATCGGACCCCCATCTATATCTGCATTGCATCTTCCAGACCTCAATGACAAGTGGCTAGCGAACAACCTCCCTGCGTTTCTCCAACACGTCCCCGCGATACGTCATCTTTCCGTGTCCAGCGGGACCTTACACGAAATCCCCACCCTTGCGGACTCCATGCGTTTCATGAGACAGGTTCAACGATTTTCAACTGGGGGTTGTTTGACTACCCCTGAACCTCTCCTCGACGTTTTGAGCACGCTACCATCTTTACACCACCTTCACGGTATACGCATCCCATATCTTCGGGGAGACTACCAGTTCCCCTTTAGATTCTTGACCTACCTTCACTGTTCTGGAGATATACAGGACGTATCGACATTCATCACCTCGCTTCGATCATCGAACATCGGGTCGGCCAGAATCGACTTGATCAGCGACACCATCCAACGTTATACCGAATTCATCCATAGTTTCTCCAACTCTCCGCTTGCCAGCGCCGTCCGGTCTGTTGTCTTGGATATTCGCCCAGCCGCCACCCCCGCATCGCTCGGCTTCGAAAACTCCGATCTACGGCAGCTCTCTCTCCCCGAACTCATAGAGAGCCTCAGTCACCTCCCCAAGCTCGACTCTCTCTACTTCCGCGACCGCTGCATCAACTCCAACATCCTCTGCTCCGACGCCCACTTCCTCACTCTCGCACAAGCCTTCCGGCATTTGCGCGTGCTCAAGCTCGGAGGTTGCATCTGCGGACCCCTTACGGCGACGCGCCTCACGTCCTTCCACCGCAAGCGCGCGTTCGGGACCTACCCCGACCCCTCCGTCCTGATCCACTTTGCGCACCACTGCCCCCGCCTCGTCGAACTACACCTCTCTGGGCTTGCCGTTGGGTCGGCCACATGGGAGATCGCCCCCCGCCCCCCGAAGCCTCCGCATCCCCTCGAGATACTCTACCTCTCTTCGCAGGTGCACAGCGTGCCACGCGTGGAGACGGAAGACAGGATAGAAAAAATGGCCGAGTTTCTTGACACGCTTTTCCCTCGGTTCGATCCTGACAGGTCTGCGCTCTGCCTGCTCGAAGACGAGAAGATATACAGGCACCCTGTCATGCCGTGGTGGACTGTCTTTTCGGAGAAGCTGCGTGACGTACGGGCACGCCGGAGAGGAGGGGGTGAAGCGCAGCGCGAAGGTTGAGGAATTTCTGGTTCGTCGGTTTTGTTTTCCACGCGGTTGCGAACGTTCGATCCTGAACTGAGTCTCAGGGGTCGTCCGCGCTCGTCTTCGTTGGTGGAAGCCTTCGAACATTCCAGTGTTCGTCTCGTCACCTGGATCTCTCGATATACAGACTAGCGGTCTCGAAGCTCAAGCTCAATCGGCGTTCAGTCTCGATCCTTCCCGCAGTGCTACCATATTAGGAAGCTTGGGGGATCAGTAAGCGTGGCGAGTCATTATGAACCTTGTATTCCTCGCTGATGTGGCCCCTCCTCCCATGGCAACTCTCCGCGCCCTCCAGTCAGACGATATCCTGTTCACCCTTTTCGATCTCTTTGATGGGAGAGACCGGGAGGACTGCGATGCATGTCTCAATGCTGCACTCGTCTCACGCGCCATGTCGGAACCGGCTTCCCGAGTCGTTTGGAGAACCCTTATCAGCTTCATCCCTCTGTGGTTGATACTCACAGGCGAGAGGCAAAAGTGCTGGAATGCTGTAGAGTCACTGTATGCGATGTGGGGAAATATGGACCTAGGGTACGCTAGGTCACGCACTCAGAAGGCGAGTACAGTCCCATTTTGCGCATTTCGCCCATTACAACTGTCTTTCTTCATGTGCAGATTTTGCAAGATCGCCTGTATGAGAACGAGCAGACCTTCGCACGGCTGCTTCACTGCGCTTCGCGCGTGCGCGAGAAAGCTTTGATCCTAGGGTACCTCATGCCGTCGAGCGAATGCCAGCTCATCAACGTCATTTTTGCGAAGAACAAGAACCGGACATTCTTACCCGGTCTCAAAACACTGGTAATTTCCTCCCAGGAATTCGACGTCACTTCGGGCCTGATCCCATCCTCAATAGCCACCATTCAGTTCAAGTTGGCTCGCAACGAGAAGGGAGAAGGATACGGCCCCACCATTTCTCTCCTCAAATCACTCCCCTCCTTGTATAGGATGTCCCTCGATATCAACCTTGACTCGGCATGGCGTAGCAATCCTCCTTCCTGTGTAGTAAGACCATCGACCGCAATCGACAACGAAGAGTTCCAAGCGAGAAAAGCTGCTGTTTTGCAACTTCTTCAAGATGTCAGCGCCTTCAATTCCCTCTACTATCTAAACATATATCTTGGCCCCGAGTATCAGTATCACGACGACCTGTACAACTTCAGGGCCTTGCGCGAGCTCCGATGCGTCGTCGATCATCCTCAAGTCGCTTCCCAGTTTATTTCTCACCTCGGTTCCTCTTCCGCCATCAAGTCTATCCACCTCATCATTGTCACCTGTCGCGTCGCCGAAAAGGGCCTCGAAGCCATGCGCAAAATCTCTTCGTCCACAGTTGTCCGGTCGGTTCGCGACTTCTGCATCGACATCGAACAGACCTCGCCGTACTACGAACACACACTCGAGCCGGTCCCCCTCCCAGACCTGCTCTGTCCCCTCCTTTCCGGCATGCCTCTCCTCGAGAAGTTCGCCTTCGGGGTCGCGCCCCGGAACATGCTTTTCACCTGCGAGGAGGCCGACTACGCAACCATCGCGCGCGCGTCCCACCGCCTTCGGGTCGTCGACCTCATGGCGCACTCCCCCTTCACCCGGACTCCCTACGCCACCCCGCCCCGTTCGCGCCCCGCCGAGCGTCCCGAAGCTACCGCCTTGGTCAACCCCGTCGTTCTCCACCACTTCGCAGAAGCCTGTCCCGATCTTGTCGAGCTCCATCTCCTCGGGGTCAATCTGCGATCCGACGCGTGGAAGGCGCTTCCGCCGGCGGGATGGAAGGCACACCTGGCCCTGAAGGTGCTCCACCTTCCAGCGCAGGCCTTTTTCGATCCCGGGGAGGACGAGGCTGCGTTGACCGACGAGCGTCGCTGCTGCAGCACGCACGACCTGGCGCTGTTCTTGCACGCGCTCTTTCCGAACCTGGACCCCAGCCGGGCTCCTTCGCAGATCCCTCGAGATGCGGCGTCTGTGCGATCTGACCGGAGCTGGTGATGGGAGCGGTTGGTGACGAAAGTGGTTTGGGGAGAAAAGTGGAATGGTCGGATAGGTGAGCGACCAACTCTTCCTTGAACCACGACAGAACTGAATCCACGACTTCACAACGCCGCTCATTCTGCCGCGTGTGCAGGCCATCGGAGTTTGGGAGGCAGAAAGAGGACCTTTGCGAGCTGGGCTCCCTAGTGGCGACCTTGATGATGCTTCTCTATGTCTGCTGTTTTGTACGATACGAACGGTATCCCGACGGCGTGTGGTATCGTAAATATTGTTCCAGCAGAGAAATACATATTCAGAACTGCTTGCAACGTACATCCTCATTTCATATTTTCGACTCTCCGGACTGTCACTATGGATGGCAACATGTATGGTAATCAGAACTCAGGACGAACCAGTATCGAAGGGTAGCACTTACCCGTGAGCCCATACGCTAGATGTGCAACGACCGCCCACCTCCCTCGTCGTTCACCTCGATCATCGGTGTCTGCTCTTCGCTCGGGAGGTGCACGCCCGGGAACAACATCCGCATGAACGCCGTCACGTCCACGTGCCCGACGTCGTCCACGAACACAATCCGGTCGATCTCGAGCTCGCGCAGCATCTCCTGGCCCTTCGCTCCATCCCGCCCGCGAGCCACTCTGCGCGCACGCCCTCGATCGTCTCCGATAAGGCGTCCATCGCGGGGAGGTGTAAGGCACGAAGCCGCGGGCATCCACGCGCGAGGTGCGCGAGCGCGTCGAGGCGTGCGCGCGTTCCGTCCGTGGAGTTTGGGATGCGGCCGTCGCCGTCCGACGTCTCGAAGGTGATGTGTAGCGCGTGGAGCGCCGGCCACGTGGCAGCAATGGAGCGGAGGTCGTTGGAGGAGTAGCGCAACACCAGGTCCTCGAGGTTCAGCTTGAAGTCTACCAGGTCGCGGAGCGAGAAGAGCGGCTTGAGGAGTTCGTGCAAGGCGTTGGGGTGGAAAGGAAGGACGGGCGGCGGACGGCCGAACGCGCGCTGCTCGGGGACCATGTTCGGGGCGGCATGGAGATGCAACTTGGTCAGATGCGGGAGACGGGAGGGGATGAGAGTCAGAAGAGCCGGGAAGTCGCGAAGGGCGTCTGAAGACCGATGTAGAGGGCTGGAGGTGGACAAGGAGCGTACCGCAGGGAGATTGGTGTCGTCAATGAAGTCGTGGATGTTCTCCCATTCGCCACCAATGCCGAGGTCAGCAAGAGAGGCCTGTGTGAAGGGAGTTCGTGCAGACTCCGTGCATATCATGAATGTTAGGTGATCGAGAACAAGGGCGGAGGTGAGGGAGGAGAGATGCGCTGCCGACCACAAGTGTCTGTCCATGTTGAGACGACGAAGATTAGGGAGATGTTGGGTAAGCTGGAGGTCCACCCAGTAAGGAAGTGACAACTGCTCGACGTTTGGACAAGAGGTAAAGAGCGCTTTAATTGCGGCAGAGAATGAAGAGGCCGAGACTGGATGCCTATTCGTCGCGACCAAGGTCATGTCTTTGACAGTGGGCGACAACAGTGGGAGGTTGCCAATCCCGGATCGGCTGGACGGACCCACCATGTTCTTGATAGTAACGCGCACGGAGAGGAGGCGCGGCAGGATCGGCTCTCCGTCCATCGAAGGCAGCAAATCGCTCCATAATGAAGGACCAAAGTTCCACACAACAGTATCGAGGTTGATTTTGCGCACTTGGTTCGCGTACTCACGGAAGCGACCCCAGTGGGAATGGGTGCGTAGGCCACCTGGTGGGAGGGTGCACAAGCCCTGAGGCTGGTTACACAACGCATTGAGACAATAGTCCAAAAGTACTCACGATAGCAAGACAGCTTGGTTGATCCCCATCGATGTCAATGCTTGAAGGTTCCGACCGAGGCCCCGCCATCCCCAGGGCGAGCAGCAGGGATACCAACGGCCGCTCTCCCGGCAGCGATCTCCACAGAACGGTGATTGCAGGGCGCATGAAGTTGCGACATGTCAGTCCAGCAGCGAGGAGGGTTCTGCGGATGAGCTGCGCCTCGACACCATAGTCGTCAGGATCCAAGAGTGGGAATACGTCGTAGAGGATGTCCTGGATGTCGGAGAGTGAACGGTGGCCAGACATGCAGAGGAGACCGAGGCTTGTAGAGACAGTTGTGCGGGGATGGTGGTAAAAGGCAGGTCGCGCCTTCTGAGAACCGCGCGTCCACTGCGCCTCGTTCGCACCATCCCCTCCTTCCTCTGCATCCACTCTGCATCCTCAACAAATATACATACTGCCGGTGCCTCCAACTCCCCCCCCCGGAGCGAGTTGGGCGCGAGGCCTGTCCACGTATATATGGCAGTCTCGTCGCGCGTGCCTTGCACCGACGAGGTTTTGTGAGGCGTGCGCACTCGCTCCGACTGCTGCTTTTACATACATATATGTACGTCCAGCATTATGCATCATCATAGCGCCGGCCCCAATTTCCTCCTGCCCCCCGCTACGTCTTCGGTCGTCGCGTTCATGTAGTAATGACCATCCGCCACATCGGCTGACATCCTGTGGCTTCGGTGACTCGCCCCTTATTGAACGCATTCTTGTGCCGTCGTGGTGCGCGTGTCGACGATAGACTTCAGAAGGTGCATCGATTGGAGCGGCCATTGGGCAGGAGCTCAAGCTCAAGCTCACTAGGAGGCCCTCACCAGCGCACTTCACCAGCACGCGGACGACAAGTCCGGCTCGCTGCTCTCGCGGTCGGGGCTTCGGACCGACGGGTTGTCTGCTCTCGGCTGCGAGCTCATTTCCGTAGAGATTCGGAGGTCGAGCTAGCGCTGCTCGAGCGCGCGGCCTCCCCACCGCCTCCTGGAGGCTCAGCGCTCAGCGCTCAACGTTCAACTTCGACAGCCAACCCTATTGATCTCGGAGTATGAGTCGTTGTTCCGCCGCTGTAAACGATGGCATCGATCGAATGGTCGATGCGATACGCATTCGTGAGGAGATAATGTACGATATACAAGCTAGCAGAGGATGTGTATATGCGATGACGTCTGGATCCATGATGCTCTGATAGGGACGACGTGCGAGGATATGAAGTACAGATGTGCGGTGGGACAGTGGGAAACGACGTGGAGATTACGCGTTCATGCGACAGTGGGATAGCATCTGAGAAAGCACGAGACAACCATGAAAGCGTAACAGTAACCTGTAATACACCATCTTGCGAAAAGGCGGGGTCAAAAACGTATCTGCGCGAGCCCTGATATGCGACTCACATCTATAATATATAGGTCAAAACGCTCTCCAAGCCGTTCATAGTGACGTTCTGGATGCCTTCCACCAACCGCGAGACAGACGTCTCAGTCTTGAGAGCTAGACGCCATGACGCCCTGTTCTTGTTTTTGTCGCGAATCTCCTGCCACTCCCGTATGACTTCTTCTACGGAGGGTCGCGCCTGCGCATCTTGCTGTTTCATGTGATCGATCATTGGCTGGAGAAATTCCATATGTTTGTGCGTCTATGCGAAAGTTTAGAGAGTATCCTGTAGTCGAAAACGTCGCGTAGACATACCAAGAAGAACTCCTTGAGATACAGGTTCCCGAGAGCGAAGATATCGACCTTGAAGGCGTTGTACGGCACCGTTTCGGAGAGTTCGGGCACCTCTCTATCGCGACCTATGTCACCGAGCACCATCGGAGACTCGCCTTCGTCAAACATGGCCGCGCAGTCGAAGTCGATGTACATGTAGCGTACAGCGCTACCCGTTCGCGAATGATATTTGGCGTCGTACATTGCGTCGGGTGTCGATAGCAGTCGGACAGGATGGTGGCCGTCTGGGAAGATTGCACGAGCATCCATCATGATGTTCGAGGGTGCAACATCTCTGTCATATTGAAGGTGAGTGCTGGGTACGCCGCGGACGATGTTAGCTCTCACCGATGTGCGACTCGATGACCATGGAGAAACGACAAACCTGACGGAGAGGCGAGTCAGGATGCTAGGAGAATCTCCATGTAGGGGGTTCGTACCTCAAGAGTTTGGTCGATGAAAGTGAGAAGTTCCCAATGGTCGCCAAGGGTGGGTTGTTGTACGGTCGTAGGTAGGACATGACCATCAAGGTAATGCCAGGATCCAGAGTGTCCGGAAAGACGTCTATCACAGACACGCAGTGGTTTGTGGAACCTGGCAGCGATGAAACGAACTGCGCTATTTTGAGCTCTAGAGACGACTCGACAGTCTTGATGGCGACCAGCTGACCATTTCCTTGTCGAGTCGCGTCTATGACGCTGGGTATCTGACCACCGCTCTGTCAGCGGGGAACATCAAGAGAAGAGTGGGCGCTCACTATCGTGCAATTGAGTCCTCACAATACAGGGCTCGTCTGTTGGTGCCTAACCACGATGGCTGCCACCCGGGGACGTAGCGCGCTCTTAGCGAGTACCTGCGTGCGTCAAGGGCGGGCTGCCGGGCAACCCACTTCTTCTCATATTCTTTGAGGTCATAGCGACCGGCCTGGTTGAGGCGGGCTTGACTGTCGATATCGCTTTGATCTTGCAAGAGGGCCCAGAAGGGAAGCTTCTTAGGAGCCGTGGACGACATCGGAGCCAGCGATCGAAGGCCGGCTCGAGCGTGTTTCCGCTGGCGAGACTCGCCATGGGCGCGTGGCAACAACGAGCCAGCCTCGAGGCCCGAGCGTTGCCCAATCTGTACAGACGCTGGTACTGGCGCTCAAGCCCTTGCGCTCCTCGCCCACCGCCGCTCACTCAGCCTCATCATCTCCCTCGCATGAGGCAGACGAGAAGACGGGCGTGCCAGCGCGGAACGGACACTCTGATGGATCGCGCATGGGCCCCACATCTGAACATGCCGGTCTTTCCCCATCTGCAGATCGCGTCGCCCAGAGCCGGGTGCGTGCGCACAGTGCCCCATGCGCTAATATATGTACAGTACTCTCGATCCAGCTCAAGGAACCCTCCTCGACCTCCCTCGCCACTCTGCCAGCTCATCGCCCTCCACCAGCGCCTTCCTGTCTTTGTATTCTCCACACGTCACACTCCTTGTCATAGCCGTTATGGTCGACTTCGGGACTGCCGTTGGCATCGTGGCAAGTGTCCTTGGCATCCTCACAGCTTGCATCACGGCATACCTTTCGGTAACTCCCCAACCGGTCTTGTGGAGAAGGCCGAAAGAGTTCGAAACGAGACGAGGGAGTACCTGCAGAAGGTCCAAGCCGACGGACTTGTGCAGGAGGTCTTTTTCGCGACAACTAGCCACAACATCGCCGAGTAAGCGTCACTGTATATCTGGACAGGGTATCGTGGACTTACTAGATCACATCTGTAGCATCGAGTTGGATGTCATGGAGCTCCACGGGGTGCTATACCAGGAACGCCCTTGGTTTAAACGTCTGGCTTTCTGGGTGACAACGTGGATAAACGTGCGCATATACTGCCGTAATCTGAAGCAAATCCAAGCCGACATCGCTGTATGTTACCCTGACATGACTGATCGAAGGGCTTTATATCTGATCATGTCTCTTAGCTTCACGCGTCCACGTTCCGTAGAGAGAAGGAGCGCTCGCTGCAAGCTCTTAAGAGCGAAGGTGGGCATACCCATAGTTGGCCAGCGATTCCTACTCAAGTGTAAATGTTAGCGTCTGCACACGTGAAGTCGGAAGATCTCGACGACGACGCGAAACTCCCAACGTTTCCCCTTGGAGATGCCGTACTCGATCAGCTCGAATGCCGGTACTCTCGCCTCGTCGCCTCCTTCGAAGCATAGCGTCACGGCGCGCATCCGACAATTCGTCTTCATCAAGGCGAATCCCAAGCGCTGCTGGTCCGCGGTGCGCGCCAAGGTCGGGGCACCACGCGTGAGCAAGCAAGAAACCCCATCCGACGAGGTCGGCAAGAGAATCAGTGATCGTCGTAGACGACTCACCGGCGCCACGCTTGTTGAGCCTTACGACGCCACATACGTTGAGAAGAAGGACGACGATGTCGCCCCATCGCTTCCACCCCCGGATATCGCAGGAATCCCTTTCAGCGAGGCTCTTCCACAATCCCCGTCCCCTCGACCATCCCCTTCTGCGTCCAATCCATCTCTACCAAAAGACGTTCCTCTCTTCTTCCACTCCATCGAACATCTCTATCACAGTGAGGGGAGCCGCCATTATTCACCGCCACCCACCTCGCCCGCGGCACAAGATTTTCCATCGTGAACGTCCTAGCACGGCTCACCTATCTCGCGCCCACGTATCCCAGCGGACCCGCGGCACTTGCTTTGCACTGGAGCGTGTTATCTCGCACCCATCGACGCTGAAGATGCTGTACTTCCTCTGGCCGCTCCTAGCCGCCCCATCGCACCGGTCTTGTCGATCTCCTCCCTCTTCCCTGTCTCCAGGTCGTGGAATTCGGACTCGTCGCACTTGTACTGTACTGCTCAGTGTACCGTTACCTTCCAGTGTTATGTTCCCCCGACGTCATTGTCGTGCCCTTGTTCCCGACTGTTGTGGTACTACTATCTATCTACAATGTCCCTTCTGTGTATTGTATTGCATTGTCGATGGCGATTCGTTCTCGCGCTTGACGCACGCGTCGAAACTTGTCAGCATGCTTGCGGAGGCGTAGATTGTGCGAGGGAGAGAGATCGGGAGTCGCCTGCTGGCCCCGGCGCGCGCGTTCGCCCTGCGCCCAGATCTGGCGATCCATGGGATCACACGGCAGGTATGTGGGCGCACTTGGCTGCGCGTGTGCAAAGAGTCATCAGAACTCATGAGATGGGAAGCTGGCAGTGCCGTTGTGCAGCTCAAGGTGAGATGACAGACTAAATCGGCCGGTGCGCGGGACGTCTCCACCGTGGTGCTTGCCATACGCGAGGCGTGTTGTGCGCAGAAGCCTGGGCGAAGTGCGCTTCTTCAGACAACAGCCTTCGCCATTCAAATATGCAAGTTTGTCGTCTTTGTGCCAACTGGGAGGTTGATGCCTCTCACAAACCTGGCCAGTAAGGATACTCCAGGAGCCCCCATCGTCAAGCATAGTGCGTGCGGCCCCTCCGGAGCTTTCGACCCAGCGCTCAGCGCCCTGTAGCGACCACTTGCCCTTCGATACATCTTTCTCCTCCCGAGGATCTCCTGCTATCTGGATGTCCGTATGGCCTCGACTGCCAACTGCACCCTCCTCAGCCTGAAGCCGTGCACGCGTACCAACAAAATCGCCAAATCCGTTAAAAGGGGTACAGCCATCGGCAAGGTCTGGACTTCGAGAAGCGCATCCGCGGACGCATTTGACGGCATGAGGGAGCAGGCAGAGGTCGACCTCACAACCTGCTCCGACGTCCCGGACCTATGTATGACTTTCAAGAACTGCTGGGACACAGCGCGTACGGCAACCAGGCCATCTCCGGATAGAAGCGGGGTCATGCACAGCTGCCCTGGAGATTTCGAGATGCTGGAAATTTGCGACGAACGGGCCCGTAACAATGGTCCCAAACGCTTCACGTGTACTTACATACGTGGTCATACATGCACCCCGAAGGAGATAACTGCCTGCAAACCACATGCCCTCGACGACACCGAACTGGCACTCACGAAACGACTCGAATCTGTTCAGGCCTGCGTCCCCGTACGCACTGACGCCTCAAGATTGCGGGTGCTAACTGTGGCGGAAATTTTGAAGGGAGTCTTGTCGCTTTCGTAGGTTGATCTAAAAGGATCCAACTAACGTTGGGTGGGAGAACATACGTCTCGGGGGAAATTTTTGATAGATGACGCGTTTATCAACAGCACGACAGACCAGCATGCCGAAATATTGTACCCAAGCTCCCAAAAGTCCTGAAAAAATGGATCAGTAAATTGGCATAGCATAAGATGAGCGAAATGCGCAAAAGAAGGTCAGAATGACAGTGCAATCTCGACATGTGATGTTAAGACAGGGATAACTGAAAGGTAATATCTCATCACTGAGAAAGACAGGAACATCGACTTACCAGAGCATTCCAGAGAAGCACGCTCGCTTTGAACTTGAGCTTCCGGAGACATACGGAAGCGTAGAGGGCTGGGTCGCTGCTGGCTGAGAGCAAAGAAGACGCTACGCTCGTCGCTGGCACGCGATGATTTCAAGCTTACCAAGCGGATTTCTCACGGCCCAATTTCGTTTCCACTCCCACCCGCTGTTTCAATGCCCAGTGCTTCAAAGCTTCACCCGTTCTCCCGCGTACAGGCTTTCATTCCCCCCTCTTCGACGTCTATCGCCGTCATGCTGCCTTCCGTCTTCCGTACAACGTCCGGCAACGCGCGCGAGGAATGATGATGTCCGTCTTCTCGCTCTCCACATGACCGCGGCCTCCATGTGGTCGCCATCTTCTTCACCAGGAGGCTGTCATCCTCATATATCTTCACTATTATCCGCCGCTGGAAGCCGCCCCAGGCCTCAGAGATGTTGCGCTTCACTGTTGCGTTGCTGTCGCTTGCGGTGTTTGTCCCTCAAGTCGTTGGGCAGACATGGTGAGCACTTTCCGCCTATTTTTGCGACGCGGGCATTTTGCGTCGAGGATGCTTTGGCGACGAGATGAAAGGAGATATTGTTCGCATCTCACTCCGTCCTGTGGGTGTATGCGCAACATCTTCCTAGTCAGGCTTTGGGCTGCAACCCCTGTTTTGTCGTCGTTCAGCATGCGCTTACACCAGCTCCATTCCTTCCTCGTAGGTGCGGCAAGAACTACATGTCAACGGACCCACCCATGGACCCCGGAGGACAGTTCCCGATCCCCGCGTCCTCGTCCACGTCTCTCCTCGCTCTACGGTGCTCCCCCGCAATCAAGCCGTATCTTTCTGAAGACGCCTCCGCTCCCCAGACTTTCGTAATCGACGCTCCCATCACGTTCTCGCAAATCGCGGGCGCAGCGCCGGTTGATCTGTCGTCACACAATGCCCGCGCCATCCTCGACGTCACCGTCAAAGTCGGGGGCAAAACGCTCGCCAAGGGCCCTGTTGCAGTGAATGCGTCCAAGGCAGAGTTGCCCTTCTCGTTGGAGGGGCTCGACCCGCAAACAACGCCCTTCGATGTGGAGTGCTCAGCGACACTCGGGAAGCAGACGTTTACCACGACCTCAGCGCTCTCGTTCCTCCCGCCCCCGCCAGATGGTCGCTCGGTGACGAAGATGGACATGCGAACTGGGGCCCTGCTTGCGAAGCCCGCAACGGGGATGGGAGGAGAGTACGAGACGGTCTTCCCAGTGGGGTTCTACAGTAATTTTGACGGATATCTTACAAACCTATCGGTCATCGACGAGATTGCGGCTCAGGGCTTCACCGTGGTGAGCACTGTCACATCATGCTGCATTGTTCCACCCACAAATATTCCCCAAGATCCACCCCATCCCGACTTTCGACAACCTGACCGCTCTGGCGGAGGTCGTTCAGCGCATGGAGGAGGTTGGCATCTATCTGATGTACGACATGAGATGGTATGTCCTCTTTGTTGTGACTACATGCGCATATACCTACCTCCAGGCAGGACGTATATGAACAACACTGCCGTCACGGAAGAGGTGAACAGGATCAAGAACAGCCCCGCCCTCCTCCTCTGGTACACCGGCGATGAGCCGGATGGGACCTCCGACCCCCTCAACGCGACGACCATCGCCTACGACCTCATCTATTCGCTGGACGGTTACCACCCGGTTTCGCTCGTGCTCAACTGCGAGAACTACTACTGGACGGAGTACACGTCTGGGACGGACATCGTCATGCAAGACACGTACATGATCGGCATCAACGCGACGTACTCGACCGTTTGGGTGAGTGCCTAGGGCAGTATCGTACGAGACGAAGTTGCTGACAGCGTTGATCCAGAACACTCCATGCACCCCGGACTACGGAGACTGTGGCTGTGACAACTGCCAAGGCGAATTTGAGGACATCAGTACGCGCATGGATGAGTTTGCACAACGCGGCTTTATCGACAGCTGGGAACTCTCCAAGGCCGCATGGACAGTCCCACAAGGCTTCGGCGCCAGCGAGTACTGGGATCGCGTACCTACCGGCCAAGAGTTCATCGTCCAGAGCGTCCTCGCCATCAACCACGGCGCACTGGGTGCGTGTTCTGCTGTGCTCGTGAGGCGCATATACTCACGTTTGTACAACTCTAGGTGTGGTATCGTGGAACGCGCCGTCCTCCGATGATATCACCGCGTCAGCCGCCCTCCTCTCACGCTCTCTCGCCGCGGACATGAAGGCCTTCATCCTCCACCCACACGCTTCCTTCGAGCACACCGTTGTCAGCCGCGTTGACGTCGGCTCTTGGACCGTGGGCGACCGCACCCTTGTGCTCGCGACGAACCTCAACTACGCCGAGACCAAGTTCGACCTTTCGTCACTAAAGATGCCGGTGGACGCCGATGCGGTTGGACATGCGAAGCAGGTGCTGGACAGTGGTGCGAAGTTGGAGGGGCGGAAGATTGTGCTGGAGAGTGTAGGTACGGGCGCGTTCATTCTGGGATGAAGCAGTCGTTGTACGTCGCGTCCCCCAATGATTACCATCTTCTCTGTCCTCCCCATCGTCTTCAAGCAAATATTCCACCACGCCTGATACCTTGTCTGCGGCATCTAGACCCATACGGTTTCCACCTCCTCGTCATGGCGTCTCATCTAGAAACCATGTCTATGTTGGGCTGATGGCATGGGTAGTGTCCACCTTGTCTTCGAGATTAGGTAACAACCTCGTGTGCTGACGGCGTGACTGAAGTACTGACGCGGACGCCTGCACTCTCACCGAGATCTCATCGTGATATGGCTCACTGGCACGCCGTCCAAGACATCCTGTACAACATCTTCAGCTACCTGGAGCCCAGTGGTGACAAAGATCGGGCAAGATACATCCGTCGAACTCTCCTTGCGTTAGCTCTCGCCTGCCGCAACTTCACACGCCCCGCTCTTGCACGGTTGTGGAGATCACTGCCCGGCGAAGAACCCTTGATTGCCCTCTTTCTGCTTCTCGGTCTCGCAGAAACCCGGAACGGCGGTTCCGATCTCTATTGCAGCGACAAGAAATGTTGTTTGGATTTTGCAAGTGCGGCTGTCCTAGTCATTACTTGCTTGCCTCTGACGTGAGTGTCTCGCAGGTCTTAACCGGCACACCCACCCATTCCGGTTGGGAGCGCTTTCGACAGTACGCCTGTATGGTCCATTCCATCGCCCTCAAACCTTTCGTTTGGGACAAGGGACCGACTTTGTGGAGTGATCTATTACTGATCATGGGCGAAGAGCCGATACTACCGCAACTCACCTCTGTGACCATCTGTATCAACAAGTATTTTAGAGGTTTTGACGTTTACGGTTGCGGTTCCGGGCAACTCCCACTGCTCCATCCAGGTCTGGAACAGGTGACCTTGGAACGTAGCGGGGTATATGCCTCAACCGCGTTGCTCTCTCGCGCGCTCCAGCAAGTGTTCTTATCCTGCCCGAACATCATCTCTGTATCGTCGACCGTACAGATGGATCTTCGGGTAGTCCAGCACCTCCCCTGCCTGCGAACCGTCAACCTCCCCAACAACACCTACGACTCTGGGGACGTCACGCTCCTCGCCTCTGCCCCAGTACTAGAGCATCTATCGCTCTCCCTCTTCGCTTTCCTCGCAGGCCCGCCGTTCGTGCTCCCCGCTCTGAAGAGCCTCCAGGCATGCGGCTACAGCCGCAGCATCCGCGACTTCCTCAACACCGTGCACCTCCCCGCCCTCCGTGCCCTTCGACTCTCCATCCCACTCCACGCGCGTCTCGACGGGCTCCCCCCGCTCCTCGCCATGCTCGCCACGCTCTCCGCGCACCACCCCAACATCACCTCGCTCCATATCGACGAGATCATCGAGGCCGCAGCGCCCCACCCGGACCTCCCCCAGCCCCTGCGCGCCCTCCTCGAGCCGCTCCTCGCCATGCCCGCCCTGCACGACGTCTCCCTCGTCCTCCCCACGGCCCGCATGCACTGTTCCGCCGACGACCTGTGCGCGATCGCGCGCGCGTGGCCCGAGCTCCGCGCGCTCCACCTAGCCTTCGCGGTCGTCCCCGCCCCGCGCGCCGAGCACAGTGCGCGGACGGCGCCGGACGTCGCGGCGCTCTCTCGCCTCGCGCGGGGGTGTCCGCACCTGCGCGCGGTCCGCCTTCCGGTTGTCTGGGCGGACGCGCGGGTGGGGGTAGAGGAGGGCGGGGACGGGCATCGTGCGTTGCGCCGGTTGGAGATTGGGCGGCTCGCATTGGTGCGGAGAGGACGCGATGGGGACGCTAGGGAAGACGTGTCGGGGGTCGCGCTCATCGCTGCGCTGTTCCCGAGGGCGTGCATCCGGGTCGATGAGGAGGTGGAGGAACATGTGGAAGGCGAGGATGTGGGGCGTTCATGATGGTGTTCTGCTCAAACGGTTGCTGATGTTGGGGATCTTTTGTGGAGTAGCTCTCCGCGTCGTACTGATGGCGACAAGAGGGCAAGCCCACCGTTTTGATACCGAACAGGAGAGCTAGCGCGCTTATACTCTTCGATGAAAACGAAACTATGAAGCCGATCGAGGCAGGATGGGGTTGTCTGCAACGGTGAACGCGCGAAGCTCGGTCCACAGTGTCTCTTGGGGAGATGCTTGTTCGTCCCATCTGTCAAACTCCTCCTCGCCTTGATGACGATGATCGTGCCAGAACGAGTATAGTCGGAGCAAAGGACGCTCCGAATTTGAGGACGACGCCGAGCGCCAGGATGTTATGTAATGAAAGGTGCGGCCAAGAGTCACGCGCTCACGAGTTGAAGACGTCATCGACATCGCTCCTGCCAGCAAGGGCGATCGGAAGTTGGGCGTGGCGAGGGAAGACTGGCCAGGAAGAATTGATCAAGCCGTCATGTTCGGATTCTGGTGGGCAGAACAAGGTCTCCGCCGCGACAGGCAGCGCGTCCGTGGGAAGCGAAGCACCGTCCAGCAACCGGACGCGTCAAAAGGCGGCGAGCGCGCGGAGTTCATCAAGGTCCCTTGCCTTTCCCTCCCCCCGCCCTCGCTGCTACAAGCCTCCTCAGCCCCCCTCGCTGCACGCCATGCGCTCCTTTGCCCTCGCTGCCCTCGTCGCCCCCATCGCGGTCACCCGTGCGTTCTCTTCTTAGCCCCGGCTCCTTAGACGCGTAGAGCTAAACCACGCTTAGAGGCCCTTGACATTGTTGGTCCCAGCCAGTCTGCCTTCTGGTGAGCCACCCTTCGATACGCCGCGCGCGCATGGAGCTCATCGCCTCGAAGGGTATTCAACACCTCCAATTCCATCTCCTGGTCGTTCGCCGCAGGCGACCCCAGTCCCATCAACATTGTCATCGTTAACTCGGACAATGCCACCCTGAACGGACCTTTCTCGATTGCTACTGGCGTGAACGTCAACGAGACTGTACGTCTGATTCGCTCTCTCCACTTACCTCCTGGTCAACTAATCAGGACGTATTCTGCAGTCTGTCACGATGTGAGAATGTCTCGGCTGACGATGACTTCTGCGAGGCTCATGTCGCCATTTTTAGCACCAATGTCACTCTTCGCCCCGGAGACAACTACCAGGTCCAGTTTGTGAATACCACCAACCAGACCGACGTCTTCGCATCTAGCACTGCCTTCACCATGAAGCCCAACGGATGTGAGTATATCTTTTGCGCACGCTCCCTTCGTCTTCCGCGCGCGCGTGTGCAGTGTGACTGATTAACTTCCTATCGCGCCTCCCTCACAGCCGAGCCTGCCGCTCCGGTCTCCGTCTCGTCCGCAGCGAGCAGCACCGCGACCTCGCCCTCGGGCTCCCGCACATCCTCGTCTTCCTCCGCCACCGCAACTGGCGCTGCAAGCAACACCGGTGGCGCGCTCTCCTCCAACCAAGGCGTCCTTGGCGTCCTCGCTGCGTGCGGCCTTGTGTCGCTTTCTGCGCTCATCCTCTGAGCGGCGGGAACACACCACGTCCCACCAAGAGCACGTCCACGCTCGGCGCAAAAGCACCCCACCCCCTCCCTTCCTCTCTTGTGCAGCACACCTCCCCCGATCTCTACGTTCCCATCGGACATGGCCTTACCCTGGCGTCCTCACGCTCCTTACCACACTCACTCATTTCCATTATCCAGCTTCTCGCCGCTCGGCCGCGCACATTGTTTGTTTGACACTCGATTTGTTTGTTTGTTTGTCTGTTTGTTTCATTAGGTGCACCTTCATCGTGTTGTAGCATGTCTCTCTAGGCATTTATGCCCCCGCCTCGCCTCTACTAGCACGCGGCGCCGAGTCTCACGATGTATGCGTTTGGATCCGGCCTCCAATTTGAGTCATCGCGTTTGCTTGGTTCTTCCCCAGCATGGCTGCATCAATATCGATCGCATACATCGTCACGAGCAAGCACATAAGGCTCTATTGGCTTTACGCGCCTCCGGGAACGTCCCTTCCCCTCCAGTTCGTAAGCAGCCGCGCATCATGCACACACCCGACGCCAATATGCACATGTGGCAGCCACGCGCAATACAGCTGCACCACGTACGTATGGAGGATGAATATTTGAATGGAGAACGCGTCGCCCGACGCGAGATGGCGCGCGATCGAGCCTCCTTGTGCCTACACGAGGGTTTCGATTGTCGTCGTTCTGACAAGTGAATGCCTCCGCTCCGAGCATCGCACCAGATCGCACCCCATGCCAAGGACGTGAGGCCTTGAGGCGCGACGGGTGAGACCTCCCTTAAACGGCACGGATGATGGCGGGGCTCCTGCGCGTCCGAAGATTGAGCCCGAGAGAAGACGTTCACTGGAGACATACTGATTGGCATACCTGGAGACGACGAGTGCGGATTGGGATGCTCCGCCCCTTGGCATCCGACGAGTAGGAGATTCTCTCGTGCACGTTCGGCGGTCGCTGTTGCAGCCCGTGGCTTGGAAGTTTGAAAGTTCCAGGAGGCTAGAGAGTCGAGACGCGTCACCCCGCAACCGGAGCGTACTGCGGCTGAATCTCTCGAAGTTTTCCGAACTTCGGAACGAAAGAGCTGCGTTGCCCCGCGTTGGCGTTATCGGGGAAAGGGGGGGGCAGGAGCGACTGCATCTGAAGGCTCGGATGAAGAATCAGAGAGGGAGCTGAACGGGAGAGGGCGCGGTATGGCGAACACACACCGCCGTTCCGTCTGGTGGTTCGCGGACCATCGCCTCCGCCTCCGCCTCCGCCAAGTCCTTCTGCGCGCATATATCCGGCCAGAAGGAGACACGGCATCATTTCTACGTTCATTCCTACATCATCGTGTCCCACAGCACGGAGTCGGCCACTGCGCCTTCAGGCAAGAGGTGGTCGAGAAGGTGGGCCCCGTCCTGCCCTGCCCTGTCCCTGCCGTAGTGGCCGTAACGGCGGGCCGCGATGTGTGCGAGTCCGCGGCACGTTGACTTGCCTGGATCGCCGTGACTGAGGCCTGTCAGGGCCTAGGATCGACGGGATGCTTCTGGGGCCGGAGGGGGCCTGATAATGAAGGGGGCAAGAGGCACCTTTCTGCCTCTGAAGGTGGAAAAGTCGCGCGGAGGTCGAGGAACGGGCCGGTTGCAGCGGCCGGAGGTCTCACCGCTAGCTCGTGGCTTATCTGCGTGTCGTTGCGAGGGATGTCGATGAGCGTGGAGGGCGTTGGACGAGCAGAAGGGTGGCGACGGTACTCGCCAAGGACCGCGTTTGTGAACGTCCGTGGATGATACGATAGCGACGTGAAATGGGAAAGAATCAAAACGGGCAGAGACAAGGCTGTTCCCCGGGGAACGTCGCAGCCACACTCGCCCGTATTGCGGCTCGGGGCCTGCACTCGATGGTGGCGGCAGGTGCGACTCGACGACGGTCTGTGTTCCCGCAAGCAGTTCTATCCGCGGCCTGCACCGTGAGACCGGGCCGCGGACGCTGTTGGGACCAAGTTGGGACCACCGCCAGGGAGCCGGGACGGGGCGGACAGATCTGCCGGGGCATTATTGGAGCCCGCGCCCCGCACGGCTGGCACCCTGTGCGCAGCTGCGCGCACGCCGTCTCCATACTTCCTCTCCCCCGCCTCCCCGGCTTCGGGCCCTCGTTCGACCCCGCCTGCCCACGCCCACGCCCACGCTCACGCCAGCCCACGGTCTTTAGCTTCATGCCGCTCGCCCCGCGCCATGCCGCTCCACAACGCCCTCGTTCCCGCCGCCGCCTCCTGCAGCATGCAGACCCAGGCGCACGATGAGCTCACCCAGACCGTCTTCGACGCCGTCGAGTCCCTCACCCACGTCCGCAAGGCCGGCTTCCTGCTCGAGACCGCCCTCGCGCTCATCGAGGCCGGACGGTGCGTCCCCGTCCCCGTCCCCGTCTCCTCCTCCCCACGCGCTCGCCCGTGTGGCGGGCGGGCGTCCGTGCTCGTGCTGACCGTGGCGTTGGCGTGCAGATACGGCGACGAGGTCGAGAAGTACCTGGAGGTGTACCTGCGCACGCCCAACCTGGAGACGCAGGACATCTCGCGTGCCCTGCTCGCCCGCGGGAATGCGCGCAAGATGGCGGGCGAGAGGCTCATGGCCAAGGCCCAGGCCGACTTCCAGGCCGTCGCGAAGCTCGACCCGTCCAACCGGCAGCTGCAGGGGTTCCTCAGGAGAAGCGATATGGTGAGCATATGCGTCTTTTGAGATTTGTGGGAGTGGGGGGAGTTGGGCGTCGTGCACAACGGACGAGGTCATGACTGGTCGATGCGATTGGGACGGGCATCCAAGAGGGAGGGCGACTTCATGTATGCGCACCAACGACGCGGGGTGGAGAATGGTCGCTGCAGTTTTGTGGCACAGGCGTGCAAGGAGAGGCGGAAGGTGGCTTTTTGGAGAGTGCATACGCCCTGCACGCCCATTACTCTTTGGAGGGCTTTTGGCAAGGCAGAGGTGGAGGAGTGGACGTTGCTATTGCCATATCAAGGCAAATGCTCATGGCTGCCTTTAGATCCACTTCGTCGACGAACCAGCTTCACAAAGGGCTCCCCCAGAAATTTGGGAGCGCATCGCCCGTTTTATCCCCCGCTACCACCTTCGCACATGGCTTTTCGTTTCGGCCTTCCACAGGGACATTGCAGTACGGCTCATCTTCCACACTGTCGACCTCTACTTTGGCGAGGACCAAGAACACAACCGAGGCCTCGATATCTTTGACAGAGTCAAGGCGGATCCGACATTCGCAAGGCGAGTCAAAGCACTTCGGTTACACTGGGCGTACGAAGAAAACGACATGTTCGACATCATTTGCCGTCAGTACTCGCACTCCCTTTCCTTACCGCTTTCTCATCCCGGTCACAGGCATGTTCATCTCAGCGCTTCCCGCATTCTCTGCACTCCGCGAGTTCGAGTGGATCGGGTATCCTGAGCTACGAGCGGACCTCGTACAGGCCGTACTTCAAGCACAACCACGCCTCCACACACTTGGGCTCATTGGTTGGCACTTTGACGCTGTCGGAGTGGTACGTTTGTTTTTGTCGCCGACGGCATCCGCCTTCTGACCGGCCCTCACGACAGAGCGGCTTCCACGGCTTGCGCACGTTCATCCTGCGTGCCGAGGACGACGACGGATTTGCCGACATGGGCGAGGTCCGGACCGTGCTTGACGAAAACCAGGAAACGCTGCGGCACCTCACGCTTGGCGCGTACCTGCAGCGGAACCATTCATGGGACCACGCATTCCAGTCGGCAACGATCCGGAATCTGACGCAGCTCGAGCTCGTCGACACCCGCATCTCGCACGTCGTACTGGCGCGCATTGCGCACGCACATCGGCTCGAGAGCCTGACGCTGCACGGGACGTTCGAGGAGCCATGCTCGGCAAGCGTCGTCTTTGGGAGCGACCACATCATCGACGGCGTCCACACGTTCTTGCCGCACCTCGAGGAGTTCCGATTCGTGATGGTCGGGCATGACGATGACCTCGGGCTGTTCCAGAGCGTCGCGCAGTTCCTCAAGCAACGCCCGAAACTACGGAGACTCGACCTCGGAAACTGCCCGTGGGACCTGGTGCACAGCGTCCTGCCGGCCCTCAAGGGACTCCGGGTGCTGCGGGTGCGGATTCCGAAACTCAACGATGCGTCGCTCCACATCCTTCTCAAGGCGATCCCGCGGGAGCTCTCTGCGCTTCACCTCGAGACTGCCGTCTCTGAGAAGCTCATCGTGCGTTCTTCCACTCGTGTCCAGCGTGCTCTTCCTGACCTCCCAGCAGCACCACTACGCGAAGGCGTTCAAGGTCTTCCACTCGATCAGCATGCTCCACCTGGACAGCAACCGGCGGCGACCGCAGCCGAACCTGCTCTCGGACAAGGAGTACCAGCTGCACACGGAGGAGTGGGCGGCGCACGCGCGGAGCATCGCGCAGGACCTGCCCACGCTCGACTTCGTCGGCTGGCACGGCGAGCACTACGTCGTCGTCCGCCACGGCGGCGACGGCAGCGCGAAGAGCGGGCGGGTCGAGCTCAAGGAGCTGCCCGCGCGGCGGCGGCTGGACTGCGCGAAGGGCGTCGACTTCGGGACGGGGGACGCGGCGTGGATGGAGCGGAAGGACCTCCCGATGGACTACGAGGCGCCCGGGCTGCTGCAGTCGTGAGAGGGTGCTGTGGGGTGGAAGGGGAGATCGTTGGTTCGTCCACATCGTTGTATCGCTGTCGCACTCATTGGCTTCGTCCCGGGTCACATTTAGACTGTACAGTGTCCATGTATTGATAATGCCGAGAATCCACGACGTTCGTTATCCTTGAGCCCAGCCTGGGAGAGTCCTGCCTACCGACGTGGTAAGATGGCTTCCTCAGCAGAGCGTGCACTGACGAATCTCTACAGCTCACTCGAAGCTATTTGAGGCTTCCGCGCAACTTCTTCCCATCCATCTCTCAGATTTGGTTCCAACGTACGGCAGTCGGTCCTCGCGCTGACCAAGCCGGCGCCTCCAGGTCTTGCAGTCGGACTCCCGTCTCGCGCTATTTTACATCGCTCTTGCTCTCTCCCTCCACCTCCACCTCCACGCGATAGGCGACGCCCCCTCCCCTCCCCCCAGCAAGCTCTTCCAGCCCGCACGCGTCGGGCACCTGACGCTCGCGCACCGCGTCGTCTTCGCGCCGCTGACACGCCTGCGCGCGCGCCCGGGCGGCGTCCACGGCGCGCTCGCCGAGGAGCACTACGCGCAGCGCGCGAGCACCTCAGGGACGCTCCTCATCGCGGAGGCGACCAGCGTGTCGCGCGCCGCGGAGGGGCGCGGGCCGAACTCGCCCGGGGTGTGGAGCGCGGCGCAGGTCGCGGGGTGGAAGCGCGTGAGCACCGTCTCCCCGTATCCGCGTAACGTACGGAGGCTCGAGGGACGCTGACGCGCGCGCGCACGGGCCAGGTCGCGGACGCCGTGCACGCGAAGGGCTCGTACATCTTCATGCAGCTGTGGGCGGTCGGGCGAGCCGCGCGCGTGGGGTACATCCGCGAGACGGAGCCGGGGTTCGCGTACGTCTCCGCGTCGGATGTGCCCGTGCCGGGGAGGGAGGAGGACGTTCCGCGCCCGCTTACGATTGAAGGTGAGCGCGTCCGGTTGCGGGTGCTTGGGCTTTGTTGCTGAGGGCGTGTGCGCAGAGATCGAGGAGTACGTGGCTGCGTTCGCGCAGGCGGCGCGGAACGCGGTCGTGGACGCGGGGTTCGACGGGGTGGAGATCCACGGCGCGAATGGGTACCTCGTCGACCAGTTCATACAAGACATGTCAACAGGCGCACGGACGAGTACGGCGGCTCGATCGCGGGCCGATGCAGGTTCACACTTGAGGTGGTGGATGCTGTATGCGCGGCGGTCGGGGAAGAGAAGACGGCAATCCGCTTGAGCCCTTGGGGGAAATTCCAAGGTGCGTGGACACAGTGTCTCTAAGAAGCGATCGCGCGCTCACACCGGGGATTGTAGGGATGCGTATGGAGGATCCGATCCCGACGTTTTCGCACTTGGTAGAGCAAATGGCCGCCAAACACCCCAACATGGCGTTCCTCCATGTTGTCGAACCGGGAATCGCGGGGGCCGCTTCCGTGCCAGTGCAGAGGGCGAGGTGCGATCTCCTGTCGTTTTTATAGGATCCCCGTGCTGAGCCGCTCGTCTCTGAAGTCGAACGAGTTCATCCGAAAGATCTGGCAGCCCCGCCCGCTCGTTACGACCGGAGGATACACACGGGCGACTGCGATGAAGGTTGCAGATCGACAGCTGATCGGATTCGGGCGAGCGTGGGTCAGCAATGTGCGCATATCCGGTGTTCGTGGAAGAGGGGCATATGTGCTAACGTCGACATCCCACAGCCCGATTTGCCGCTGCGGCTGCTGAAGGACATTCCTCTCACCGAGTGGGACGTCAGTCTCTTCTACAACACCGAAGATCCTCACGGCTACATCGACTATCCGTTCGCGGAGGTTTGAGCGTCATTCTTAGACCGTTCTCAGCTCCGATCGGGTTTCTCTACCTTGGGAATCGGCGTGCTGCCGTACTTATCTAAGTAGGGTTCCGGGGTCACCTCCGGGTGACCGAACTGCCCTCTCTCTCTCTCTTTCTATAAGTAGGCGGTGCTCAGTAATGCATCAGACATGAACTATACCCCTGAACCCTGTTTAACGCCCTAAAGCAAGTAAGTCCGTCGGCGATCCGGCGCTCAAAAAAAGTCGCTGACCTGAAGGTCAAAACGGCGGCCTAGTTGAGTAGAAGCTATGCCCTTTCACGAGATTGAAGACGTGCTTTTCGAAACGTTCACCTATTGTCGACATCTAGAACACGGCGAGAAAACACTTCTTGCCCTCGCTCTCTCCTGCCGAGAGTTCACTTGCCCCGCACTCACCGTCCTTTGGCGATCACTCCCAAACGATCAACCCTTAGTCCATCTCCTTCATGCTCTCGGCATAGCCAGCCCAGGGAGGGTGATCGTCCACTCAAAGGCTTCGAATACATCAATTCAGGATGGTGCTACGTAAGCAGCTCCATCTCATACAGCGCGCATCACCGACGCTGAGAATTTAGCGCACAGACGGTCTCGCACTTCAACTCCTCACAGGACCTCTTCGCTCACCCGCGATGGGAACGATTCCGCGAGTACGCGCACGCAGTTCGCGAGATACATCTAGCCCCGCTCGCTTCGTTGCAACTTCCCTCCATATGGATGGAGCTTCAAGCGCTGGTTCACGAAGAACCCATCCTGCCCCTACTTCGCCGTTTCACGTTCACTAGCCAGCCCATGGGGACGAACGCGCCGCTCGAATTCGACAGTGGCCAGCTTGCACTCTTGTCACCCACAGTACGGGAGGCCTTCATCGGGTTTCCGACGACTTTCTGGTCACCGTCCATCATGTCAGCCATTTGTTGTGTCACAGAAAACGTCTGCGCAAGTTGCGCGTCACTGGAAAGCGTCGAGGTCAACTCGGTGTTGTGGCCAGAAGCTCTGTCCGGTCTGAAACATCTTCGATCCGTCAAGGTCAATCAGCCTAGCCTCCAGCTTAAAGATCTTCAGTCGATGGCCATTCTACCCGCCTTGGAATCTCTCACATTTTCCGTTCTGGCCAGGGCCCTTCGACTGCAGCCAAAAACCGCAACTCTCAGTACCCTCACGTCGCTGGAAGTGAGCGGCTCCCAGAAAGACGGATCACCGACATCCTCACCTACACCCACCTCCCCGTTCTGCATTCCCTTTCCATGACCACCTTCGAAGTCTCGCACGACAAACTCCTCCCCAACCTCAACTCCCTATTTTCCCTCGTCGTCGCCCGCGCGCCGCACCTCACTACGCTCGGCATCCAAGTGATCAACCCGAACGGCGCGACCCCAGAGGTCTTCTCCCCGTCCCGGAACCTCTGCGCGGCCCTCGCCCCGCTCTTCCCGCTCGTGCAGCTCCGCGCGCTCCGCTTCGAGCTCTGCCACAGCGCGCTCGCGTGCTCGTCCGCGGACGTGCGCGCGGCGCTCGACGCGTGGCCCGCGCTCGAGGACTTCTCCGTGCGCTTCAGGGCCGCGCCCCGCGCCCGCGTCGCGCTCGACGTCCTCGCGCACGTCGCGCGCGCGTGCCCGCGCCTGCGCGTGATGCACCTCCCCTGGACGGCGCTCGTGGCGGGCTCGCTCGACGCGGCGCGCGTGGGGCACGCTCCGCACTTGGCGATGCGCACACTCGGGCTGGGCGAGGTGGAGGTTGTCGGGGCGTCGCGCGAGGAGGCGGAGGCGGAGATCGTGGGGTTTGTGGAGGCGGTGTTTCCGATGACGAGTCTGGATTTCCGCACCGCGTAGGGCTGGGCCGTTCTTTGCGATGCGACATATTTGATGTGCTCGGACTCGAAAGCCACCAACCTTTTCTCCACCGCATTCCACGGATCAAAGCCCGCTACGTCGACGCTAACGACTTCGCGAGGGCACCCTCGCTAGTAGGATTTTCGAAGATTCCAATAGAAAATGGCCGTACTTTTTGACACTGAAACAACGATATGATCGGGATTTCGTCTACAAGTACGATGCAATACAGTGAAGGCGCATGTTGGCTTCCCCGCCGCGCGAGCGACGGGTACTAGTCCCGAGGGCCACGGAGAGGCCTGCGCCAGTACCTCGGGGAGCATTTTTAAACGGAGGTCGTAAGGACCCCCGCCGCCCCTAACATAGCTAGACATAGGCATAGAGATGAGAGTGACGATAGTGAGAATAGAGAGAGAGAGGGGTCAAGGACGGGCCGAGCTGGGGCTGGCGCGTACGAGTGTCCCGGAGCCTGGAAAACATTCCGCGATAGTTCACGGAGTGGCATTCATCGGGTCGTGCGCGCCGCCTGACGATCGCCGTCCTCGTAGGCATAGATGTGGGGAGGAGAGAGAGAGATCGAGAGCTATCAAGAGAAAAGAAAGACGACCCCAAATGAGGGCAGTACGCACGACTTTCCCGGAGCCAAATCTTTCCGACAGGCTGAGCGGAGCGGCATCTGTCGGGACTGTGCGTGCTGCCTGGCGCGGGACCATGCCTTACTTTCGCCGCTGGATTGGACGGCGGGAAGCGATCGACCGCACCCTTACTAAGCCTGTATGTACGGCCGGCCTCGAATGAGGACGCTGGGCGGTTGAACTCAGATCACATTCAAGATCGATGGAGGCAAAGTGACTCACAATTTCGGGGGTTTGTATTGCAGGCATAATAGCTGCTATGCAGAAGTCAGCGTCGACGTCGGCGGAGAGAATCAGGGAAAGACGCACATATCACAGTCAGCCTTGAAGTGCGTCTCGCGCGGCTCGAGCGAGCCGTTGGCAACGACCGCGAGGTTAGGGCAGTGCACACACACCTCCTCCTCAGCCCCACGTGCGGTGCGGCGCGAAACCGCTGCACGCTGTCTCCCGCCTGCCCATATGGCGGTGAGGATGGCGACGCGCGAGCGACGCCAGAGCCTCGGTGCCGGACGAGGTGAGTGACATGGGACCCGAGTTCTAGTGGGTTGGTCAGCGCAAGTGGCGCACGGAGATGGCGAACACAACTCACCTTCGAGGTGCCGTACACGCTTGGAGGCCAACCCGGCGAGAGGAGGGCAGTTGTCGGAACTGAGATGCCTCTGTTCATCGTCACCCGGAGGTGAGGATGTTACCGTCGCCGCCGTTGATGCGGCCGAGGAGTGAGGGAGTGGTGTGTCGCATGAGCAGGGGCGCGCCGCGGGGGGAGAGCATCGTCGAGGTGGTGGGGTGGTGGGGGTTCTGAGGAAGGAGAACTCGGGGGAGGAGGGCTTTTATCCTCGCCTGGCAGACTCCACCGCAAATCCCGAGCGGCGACCGCATCACGCAAGATCCGCATAGAGCACAAGGCTGCTCGCTCGGCTGCCACAAGGGCCCGTCGAGGCCCGCGATACTGGGATCCCGAGTATCGCGCTGGCCAATCGCCTTCTACACCCCTCCGCGCCCAAGCAACACCAGGTGCTTCGCGGTGAGAAGTCGCTCTCGGATCTCACAGCAGTTCCTGGAAATTTGATTTCAATCAACAGAAGTCCTCAGCCGAGTCCCGACAGAACGAGCTACTTACCGAGCGCGAGAAGACTCGGGGAAAAATCACGGCGACCAGGGGGCACCGCTGGCCGTCGTTTGTCGCGGATTGGTCGCAGAGCTCAAGCGGCGGCGCATTAATCCGAGAGAACGGAGCCCATGAATGATTTGGGGTGCTCGAGTCAGGCCCCGGCTGGACGGCGGAGTTCAGAAGAGTTGCCAAACAAGGGTTTTGTGTGGGCGTCCTGGTTGTGAGCGCCAGCGGTGGACAAGCCCCACGTCGTCCTTTTTGAGCACCTGAACGTTCTTGCCCGCGCACGTACCTTCCGGAAACATGCACATGCAAGGCATTGAGATGCTGTTCTCCATGAGCGACGTGCCAGCGAAACGCTTGGAATCTACCATCGGCAGCTAGTGAACTGTATGACGATTCAGACCTGCGAATATGAGCTTGGGGCACAAATATGACCATCTCATATGTATCCACAAGTCGCGGATGGTTTTCCCAGGTGACTTACCAATTTATTTGGCTCTTGAGCAAGTTGGGTGAGAGGAAGACAGTCAGCGCAACATGAGCGCTTGATGAAGTGCTGCGGGCGCTTGCGCTGCATCTGGGCAAGGTTTTCGAATCCAGCTCTTGCGGTTTTTCCGTGCATAATGTTTTACTCTCATCAGTAATATCGGCCATCCTTTAATAAAACCACATACCGAGGTGCATTAAAGCATCGGGAAACACGGAATCCTCTGAACCTTACGAGCATCATGATCACCAAAACAGATCTCGAGAGCATCATCGTGTCCCTTCTCCTTGTCGACAACCAAGAAAATCGCATTTGACCATGTCCGATAGATGAGCATGTCCTCCGCAGCTTCTCCACCCATTACACGTACCTTATTGGCTTCGAAATAGATCGGACTGGGGGCCCCGGGGAGATTGCAGGTACGCCCCGTGACTGCCATCGTCTCAGACTTGCGCCTGGTGAGCTCGACGTGGAAATGGGGCGTGGTCGCCAGCGTGAGCGGCGAGCGCAGAAATGCAAGGTGCTCCGCGAGGCGCGTCGGCGATGTCGCGCATCCAGTCGTCGGCGGGGAGTTGAAGCGGATGGCACGTCGGAGTTCGTGGTTGAGTGGGTGTACGACGGACGGTGCACAACTGTCAACGACTCACGCAAGAGTACTAGCACGAAGTGTCTCACGCTGAAAACCTTTTCCACTCGGACTGCGTAGATCGTGAAATATCGCTCTCCGTTCAATACGCCCGATGCCCTAGCCTCGCAGGGGAACACCGTTCGTCTGTGTGACCATAACGTTCCGGCCACGAGTCCGCCTCCCTAGTCGCCCTTACCTTGCTCCATCTTTCCCCCAACGATCGCCCACTTGCGTTTCTCCTATACACTCTTGGTATCTCGCAACTAAGGTCGAAGGAAAATCCGTCCAATATTTCGGCAAGGACCGCAGATTCATATCTATTTGTAGGTTCGATCAACTTCCGCGAAAACGGAATTCAACTGACGGGTCCGTGTGGGACGGTAGACGTTGACGCAGGACCCTTGCACTCATACAAACTGGAAGAGGTTCAGTGGATACGCATCACGCGTCCGAAAGATCACCATTTCACTCCCCTCGTCTCGTGGGGGACCTTCCGTCTGGCAGGAACTGCCGCAGTTCCTTCGCGGCACATCTATACTTCCGTGTCTCAATCAAGCGGAATTCGTTGCCTTGTTGTTTCACGGCAGACCCTTTGACAACGGCGAGCTGGCCCTTCTCTCGTCCGAGGTCAAAACAGTCGAAATCCATTTCCGCAGCAAGGACCACACTGACAGTGAACGGCTCGTGGCACAAGCACATCAGCTAGCCGTGCTCAGAACGATCTGCGCATCGTGTCCCCACCTGCAACGCGTCCATATCTCGCACTCCCTGATACCGTTCGACTTCATTATCCGCACTCTCGTGCCCCTGGCGTCGCTCAAGGAATTTGGGAATATTCGCTTGCGCTCCCTCAAGGACATCCAAGACCTTCGACTTCTCCCGTCTCTCGTCTCTCTCACGGAGTTGTCCCTCGGGCTCTACTTCTACCAAATCAACAACGCACGGTTTACTCTGCGGAGATCCTTCGAACTCCCGCATATCCGCGCGCTCAACCTCCTCTGTACGGGTCCACATCAGTGGCATCGTGTCGTGGGAGTTATCACGCACTTGCATACACCCACGCTCTCTTCCCTTTCCCTCCAGACGACACACGACTCACTGTGTGAATTCTACTCGTCAAGTTTCCAAACCGCCCTTGCCGCAATGACCAACCACTGGTCTCGCCTCCGTTCAATGAGCATCGCGATCAAACGGGACAACCCCTATGAGCAGGATTCCGTCGTTCCGCTCTCCGGCATGCTCCAGACCCTCAGCGCCCTGAGCACGCTCGCCGACCTCACGATCACTCTCCATCTGAAGTGTCCCCGGATCTCCCTGTCCTCCGAAGATATCCAGGCAGCGGTCAGTGCGTGGCCCGCGCTCGAGAGCCTCCGGTTGTACACCAACCTGGAGCTGGCGCCCGTCACCTCGAACCTCCCCGAGGGGAGCGCGCGCGTCACGATCGATGCGCTGGCGCACTTCGCGCGGGGCTGCCTGGAGCTGAGGCCTGAGGGTTCTGCATCTGCGCGTTCCCGGAATAGACGCCACGGTGCTCTCCGCGAACGTGGACGAAGAAGACCTGACGAAGGGGACGACGTGTACGCAGCGCACGCTGAAGGAGCTGGTGCTAGGTGGTGTGGTATCGAGCTGCCAGGACTGGCTTGCGGTGAGGGAGAGCGTGCTGCGGTACGCATCGGAGTTGTTCCCTGTAGCCAACGTGTATCTGGATTCGTAAGTCAGAACGGGCCCGCCACACACTGCCACTACTCCACGTCGCAGATCCTACCACCCTAAATACTGCCGCACGTACGAAAAAGACACGCTCCACCTCTGGAGACACGGAAACAGCCCGCAAACGCACCGCAAACCGTCCGCGTCCTGCACGGCACCGCCGCGGCCGCGAACAAGAGCTCGCGTAGGCGGTCGGCCCCGTCCCTCTACCGCACTCGCCTCCTCTTCCCGTTCTCTGAGCACTCCGGCATCCATCGGCAGTAGGTGCAGCATGTGCAGCTGTGGACACCCACGTACAAGGTGCGCGAGTGCGCCAGGCTCCGAGCGCGCATCTCGTACGTCGGCAAAGGCCGATACGCGCCATTCGTTGGCGTTGGCATACCAAGGTTCTGCGGGTCCGCTCGATGATGAAACAGGCAAGCGTCTGAAGCGCACCGAGAGATTGCAGTGCGGAGAGCTGGTCGGAGTTTCAGAGCAATGCCCCGACCATTTCAGAACCCGAACGTGAGATGGGTTCTGAGTGAGCACAGCTGGCCGTGGTTCTGCTCCAAGGCGCGGGTCTTCGCATACGACTGGGAGGCAAATCGATGCGAATTTGTCACCTTACTTCCCGCAAAGCTTTACCTAACCATACTGCTACTGTGTTTATGCCTAATTGTACAACCATGGCATACTAGCTACAGGCTATGCATATGTGAACCTTTACAAACTCCTGCCCGCATGTGCATCCGCTCACTATCTCAGGCCTTAACATTGAATACAGCATTCCCGACCGCCGCACCCGCCGCGAGAGAGTCCGCGGTCCGCACAACTGTAGTCTCGAGCTCTCGCCGAGCGCGCTCGAGGAAGAGGAATGAGACGACGGCGTCGTCGCGCACCTCGAGCCCGCGAGCGGTAAACAGCAAGCACGCGCTCTTCTCTACGCCGGCGTCGTCGCGGTGTACGCGCTTGAAGCGCGCGATGAGGGAGGCGAAGCCATCGTCCTCGGAGTACAGCTGTGGAAGTGGGTCATGTAAGGCCCATGAGACAGACTCAGATGGGAGCAGATGAACGGACCTCGAGCTGGCGTCCCGGCTCGTTCCCGCGCCACTTGTACTTGCGGCCCATGCGGTCTTTCCATGACACTTCCCTGTGGGTGAGACACCGAGGTCGTTTAAGTATCGCTGGCATGATCACAGCTTAGAGACAACGGTACCGTCGGAAGGGAATAAGGCTTGGATGGAGCCATTCGCGAAGAGACATCGGTCCGCCAAAGCCGGCGAGAGTCACCCGGTCGGAACGCGTGCTCTTCCATTCGAGCGACGCAATCTCGTCTTCGTGTTTGCCCTTGTGTCCTCCGGCCTTCTTCCCCAGCTCAGATTCTGAGTCGTCTGAGTCGGCATCGGAAGAGTGAGCGCGATACACGCGCGTGACTGTGCCGGACTTCGGGTGCTCAGTGCGGACGACGTAGAGTGCCTTGCTAGTGGCGTCATCGACGACGGTGGTGTTGCATGGGTTGTCGGGGGAGAGGAGGAGGATGGCGGCGATGGCGGCGGACATGTCGTTCGCAGGGGAGGTTCTCTGGGGAGACAAGAGTCCGGGATGACATGATATGTGGTGAGTCCCAGCGTTCAACTTGCGCGCAGCGAGAGTTCTGTCAAAACCTGACGGCATGCTAACATAGGCTGACTGCGAACGTGAAACTTCAGATTCACAACTCTAGCGACCGCTGATTTCGAGCCTGGCAGGGTCCCATTTTGACCATTGTGATCGGTTTTGCGGACAATGTGCTCTCCCACCTTCTTCTCATCCAGTCAGAACGTGGAAAAAAAGTAATAAGAGCGTACTTTCAGAGCGATGGTCTTGCCGGATCATGTCAATCCGCCACTGTCACTGGGACCATGAGGTGGCAAGGTGCGCAGCAGAGGCTGTCGCTGGGCATGTCTTCCAGTGGCAGCACTGAGCATTTGACCAGGGCATGCGCGCATGGTGCCTTGGGGGCGTTACCTGCGTCATGAAACTGTCAAGCGGGGCAAGCGAATGTGAAGACAAAACAAGGAAGATGAGGAAAAGACGGGGGTGCATGAACAGTAAGAAGCGCCCAACTGGGTGCGCACTGGTGGCTGAGACCCCGAGAACCGCTCTTCATCAAGGACCAAAACATGAGCCACCCCAAAGCTCTCGAAGAGTACCTCGTTCCTGGTACAAAAACAACCTATTACGTCCCTAACTTCATAGACGAAGAAGAGGAAGAGTATTTGATCAGAAAGGTCAGCACCAAACGGCCACAAATCTACCGCAGCAACTGCCGCATCTGAAATCTTTGTGTAGATCGTGGACGCACCTCAGCCGTGGTGGAAGCGACTCCAAAACCGCAGGTGAGCGATTTGGTACGCGCTACTTCGACGGACTATGGAGCTCATATGCAGGTAGACTGCAGATATGGGGCAAGTGCTAGTGTCAGTCCGCGGGGATCTGATTACTCAGCCTCGAGTAGGCGGGGAATTAACTGCGAAAAAGGTCCTCATACCGCAGGAGATGCCGAACTTTGTGAACATGTAGTGAGTGTCATAAATAGGCCATCTAACGGTACGACGTTGTCTGAATGTCTCCCACAGCCCTGACCTCATCGGCCGCATTCGCGACACAGGAATTTTCGAGGGTTCCAAACACGGAGAACCCAATCACATCATCATGAACGAAGTGAGCTGTCTCGTGCCTTCAGATTCCGATCCATATTCACCTTTGTCCTAACTATAGTACGCTCCTGGTCAAGGAATCATGGTCAATGCCAGTGTATCCCCTCCCTTTCAATATTGTATTGATGCTTCGATATAGCCCCATGAAGACGGTCCCGCATATCATCCAGTTGTCGCCACCCTCTCCCTCGGAGCCCACACCGTCTTCAACTACTACCAATACAAACCAGACGACCCCCCTGCCCCCTCAGACACCCCTTCAGCGCCGGAGGCACAGCGCACCGGCCGCGCAATCGACCCCAAGCCGGTCCTCCGCCTCCTGCTCGAACCGCGCAGCCTCGTCATCACGACCTCGTCGATGTATGCCGATCACCTGCACGGCATCGACGAGCTCTATGTCGACAAGTTCGAAATCGACGGCACGACGCCAGAGAAGCGCATCGCGAACTTCGACGCGCTCAAGGACCCGGCTGCGCGCGCGGCGGTCGAGGCGGGAGGCATCCTCGAGCGCGGGCTGCGGTACAGCTTGACGTGCCGCGACGTGGAGAAGGTGACTCTGATGGGCGGAGCCTTGCTCAAGAAGTTGCTTGGCCAGCAATAATCGGGAAGGAGGGTAGACTGTATCGCCGTCAATCTGCGCGAGTATCACCAACCATTGTGCATCTGTACGTTACCCCCGTGATCTGCTCACAATGAAGACCAATTAGAGAGACGACGAGCCTCATATCCCACAGTTGCGATTTCTAGCACAAGGCGCAGGGTACACTCGTACTTCATCGCGCCGACGCCTTAATGTTCACTTATAAGATTTCGGACATGATGTTGGTATCGCGACCGGTGTCTACCCTTATGGCTATGCAGTATACATCGAAGTTGAAACTCAAGTCCTTTGGTTTCCTCGTCGCACTCACATCACACCCAGCCCCGCCTTCAACTCCGCCTCGAGGTCGGCGTTCTCCTTTGCAGCCTCCCCATTCTCACCCTCGACCTCATCGCGCTCCTTCTTCTCACGCTCCTCCACGATGCACCGCTCGCACATGCACTTGCCGAAGCCCCACTCGAGCAGGTTCCGCCGGCGCGGCTCGAGCGGCATGTCGGGGTTGACGTACGTGATCAAGAGCTCCTCCCCGGGCGTAATGGGCCGCCGGGCGATGAGCGTGATCCGCGAGAGAGCTGTGCGCTGATCGAGGTGCCGCACAGAGACATTCGGATTGCAGCTGTGGTTGAGGTGCGAGTGCAGAACGTACAGCCCGCCGTGCGCCTCCAGATCTACCGCGAAGTCAGGGCCACACTGGTGCCCGAGGAGGGAGAGATACGCACTGAGACTCATCCGCCCGAGCCCCTGCAGGAACGCCTCGTACTCGAACAGCGTCTCGACGACGTCCTGCGGGAGCGGCTTCTTAAATAGCTTCGCGAGCCGCTTCTTCTCCGCGTCGGTGGCCGGCTCCCGGAACGCCTGGACGTACAGCTTGTGCGCCCGCCTCCACATCGCGCGGTCCGGCTCCGCGCTCAGCCACCCGCCCTTGGCGCGCTCCTCCATCCCGAGCTGCGCCATCGCGCGCACGGCCTCCCAGTCCTCCGCGAACGCCTGCGCGTCGGCCTCGTGCGCGGCGAGCACGCGCGCGGTGGCCTGCGCGAGCGCGTGGAGCGCCATCCACTGGTTGCGCCGCGCGAAGTGCAGCAGCGGCGCGCTCGCGGGGTTGCGGGACGCGCAGAGCGGCGGGTGCGCGCGGCCGGCGCGCTGGAGGCACAGGCGCGAGCAGAAGTGGACGGGGCAGGGCGTGCTCGAGCTCGAGGTGGCGCAGGGGACGACGAGGGCGGAGGCGGTGAGCAGCGTCGAGCAGTGGCCGCACGCGCGCGAGGACATCTGCATGTCGTAGATCTCCCTGCCCGTCGGCCGTCCGCGTCAGCGGTCGGTTCTGTGGGGGCTGGAGACGGGGGGGACGCACCACTCCGGGGCGAGGACGAACGGGTCCTCCTTCCAGATCACCTCGCCCTCTGGGATCGCCTCGCGCGCGACGAGGCCCTTGCCCTTCGCCTTGCCGAAAAAGTGCACCTCTACCTTGGACGTCCACCGCGCGACGTCGAGCCCGTCGATCAGGCGGGAGGTGGGGAAGACCTGGCCTGGGGCGGCGCCGCTCGCCGCGGACGTCTGGACGAGCCCGGCGGACTGCAGCACCTTCCGGGTCCGCTTTTCGCTCACCGTCCACTCCGGGTGTGCGGAGGTGAGCAGGCCGTGGATCTTGGGCACGCCGAGCGTGGGGTTGTCGGCCTTGAGCGCGAGCAGCGCGGCCTTGAGGTTGTCCTCGGAGGGGGCCGTAGTAGGGGCCGTCATGGGGCGTGAAAAGCGAGTCGAGAGAGATGAGGGGGCCCGGAGACTATGAACGGGACATAGGTGGCAGAGTGCGGGGTTTTATGCAGTCGTGGAAGCCTAAGGACAACTCTCAGCGACGAGCAGGACGCCCCTGGGCCTGAGTCTCCCAGACGAGACGCGCGTCGATGCCCAGGAGCCCGTCACGTTGGCAATCTAATCTAATCTACCCATCACTTCGCCAGGTAGCGCAGTCAGATAGACGGCCAGATTGT